GATCAAACTGTCAAACAGTGCTGATCAGATATGGATCCAGATTCTGTTACTTTCTCACCTAAAATCGTTTCAGAAACATATTTTAGCGTACTGTGTGTGACCAGATGAGCCGCTATTGTTTCCTGCTATGGAAGAGTCGAAAGTGAGCAGCCAATGAGAGCAGCTCATCGCAGTACGTCGCCTCCGCTGGACCTTTAAAGCAGTCAGAACAATCAGAAAATGCAGCTGAAAGTTGGACAAAATAGCCAATTGAATCATCAATCAGGCTCATTCCTGTCAACTTTCTTCCAGGACTCTTTCTTTTATTGATAAAAAATAATTTTAATCTTCATTTCCCCTCCGTCGCCCTTCCACTGCGGGTCTTTCCTGTGACGACGTGTTACTTCCTTCTCCGCCGGCGACATAAAGGTGAAAGGTGAAAGTTGAACAGCTGTCTGGTTTGTTTTCTCTACTGTATGCGAGCGTGTGTTCGTGTGTATGTAAAAAAAAAAGAGGAAGACAGGGTGAAGGGGAGTTTTTTGTCAGACCCTGGGGGAGATTAAGGGCAACGGGGCTATGGCACATGGTCAAGTTCTTCCCTCTACAGTTTCTTGGGAAACACTGGTGGATGGGAATCTCCTCACACTGTCCCTAGTTGTTTTCTCTTGATCTCTCTGATTATAAATCCTCCCACACACCCTCTCTTCCGCTTTTAAACACACACATGAGTTCACCCTCCCTCTGCTTCAGCTGCTGCCCCCCAGGCTGTGGCCTTTCAGCTGGGAGGCGGCAGCAAGTGGAGTCCCAGGCTCCACATCCAAGATCCATAACCTCTAATCAGCATCACTGGAGTTTAAAAAGGAAAAAACGCTGCCCCCTATGGTAAGTAAACATGATTAAGTGCCCTCCAGGGTGCCTTTGCAGTGGACAGAATGTGGTATAGTGCCCTCTGGGGCAGTGGTTCCCAACCTGGGGGTCAGGACTCCCACTAGGGGTCTCCAAAGCTTCACAGCGGGGTCACAAGGCCTTCGTGGTTTAAGGGATGTAAGAAAACTTATAAAAAAATACCTGCTATAGGCCAATATTTCAGCATTTTAAACACTGAATTTGTCAGAAATTAAGCCTATTAAGTGTGAATAATTGTCAAAGAAATAAAAAAACATAAAGCAGACAAAATTTTATTAAAATGTCCCTAAAATTATCATAAAAACACAAAATGTTGTACAGTGTCCTCTAGGTTAGCGGTTCTAAGTGACATATTTTATGGAAATTTCACATTATATTCAAAACTGTACAATGAATCCAAATAGGGAATGTTGATTTGGATGAATTTTGAGCAGATTATTTCCTCTTTAGAGAACTTTTTATACAATTCTCTGTCTGTAATATAATTTTTTTTTATCATTTTAAACAATCATACAGACTTAATAGAGTTTTCTTGTCCCTTAAACTTGGCCATTGTTATATTAGACTTACTTTTCTTCACAGAAGTGAACCAAATGCTGAGATACAGGCCTACTGTGTGTAGATTTTTCCGTTTTCTAGCCTGCTTTAAAATCAAGAAGGCATCGCGACCCCCTGTGAAGCTTTGGTGACCACTAGTTGGAGCCCCGACCCCCAGGTTTGGGAACCACAGCTCCAGGGTGTCCTTCTAGTGGACAATGCAGAATAAAGTGTCGTCTATAGGGTGCTAAATCTAACCCCGACTAAGCTCAACTGTATCATAACTTTCTGCGCTCTGGTGCTCATTTTATTGTTTGATTCTGGCGCCCCCTGTGGACAAAAGCGGTAGTGTTTCTATTGTCTCGTTTCATTGAATTCAAGGGGAATCTGATCAAATCTGACCTGGTGGCAGACATTATGAATAACTGTATAGAAATCTTCTCGCTGACTGATACATCTGTATTAAAAACTCATTGCTGTATATTTAAGTAAAAGTAGAAAAAACACTGTGTAAACAAGTAAAACTCCTTCTAAAATCTTAATTTATGTCAAAATACATTAGTATTAGCATCAAAATATACTTAAAGAGTACTCAGTATGCAAAATAATTTCAAAATAATATACAAAATAAGTGGCTTCATCTGTAATAATAACTAAAATCTGCAAAGTAACTAAATGTAGTGGAGTAAAAAGCACAATATTAAGCAATATTAGTTCTTCCACCTCTTCCACACACCTTCAGAAGTTGTCACTGATGGGTTTGAATGAACAGCGCCCTCTTCCTGCCCTGTGCTGTAGAGGAATCAATCACTTTTCAAAATAAAATGCAGCGCAGGTGGACAGACAGTCTTAATAGATGCTTCTGTGTTATTTGAGGGTAAAAACACTCATGTTTCTAAACTAATTATCCTAAAAACTGAGGAGATATCTTCATTTATACCACCTATAGCTCGTATATAATGATATTTTGTTACCTGGGCAGGTGTATTTATTGATCAACAGACTACTTTTTCCCCCTCCATGCTATGTTTTATTCTAATGAACCCACCCTGTAAAACTAGTTTACTGAAGCCCCCTCATCCTCTGCAGAACCCCCACTGAGCTTTACTGCCAGCGAAGGTGCACTTATGGTTGTGTTATTAAATGAAAACTCTCCTTTTACAATAACTGCGAGCTTAAAAATAGTATCTCTGCAAACAGACAGCCGACCCAGCTCCATGGTGCTCATTCGGCTTTAATTTGACCTACATTTGCCCATGTCGTTGTGGTGCATTATGAGAAATTTCAGCAGAGAAAGCCAGCCACCATATCTGGGACTGTGTGTGTGTGTGTGTGTGTATGTGTGTGTCGTGCATAGCACCGTATCACGGCCGTAAATGTAATGCATAGGCATTTCCTGTTCCCCCCTGTGCCTTCAGTATAAACCGCAATATCAGAAGACGCCGCGCTCGGGGATTAAGATCCGGGAAAAGGGGGACGCTGTGATCCCAGTGAGAGTCTTCAAACCGGGTAAGGCTTTTCCCATTTCTATCCTTCTGTCATACACAGCCAGGCGTCAGCATCCTCAGCCTGGTGTAAGAACGACGTCTTCAGTTCAGAGAGACACTTCGGCGTTCTCTTAATTTGAAAGCCATATATTGTGTACCAGACTTCATTAAACAATCGTACAGTTTAAGGTTTTCCTGCTTACCGGAGAAATGTTGTAAGTTAAAAATATGTTTAAATGTGATGTCTGAATCTCATGAAGGCAATTCTTAATTTCGGCAACCATATAATCCACCATTCATATGTATTTCAGCTAAATATGAGCTTGATTCCCGCTGGGCTAGGCTACCGCACACAGTACTATTAGGATTCTTTTGGTGGAAGGAGGCTAAGGGAGTTTCAAGCGGGACAGTTCAAAAAGTTACAGATTTTATAAAGATAAAACTTCCTACCTTCGTTTTAGTCACGCCGAATAAAAGAGGGAATCCGGCTTATTTAGAAAAACATAATAAGTCACTTTTATATCTATATTGATATTTGTTTATATGCGTAAACATCTTTAATTGTTAGATTTCTTAAAGGACTTTGGGTTATGTCACATGGGGGGGTCACATTCTAGGTTATGCTGCACGATGTGTGATTGTGCGGATTGGTTTCTTTATGCTTCATCGATATTTTGTGAAAATCAGGAATTGCATCCAGTATTCTTACATAACTAACCGACAGCGGGGGGGTTTGTGTCCGCTCCAGTGCGCTCTGGTGACCGGATCCAAGGTCTTCTCTCCCTCCCCGACGCAGAGCCAAAAACCAACGTGTGAATCCTGCATCCTCTCAGATTCAGTGAGGTTTTAGATTGTGGATGATTTCACTGCAAGCTCCAGTGCATGCATCCAGTCGTACTCAGATTATAGATTATTTATAGTCAAAATTTAATTTATTATGTTGAAATTTGGGGCTTTTTTCAAATATATATTTTGTATGTTTTGTGACCCAGAGGTTTGGATTTTGTACTTTAATTAGCTAATTCTTATGGATTTTCATACTAAAATAGAAAAAAAGGATTTATTTCTGTTCATGCAAATAAAAAATATATATATATATATATATATATATGTGACCTGCAAATGATTAAGATTAAGTTATTAGGTCACAAGGGGGCCTTGTGCCAAACACTGTAACCAGATGAGGTGATGTTACTTCACTGTGTGTAACTGACATGTCTGTTGGCTGTTGAAGAAGCCCATAATAAACCCCCTTCCCACCACTAAACTGCTTCAAGTTTGGAAATCTGATAGCTGGGGGAAGTTGGATCAAGTTCTCTAAAGTTAAATAGGCATTTACCGGAACTTACGACGTGCTTACCTTCAAAATAAAATAAAAAATATCTCTAGAAAACGTGTCTTTGGGGACATTTGTGAACAAGGAAGGAATAAAAAGAGTAAAATCCAATCCAGAAAATGTACTGTAGCATTGTTTGGTAAAAGTACTCCTTATAAATGACAACATTATGCAATATCTACCAAATAAAGACAACTGAAGGACATTAAATAATGCTTGAACTAACTCAAATCGATTAATTACACTTACACACAAGTTCTAGTTTATCGATTTAAATAAACCTTTTACTACAACATTTTTCTGATGAGTTGTGTTGACATAAATAAAGTGGAAAAACTAGTTGGAACAAGTTCATTTGTATTAGCAGCTTATGCAACTTAAAAAACGTGTGTTTATATAACCAATTATTATGTAAATGATCATTAAAAATACCTTTTAATTGTTGAGTAAATGCTTATTCCCCTAAACCGAACTCAATGTAATACATTAGCTGAATATAATTTTATAAAATGATTGCATACTGCCAAAACTTTTTTAGTGTAATTAACCTTTAATACTTAAATATTATCCTTGCATTGTTCATAAAATGTACTTTAAATAAATGTGTATGTTAACAAACTCACAACTAAATTTAACTGCAGCTCATTTTTTTTGCATATTTATGATTCCAAACTGTGAGTAAAATAAAATAAGTTGCATTTAAGTTAATTTTTGGATTCCTTTACTTTGAAGGACGCCACCGGAAGCGTTGAGCCTCACTCGGTGTAGCTTGACGCTGTCGGCAGAGCCAGGCTGCAGTATGCGGAGCAGCTGATGCTCTTGCGGGGCTAAAAATAATCAACTTTTTTTCTGTCCAACTCTCAAACTGTATTTTGTTTCTTTTCCTCTTCTTTTTCTCCTTTTTCTGTTTTTCCTTTCTTTTAAAACAAACAAACAAACAAACAAACAAACACCAAACGTCACCAGGCGTCCGGAATGAAACGGAGTCAATAAGGATTATTACTTTTCTCCGAGGTAAGAGACTCTGGGGTTTGTATGTGGTCTTCCTCATTGAGCTTACAGTTGGCCTAACTTTAATGTAACTGCTGTGGAAATTATAAAGGACAAAAAAATGGGGGGAAAAACCAGTAGAAATAAATGTAGAAATACAGAAATAGACTTTTTCTTTACCAAAATGTGTTTATTTTTGTATTTAATTAATTATTTCTACGTTTATTTATTCATATTTGTGCCATTTTTGTCCTTCATAGTGACTTAGCTTCCTGATCCTGAGCTGTATCTGCTGTTATTATGTCATTGTAGTCTAACACAGGTGTTGTTTTTTGTTAGATTTAGTCTGTATAAGGTGTCAGTTATCCAGATTAAAGCTCATTTGGGACCACATTTCTTTTCCTGTTCCTATAATGTAGTTACAGTTTTATTATGTTAGTGAGCCCAGTGAATTACAGTTAAAGTAACATTCATAAAAGCAAAAAATAATGAGTTTAAATCTCCAAAAACAACAGCTAAGTTTTAATATTTAAATAATAAACCACCTCCCATATCTCCCCAGTTTGTCCCGATTCCTCCTCAAGGTGCTTCTCTTGTCCCAAACAAAGATGGCCACCATTACACTACCTTCCACCGGCCATCTTTGTTTTGGTTTTGTAGTTAAAAGTGATAAAATTCAACGTCACTGTACTGTACTGTCATACGCTCCCTGCACACACACACACACACACACACACACACACACACACACACAACACACACACTGCTCTCTGTAATAGTTAAAACAGGGACAACCCGAGTCTCCCGAAACTTAAGTCAGCTTTTAATGACTCTCCCAACACGTTGCCTCTTCCAGCACTTACATTCATTTAACACCAACGCCTCATAAGCCAGAGGGCACGTTGGCACTGCCCCTCGCTCAAATAGCTCTCATGCCTGTCGCTGGCACTGCGTTTGTGTTGCTGTGTGAGTGAGTGTGTGCACTTGAACGTGTGACATGCCACCAAAATGTCTCCAGAGTTCAGCCGGTGACACAGACGTCACACACAACCCGCCCCACGCTGACTGAATCAGGCGTCTTTGATTTGTGCCGTGAGAACTGACCTGAAGCTCTTTTTGGTTTTTTTTTTTCCCACAGACCGACTCGCGGCTCGTGTGGAGCGGCCGGGCGGTGGCATGGCCCTGTCGTTTTGCGGCAACGACAACGGTATCAATGCCTACACCGTGAAGGAGGGCGTGCTGAACAATGGCTGCTTCGTGGACGCCCTCAACCTGGTTCCCCACGTCTTCCTGCTCTTCATCACCTTCCCCATCCTCTTTATCGGTAGGTGGAACGCACGTATACATCTGGTTGTTTCCCTGTGGGACCTGAATGCAGCATTTGTGCAAATCAAACTTTTAACCCCCCGAAATAGCAGCTGCTTGTGAGGTCAAACCCCCTTTTTTAACAGGACGATGGACATTTAGTCCGAAGTCTCTCTCTGTGTGTCTGAAGCTCTGTGCTGGAGCTATCCTGAAGGCCAAGATGAAAAAAAAATAAACATTTTCCAGAGTAAATATTTAGTGCTGGATGAATTTTGGACCAAAAATATCCAGATTAAGTACACAAAAGAGTTTCTGTGCTTCTGCAGAAGAAAAGTGGTACAGTCTGTGTTATGTGTATTGTGACAGATGTTTAAGTGTTTCCTGCTTAAGCCTCTTAAAGCTTCACCTTTTCTGCTGGAAAGTCTCAGAAACTGCTGCAGCTGTGGGGACAGAACTAATCCTGTGAGGATTACTGGAGCAGACAGGTTCTTTTAGATCACGTTGTGATACGCAGTATTGGGTTTAATATGTGTGATTATGAGGGCAACGCCTTTAGAAGTGAATGTGGTGGTTTACGGCTGTATGTGTGTCACCTGTCCAGGGTTTACCAGCCGCTTCCACTCGCCCCATGTGACCCCAAACGGGATAAGAGGTTTAGTAAATGTAGGAATATATGGATGTACAGTCAGAGTTCATACACATCCTGGATAAACATGGTTTTCCAGTCATGGATGCACATGGAAATGACCAAATATCCTGGAAATAATCCATATCGTCCTGGAAAATTTGAGTTGATTTTAATATTTTAGGCCTTCACTCAGATCTATGCCTCCAATCGCCAACGTCACCCCTTTATGTCAGCATCAGATGCTGTATTTGGTCCCCGTCTGGCCTTGCTGTTTACTGGGAGCTCTCAGTCCCAGCAGAGTCCGTTAATAGGACAGCTGCTTGACCGGGTGGGGATGTAACACACATTCAGTGCTATTGAGGGTCCGATTCTTGTTTGGGTGCGAGAGGTTCCTGGGTTCAAATCCCGGACGAGCCCCCAATTTTGTCACTGTTATAACTAATTTATTTTAACATAACAGCATAAACGCAACCAGAAAGGGAACTAAAGATAAGATGAGGATGTATAGTGAAAGGTGAATGTTGGATGTCAGAACACAACGAAACCAAACACAAGAGATGAAAGCAAGAGAGGCGGGGCTTTTATAGCCGGAAACATTGGGCCCAGGTGCCTCTGGCTACGCCGATTCGGTCTTACCTGAACTTTAAAACGAAACGAAAAACGAAATGCTATCAAACGCCAGCTACTTGAATCTTCTTGACATGGATGTGATCGGTGAATTAACAAGAAGCTCTCGCTGAGCTGTGTTACAGTAAGCTGTTACTCCAGCGTCATCTGGGGCTGGGCAGAGCAGATGTGATATTAACTTTCTCTCTGTCTCTCTCTCTCTCTCTCTCTCTTTCTCTCTCATTGACACACACACAAACACACACACACACACACTTTCTTGTCACCAGTGTGAACATTAAGCAGCTTTGAAGGGTAGTAAAGATGGGATTAGAACCACAGTTCAGTGATCCACTGGGGGCAGGAAATAGTAAAGCAAACAGGCAATAACAGTGAATCTAAACAAAAAATATTAGGAGTTATTTCTTTATTTTAGTTCCTGCTCGCCCGTTTACTCTTCTACGTCTGTCTCTTTCCCTGTTGAACAATGAACCTCATATATTCAGAAGACAAAATATGGAGGAAGAGGAAAGAAGAGTAAAAGAAAGGGAGGAGGATGGAAGCAAGAAGGGAAGGAACAACGGAAGAACAAATGATTGAAGAAACTTACAGAACAAACAAAGTATTTATTGTTGGTTTAGTGTGGTATTGCTGTGCAGACAATAACTTCTGTGTTTGTGTGTGTGTGTGTGTGTGTGTGTGTGTGTGTGTGTGTGTGTGTGTGTGTGTGTGTGTGTGTGACAGTAGTTTATGGGAATAGTTCTGACCAGAAGCCCTCGGCGGGTTCCCTGAGGACTCACTAATTGGTGCTTCCTGGTTCTAGTTTTTTATGGTCTGCGTCCCCTGAGCCTCCAAAATTGCTGCAGTCCATTTAGTTAAGAGCAGAAACAAACCTAATAAGAAACACTGTCAGCACAAATAAAAACCTAGAGGCACTTGAGCACCCGTAGTAACACCCCTTTCTACCAATGAAGTGACATTAAGGTGGCACATATACTTTCAGTTAGTGCATTAGAATTTCCTGAAGCCTCGAGACTTAGAGATTAATCGATTTGGTGGATGAATTGGCAACTATTTAGATGATGGATGAATCGTTTAAGTTGATTTTAAAGCAAAAATGGCAAATATTTGACGGCTCTAACTAGGTGTGTGTTGGTGATACGATGCATATCACGATACAGGGGTTACTGTTCGATATATTTATATTATATATATCACAATGCAACCCGAAAAGTCAACAGCTGTAACATCCAACATCACAGCCCAACACTGCTATCTAGCTGGTTTAACCACAAAATACAATCAATACCACGCTGAACGAGAATCAATACAATATCTCAACATAAAATACTGCAATACGATACTGTTCGATGCAGTAAACTGAATTATCTTCTATCTCTAAGAAAACAAGACATTTAAAGACGTCACCTTGAGCTGTAACAGTGTGATGGACATTTTTCCCTTTTTTCTGATTGATTAATCAAAGAAATCGGACAGGTGTTTTGTAACTGCCAATCATGCAAATGTCAAGCCTATTCATTGGATTAATAACTTTAATGTACTAGAAGTGTGCAACTATGGAACTGTATGATAGGAAGATATCGGATCAGGACTCGATATTGGCAGAAGCCCTAATCAACAACTGAATCAAGTTTTCCGGTGTATTCAAAGGCTGGTAAACAGTAAACAGGTTGATATTTTCAATTCTGATCATTTGAGAAACACAGAAAATGCTGATTTTTTTTTCAAAGCATTGAGTGAAGTCTTTATGAATTTAGCCCAAATGGGATTTTAACATACTTACATGAATTTAAACCAGTGTAAAATACATAACAATCATTGTACCTGTGTGTCTTTTGGTTGGTTTTCCTTTCCTTCCCGTTTTCCGTACAGGTTGTGTTTTTCCAAAATGTTCAGATTTTTTCACATCATCTTTCACTCTGTCTGTCTGTCTGTCTGTCTGTCCTCCTCTCTCTGTATCTGTCTGTCTGTCAGGCTGGGGCAGCCAGAGCTCCAAGGTCCAGATCCATCACAACACGTGGCTTCACTTCCCCGGCCACAACCTGAGATGGATCCTCACCTTCTCGCTGCTGTTCGTCCACGTGTGCGAGTTCGCAGAGGGCATCGTCTCCAACAAGTGAGACCTCAGGCTTCTTTTGTTTTCTACTGTCTTCAGAAAAAGTTTTACTATATATTGGTTCGGTCTCCAGTTAGTTAATTAATTCACCATATTAATTATATTTGTTGTTTGCCTCTCGCTGTAGGATGATGGAAACCAACCACCTCCATCTCTTCATGCCGGCCTTCATGGGTTTCGTAGCAGCCACAACATCAGTGGTTTACTATCACAACATCGAGACGTCCAACTTCCCCAAACTGCTGCTCGGTAAGACTGAGGAGACACCGGGCTGCTTAAACCTCATTATCTTCCTTTGCTCTAACTGTTCTCTGGCTCAGTACACTATTCAGTCAGCAGATTTTAGAATTAGTACACAATTGTGTGTCTTGGTTTGGTGAGCCGAAGACAAACTCTATTTTATACTTTTCCCGGCCTTTAAAAGAGTACTCCACCAATTTAGATGAACCAATCAGAGCCAAGAAAGATAGTTGATGGTTGAGTCTCGTTCCCAGGGCATCATATACAGACACTTTGGGACTCTTTGGCAAACCTGTGCATAGTTTTCTCATATGAACTCCAGTAGTGTGTGATTTATGACTCACAAACTAAACGATAGAGCAAAATATAACACAACAGGCGTTTCTCCATCAGCCATGACTCAGTTTTCAGAGCAGCCCCCAGTGTGAAGGGCACATGGTGGTGCAGCGCCTTTGCTTGTGAATTCATCAGCGATGTCACAGTCAGGTTCAGTTCCTGTCTCTTGGCAGTGCTCAGTGTAAGAACAAAAACATTTGTGCTGCAGTGAAATGGTTTAAGGCCTTATCGATGGATAGAAGATGAGCACACAGTGAAAATGTCATCAAATTTGATAAAAAGTTATTTTTTATAAAAGTTACCTACTGCAGCTTTAAGGGGAATCGATTTTGCATCATTGAAATGGAGGAAAACCAGTATTTTATGTATTTTAACATTCAAATGAGGTCACTTTATAGATATTTTCTATTCAGCACCATCACAAAGTAAAGATGCAGTAATGTCTCAGGCTGTAATATCACATTAAATCCCTTTTTTAACCTCCACACAGTCCTGTTCATCTACTGGGTGCTGGCGTTCATCACAAAGTCCATCAAGCTGTGGAAGTTTGCAGAGTACCATGTTGGACCACAGCACCTGAGGTTCTGCATCACAGCGCTGTTAGTGTTGCTGTACGGACTGCTAATGGCCGTAGAGATCAATGTCATCAGAGTCAGGGTGAGTAATCACGTTTCATCCAACATCAGTAATTCAATCTAATGCAGGACGTAAGAGAAACAATCCCTTTTTCTAATCAGTGTATTTGACTATGCTCATTAACTCTCTTATCCCTTTTCTCTCCCTGTAGAAATATGTGTTCTTTGCCAACCCACAAAAGGTGAAACCACCAGAGGATTTACAGGATTTGGGAGTTCGCTTTCTGCAGCCGTTTGTCAACCTGCTGTCCAAGGTAGACACAAAAACACTACAGTTTTTTAAAATGTTCTATCTAGATAGACTGAAAAACCAGTTAAAAGTTCAAATATTTAAACCACAAGTAACGTTAGAAAGTGTCTCAGTTCAAGCTTCACATCATCCGTCAGCCAGACTTAATGTTTAGGTCTCACAGTCAGTATCAAATGTTACTAGAGCACTACTTAAACTCAGGAAGTGGTTCATTCCTAGGCAACATATTGGTGGATGAATCCTCTCATCATGGGAGCCCATAAGAGGCCCATAGAGCTGAAGAAGATTGGCAAGCTGCCCATCGCCATGAGAGCCCTCACCAACTACCTACGGCTCAAAGACGCCTACGAGGACCAGAGGGTGAGCAGATGGAGGGCGATATGCCAGCTTTATGCCTTTACTGTTAACTTTCCCCCTGTTGGCTGTAGCAGTAGTAATTTCACCCTCTATCAACCCTCTCTCCACACAGACGGCCGAGGATCCGGATCGGGCCCCATCGATCTGGCGCTCCATGTATCGAGCGTTCGGTCGGCCCATCCTGCTCAGCAGCACCTTCCGCTACCTGGCCGACCTGCTGGGCTTCGCCGGGCCGCTCTGCATCTCTGGCATCGTGAAGTACCTGAAGACTGATGATGAAGTTGCAACACCAGACAAGATCAAGGTGGGTTTATTAAAAAGTTTAAACTCTTCAGACAGGTATTAGGTTTGATCCCTGGTTTTCAAATCTAGAGTGAAAACACAAAATATGTCACAATATGGCCCATTTTCTGTGAACTCAATGAATGAATGAGACCTTTTTCTTATTACTTATCGAGTTATATACCCAAGAAAAAAATGCTACCTACTCACTACTACTTACTTTTATTGAGCACCTTTGTGCAACATTTCAATTAATAATTAATAAGGCTTTACTTTGGTGGGCCTCAGCAACCCCTTCAGAGTGCATATTTTTCTCAAATGTGGGATTTATGACCCACAAACTAAACGATAGAGCAAAATATGACATGACAGACATTTCTCCATCAGCCCTGACTCAGACATTACGACAAATCCAAGGCAGGAAGTGGTTATTGACATACATTAAATATAGCTGCTACATATGGCTACAGTATAGTAGTAGTATGGAAGTCTCCTGACCCTGACAGCTGCGAGATATAAAATTACTGCTCTGACTTGAAAACTGGTACAGAAATCGATTCAGTGTCATATGAGAGTCACAGACCGCGACTGAGACGACTGAGTGTGAAAAGCTGAACGTCATTCATTCCCCTTTAGAGAAATCACTTTGGAAATTTAAACCCATTTTTCGGGGCACGGCTGAAGTCTGCTTAGTGTTTACGTAGGATAATTTTATTAACCGTTAAGTGCAAATTGGTGCGACGTCTTCCACACAAACCGCGTTCCCTGCCTGTCACTGATGTTGGGTGGTCCAGCCAACCGATGAATGACTCACTCCCAGTGTGTCACCGAGGCGTTGGTCGCAGTCATCGTGTCGCCACCAGTATGTGTGTGTGTGTAAGTGTGTGAACGACGCTGTATCTGTATCTTATGTCTGTAATGTCAGAGTGCGCCGGTGCTGAAAGGTAGAGCTTTGATTCTCTACTGTCGTATGTCGGGCTCGGACAGAATAAGATTTATGGTTTTTAATATATGTTTGATATTTTATAAATGATGCATGTGACTGTAATTAAGGAATGGGTTATTTATTTGTTTAAATAATCGTATGTACTATATTATATGGGCAATGTAGTTTTATTTAGTTTGTAATAAACTATTAAAATTGCTTATGTTAAACGGAAATTTGGGTTCTAACTTTAACCTTAACCCTAAAACCCAGTCTGAACCTTCAAACAGCACCAAAGACGTAAGGACTTATTGAAATATTCTCACCCTCCAAAATCTCCTCACTTTCTAAAACTGTCCTCACGGTGTGAAAGTCCAAAATACAAACTCAAAAACACTAAAAATACAAGAACTCACTTGCAGAATGTTAACAGTTCAATTAGAAAACCATAAATCAACGCACACTTTCTGGTTCCCAGATGTTCTGAATTCATAGTAACTGCAATAGTAATGTTATAGTCAAATGTTAATGTTACTTACATATTTTTATTGGGTTTTTTTTTGTTGCGTTTTTGTCTTTTTGCAGGGACGATTAAAAGTAATTATATCAGAGTTAGCTAGCAGCTGTTTTACATCTGTTGTCCCTACAGTACATACTGACCAACAGTATAATTGGTATAGTATATGTAAATGTAGCACAAAGTGATTGTATTTTTGAACATGTAGTAGATAAAGTGTAAAACAATGAATTAGAGCTCCAACTAAAGTCGATTAATCGTTTAATCTGTAAAATGTCAAATCAAATTTGACTAATGTCATAAAATGGGCAGCACTTGTTCTCAGAGATAATGTATTCAGCTGTCCAAACCCCAAAAATATTCAATTCATAATCATGCAGCCTGAAAAAAGCATTTCTAAATAACTTTAAGTTAGTATAATAGTTTTGTTGATGGATAAACAGCTAACCTACTAATCACTTCAACACTGTTTAATATATCTGCACAAATATCCAGATACATCAGGATAAGCACCAGTCGATATCAGCTGTATTACTCTACAATAACACCCAACAAAGATATCTATCAGACAGAGAGAAACCAGACGCTATTGAAGACGGTCCATTTGGCGGAGGAGAGGAGTGCTGGCAGAGCCGATCACAGACATCGACTCCTCTTAAATCTGTGCCAGTTTCTTCCAAAGGTCATAATACACACAGAGCTGTGAGGAGAGGCAGAACAGATGCTTCTTGTAATGACTGTATATCTTCATTCAGTCCATTTGGCTGCACGCTGTTACAGTCGATGTTGAATGTGAGCTGTTGTCGGGTCCGTGCCTGCCTGGTTAAGTGGGTACGACGGGCAGCAGAGATAGAGAGCAGAGCAGGGCTGCATTTCTGAGTGACGTGGAAAATTTCCTCACTCACCTCACACTCCCTGCTTCAGTTTAATACAGAGGGAAGGTCTGCTGAGTATCAGACTGAGCTTTTTGCTACTGCAGTGTGTGTGTGTGTGTGTGTGTGTGTGTGTGTGTGTGTGTGTGTGTGTGTGTGTGTGTGTGTGTGTGTGTGTGTGTGTGTGTGTGTGTGTGTGATATTCACACGTATAGAAAGTAAAAAAGTTTGGAATCACCTGTTATATTTTCTTCTTTCCTTCAATAATGGATATTTTAACACAGATAAAAACAGTGTTCAGACACCAAATGTATGATTTACACTGGAAATAGTTTTGGGCCCAAAAGCAGAATAATTAAATTATTAAAACTAAGAGTTTTACAGTGTGGAAGCTTTTGAGAAGAACTTCATGTTGAAGTTGTATCTCAAGCGTGTGTCCTTCGTTGTAGGAGACCTATTTCGGTGTGTACTTCATGTCTTCGACTGAGCTGCTGCAGAACACTTCAGTCCTGGCTGTGCTTCTCTTCCTGGCTCTAATCCTGCAGAGGACCTTCCTGCAGGCCTCGTACTACGTCACCATAGAAACAGGCATCAACCTGCGGGGAGCCCTTCTGGTGAGTGAAACATCACGGAAATTTAAGTTTGGACGCTTTGTTTCCACACCGAGGTGTCGCTTTGTAAAGGCTCGCGTGAGTCATCTCCCTTATGCTTCAGAGTCCAACGTTTGGTTTCGCTGATAGATTTATTTCACCCTCATGCAAACATTATCCACCTGAGCTGACAGCAGATCATTTAAAACGCTGCGTGTTTACAGCTACACTGAGGTTTTAACTTACAAACCATCCAAACTGACTTTTGAAGACGCACAGAGCAACTCGAGAGATCTCCTGACGCTGAAGTAAATAACCAGTGAAATGTTATCAAAACATGCAGAGCATATTTCTGCATAATTCAGCTGTGTCAGTCATAAATTTATTTAAATGAATCACTCAGTCGGGGCAGAAAAGCCTCTGGTATTTAAACCATGGGACTCGTCACTCAAACACAGGATGCTACTCTTGCTACTACTACTGGATGTAATAATAGAAACCACTGCATTAAAGGTAGGGTAAGTGATTCTACGTGATGTGATTCTAATCAAATACAAGTTCTTTTCTCAAATTCAGCGAATATCTCCTTACAGTACGCTAGCTTTCCACTCTGTATGTTCACTTTGGTTCAATTTGATGAGCCAAAAAGTTAACTTCAGACCCTGGTTACAGTTCTTACTGTGTCGTTGTTCGCTCTGTATCAGGGTGTTTGTTAAAGTGTTTGATTCCTCCAGAGGCGCATTCAGACAGACAGCAGTGCCCTTTCATTAATTCAAACAGGACTGCAGTGTTTGTGCTCAGTGTTAGAGCTAATCTTACGTCTCTGTCTCATTAACTAGGCGATGATTTACAACAAAATCCTGCGTCTGTCCACCTCCAACATGTCTATGGGGGAGATGACGCTGGGGCAGATCAACAACCTGGTGGCTATAGAGACCAATCAGCTGATGTGGTTCCTCTTCCTCTGCCCCAACCTGTGGGCCATGCCTGTACAGGTAAGGGCTGAACGGGAACCTCCACACATTTCTGGACATATTGAATCTTGTGTAGCGAGTTGCAGTGAAGACTTCTTGTGTTTTGTTTCTTTGCAGATTGTAATGGGAGTGATCCTGCTCTACTACTTGCTGGGCTGGAGTGCCCTGGTTGGAGCATCTGTCATAGTCCTGCTGGCACCAGTCCAGTACCTCATAGCTACAAAGCTGGCGGACACACAAAAAAGCTCACTAGTAAGCAGGATACTTGTGTAACCATATTCCATGCAGACTTTTAACTGATTGTCACTAAGTAAATCCATTATTTTACAGCGGTTGGTAACAATTTAGTCTCGTAGTGTTTGTTGACTATGGGATAGATTAACACACATTTTATCCTCTGTTGTCTGTTTCAGGAACACTCTACCGATCGACTGAAAAAGACCTCAGAGATCTTAAAGGGCATCAAGCTGCTGAAGCTGTATGCCTGGGAGAACATCTTCTGCGACAGCGTGGAGGACACCAGAGGAAAGGAGCTCACCAGCCTCAAGACCTTCGCTTTCTACACATCTATGTCCAGTAAGATGAAAACAACAGAGTTTGAATGATTGCATTGATTGTAGTTCATATAACTGTTTTCTACTTAACGTTTTCTCTCTCCGTGCAGTTTTCATGAATGCCGCTATTCCTATTGCTGCTGTTCTTGCGGTAAGACTTAATTACTTCTTCAACCATTATATGAACTGTCAATATCAACACTGCCCTACAAAGCCTAACTGCAGTAAATAAAACCAAGATAAATGTTTTTTTAATGTCCAGCCAAATTGTGTTTTTAGGTAGAACTGCAGTTATGTTCTTATTAAATATGTATTCTCTCTCTCTCTTAACTTATTCACCCAAAACTGAGATTCTATAGTCTGTCTTTGTGTCACCATGAACTGATTTATTTTGCACAGTAATACCTTGTCCTGTCTAGCTTGCTAGTTAGCGCTGTAATATCCGAACTATTGTTACGATCTACGACAATCAGTTTAGCTAATAATACACAGATGAATTCAGTAAGAGTTCCCAGTGGATAACATGTTTTAATTCCTTACATTGCCCTGAAATTGTCTAGAATACAGGATTTACAGACTCTGAAGCCGCAGTAACTGCAGAATAACTGGTTTTTAAATGGTAACTTAAATGGTAACATTTTAAAAATCTTGTCTCGTAGACGTTCGTGATGCATCACTTCCTCAATAAAAGCGGTCCCAGTCCTTCTGAGGCCTTCGCAGCTCTAGCATTGTTCCACATCCTGGTCACCCCTCTCTTCCTGCTCTCCACCGTTGTCAGATTTGCCGTCAAGGCTCTGGTCAGGTGAGTGTCTGTGATAGTGTACAACTGTTTGACTGTTACTGGCTGAGAAAAAGAGGGGGATGTGACTAAACAAGGAAGACAAACTGGAGATGCTGTGTCACAAACTGGATGTGGTTCCAGTGGTAAATCTAATTAAAGGAACACGGAGGAAATCTGACAGCAGTGAAGAGAAACTCTAAACTCCTGAGAGATTACTGGTATTGGTTATCGTCACAATCACACTTATTCCTGGATTGAATGTGTGTGTGTGTGTGTGTGTGTGTGTGTGTGTGTGTGTGTGTGTGTGTGTGTGTGTGTGTGTGTGTGTGTGTGTGTGTGTGTGTGTGTGTGTGTGTGTGTGTGTGTGTTCAGTGTCCAGAAGCTTGGTGAGTTTCTTCAGAGTGACGAAATTGAAGACGACAGCTGGAGAAATGGAGACATGACGGTTTCCTTCGAAGCTGGAAAAAAACACCCGGGAATGGTGAGTGTTGATCAATCAACAAAAACTGAACTCAGTTTATATTTGATTGTCTTTATCTTACAGTCTGGACTGTATTTTTGTTGGTTTAGCCACAACTTTCAGTATTGATATCTGCAGATACAGCAACAAAGCCGGACACAGCAGTCAACAAAGGGTCAGACGGCTCCTCTTTTGTATTCAGCGAGACATTAGACCAGGTAGCAGGTCAAAGCTATATGAATCTTCTGCTATAATGTATGGGAGATCTCCAAGTTTCTCCTAAAAATGACTTAATGTTGACATCAGACACTTTAAACTTGGGACTTTTTCAAAGCATCATTGCTTTTCTTGAAGAACTCCAACTCCCAGAATTAATAAACTGCAATTTATTAATAAAATGCAACCATAATTGATAAAAAAAAACCCAAAAAAACAATGAAAATAACACCCAGGTAGTCAAAAAGGGACATTATCCTTTAATGTCTTATATATATATATATATATATATATATATAATTAAGACCACTTGTTTGAACTGGTGTCTGTTGTGTTCATTGGGGACATTTTCTCTGCAATCAGGAAGTCAGATTTATTTTGAAACATCATCTCCTGAAGTCAATGGTTGCTGCAAGTTTTCTTCTTTTTACTCTCCTCAGTTTAGATCTGAGGCAGAGATCACACAGGCGTCACATCAAATGACTGCTGGTTAAAACTGTAAAAAAAAAAAATAAATCCAAACATTTATCCTGTATTTAAAACAGATGGCGTTATCAAAGCAAACTAAAGGTGCCAAGAAATCGCTTTAATGTGCTGAGTTAAACAGCTCGAGCTTCCTCGTGGATAGGGTTTGGATCAATGTGGCGAGCACACATTCCTTCCATGTTACTTCAGGTAACTCGTGTCCTTTCCATTTTGGTGACAGGTTGCTCTAACAGGGTGCTGAGGGACGTTGTATAACGTCAGCCCTCAGTCCTTCTGGGACAAGATCTTAATGAGCAATGAGCAGACCCTCCAAGGAATATTCACATATTTAGACAGTGAGGATGAGTAATGACACACGGTTATTGTGACTAGCAGCAGGTCGTCGAGTTCGTGCAAATGAATTTTGAGAAATGAGAAAAAGGAAACCCAGTCAGCATTATTTAGAAATAGGTTTATCTATATTAAAGTAATTTAAAAAGACGTCGAGGGAGACAGTTGGTTTACTATAAAAAAAGTTGAAAAGCTGTGCATAAGTCAAGAAACATCCAGTTCCTCCAGTGCTCATCAAAGAGGCCAATTCTGAATTTAAAGAACTCAAACTGATCCCTCCTGAAGGCCTACAGTACTGTATGACTGTACTGACTCTGCCAATGCAGACATTTGTCGAATCATAGTGTTCAAATGTCTCAAAATTTCACTTGAATTTCAAAAACAATGTGCCATTTTGGTTTCAGGATGGGCTGTGATTGATCATGTAAACGTTGCTGAGCAGAGTGGCAGTAGTTAGTTAAGACGTCTATCCATATGTTATTTCTGCCAGCTGCAGCTTGTCCTTAGCTTGTGAGCATCATACGGTTTAATATCGAGTGATATTCACATCAAGTGTTGCTTTACTCGTATTATATGTCATATTAATTCCTCAGGACTAATTGATATGTTTTGTTGAGTGTGTGTGGAGGGGGGTTTAACCGACCATCACCACCCAGTGAACTGCAGCACAGACTTTAATCTTGTGTCTGTCTGAGGTTTCAGTCACATGGTGACTATTATGTTGCAGTGGGATTAACACTGTTTGTGTCTAAAATGGTCAGAACACGGCGCAGAGTGACTCACAGAACTCTTTAGAGGTTTAATGGGTTTCAAATAGGATTGTAAACACAACATTTTCCTTTATTTTATAATGGAATATATTCTTCAGTAGCTGCATTCAACAGTGTTGGTTTTAGAGCTGCTCTACTTAAATGCAAACATTAATATTGGGTTTAAGCAAAGTTTTTCTGGTTGTCATTTTCATTATTTTATTACTTTATTACTTAATGTGAAAGCCCCATTTGCAGCCATTTTGTAGCAGCTGCTTTATGTCCCTTTTATGATGCCATTACAAACTCACTCAAGTGGTAAAGTGGTCAAATTTCTCATTTTTTAAAGTTTGACCACGATATCTGGGAGCTAAGTGGGCGCTGTTGCGGTTTTATTGGACTGTTCTTTTTCCAGCCAGTTTACTAAATCAATTAAACACTGCAGCAAGTAATGTGAATTTTCTTCTTTCTGCTTGAGTTTCTGCACAATATCCTCCGCTCAGCTATCAATACTTCACCACTTCCTGTAGACTTCTCCAAAGAAAGGGCCATTGCAGACGGGGTGTTAACAGCGAATGTAGAAGACGACGTACTGGATTTACTGCAGGTTGAAAAACTCTCTCGCATTGAGGCCGGGTGATGCCAGTGTATATATGAATATCAGTATTCATGCTTTTCAGAGGATGATTCCTTTGGATTTAGTTGACTCACTGAGGTTTCATCTGGCTCCTCATGTCAGATGAAAATGTCCCCATGACAGCACTTTGGTCACTGACGAGGCCTGAAAAGTAAGGAATTTTTTGATAATTAATTCTTTAGTTCCACCCCGAGCTTTACTTTACAGTGGTGGTGAAAAAAGTATTGAAGTTCAGTCATAAATTAAAAAAAAATACAAGAATTTGACCGATTTTTTTTTTTTAGAAAGAAAGTGATTTCTAAATGTAGAAACATGAAACCAAGTATTTCTGGACACTAACAGTTATTTGAACTATATAAATGTTTTACTTTTTGACATATGCTCATTTTTACTTTAATTTTTTAGCCGTTTTTCTCCACCCACAGCCAATCGGCTGGCGCCGTCGCTAAGTGCACAGTTATTTTACATCATTTTAAACAGGATAATGCAAAAAAAGGCTGTTTGGGAGGATATTCATGCTCCCAAGAGGATGAATGCTATGTATTTTACTTAATATTATAAGCCAAGAATCATCAACTTGCAGTTTGTTCCTCTAGAGTGGCTGCAATGCTGCATATCAGTGCCTGTTGTTTTCTATGCAAACCAACACCTTTTTTTACCATATTGTGCAGCCTTAATGTGCGCTACCTCGTCAGGATGCTCCACTGTTAACATGCATCACTGCCCCATAATGGCAGCAGTTTCATTACATCTCCCCCTGCACATCCTGCCTACTGTTCCCTGACTGCTTCCTCAGATGTGAGCTTCAGGCGTCTGATCGCTTGTGGCAAGTGACACGATGCTACGTGACATAGCCAGAGTGACCTTTAGCCTTGCTACTTATACAACAAATTGGTGATGTTGGGGTGCAAATTCTGTTCCAAGTCAGTTGTACAAAGATAACAGGGCTCCACATGAAGTACAAAGACACTGATGTACAGTATGTTTGTATGTATAGTGTGTCTGGATGAGAGGAAGATAAGACGCTAGCAGTGGGATAGAACCCTCTGGAGCAACGGCCTCGAGGCTTGTATCAGAGGGAACCCCCGCGCTTGTTCCTCTTCTCCCCAAGGAACCGAAGCGGATGCGGGAAAGTCTTGAGTTTATTTGCTAATACTAACTTCAGATCTCTCTCTTTCAATATCCCCCTCAAGACCAAAGCCATCAACAGGAAGCAGCCAATGCGCTACCAGATGGACAACTACGAGCAGCCGACCAGGCGACAGATGAGACCCACGGAGACGGAGGATGTGGCTGTAAAGGTCAGGGTCGCAAGTTCACATGTTGGGGAAGGGTTGAAGGACAGAGAAAAGTATGAACTCTCAAAGACACCAGGGACATAACTGCCAGAGGCCAAGGTTAACAGTTCAGCAGATATATGGTTTTAGACCTACACGTGAAAGAAACTGCCAGCGGTATTGCACCATAAACAGGGCGTTCTGTGGTCTTCTCAGCAGAAATAGAGAGGTCTTGCAGGATGAAGGACTTCCCAGAAAGAAAGTGTATTTCTTTAACATCAGAGTTCCCACATGTCCTAGAAAACCTGGAAATTTAGAGATGAGTTTTCCAGTCATGGAAACACTTAGAAATTGATTAAAATGAACAAATATGCCATAAATATCTATGTTTTGCTGGAATTGTTTTTTTTTATGGTTACCTTCTGTTCAGGTCAAACAGAGTGAAGGAGCATGTTGGCTCACTGGAAATGCTACGGAGCCACGGAATTAGTATCACTGGTAATAATCATTGTGTTTGTAATAATCAAACCCTGGAAAGGTGAAACATCAGCTATGGGGAGAACAGTCAAGCCAAGTGAGCAAGTACTGTCTTGTATTGTCAAAAAAAACTCTAGAGAATGTCCTGGAAAATGTCCTGGATTTCTTAACCATTCCTTAAAGACCTTCGTCTTGTTGTGAGACTGATTCCAAGAGGATTTTCTATGTGAGACACTGAGAGAGGGGATTAGAGGCAGACGCATTCAGGAGCGATGAACTCAGCTTTCCAGACCGCCGCCTGACACTTAGACGCTCCCCTCTTAGCGATTACGTGTAAGGAGACCTTTGGGGATAGACAAGTTTAGGTACGGAGGAATGGGTTGCCTGTTTTCATAGAAATGGAGATAGAAGAGGAGGGGATTTATCAGAAGAAAAAAACATGAGAATGTAAAAGCAAGATATAAATATTATTACCAATTTTAAACAAAGAATAGCAGATTTATCTGAACGCAGCGGGAGCAGAGACTGTAGCCCCCCCAAAAAGTTAAAAAACAAACACAGTGGTTGTGTTCTTCCTTTTTTAAATGATTATTATATATAAAAAACTTAAATCTTTTATTTGGCTGACAGTAAAAACATGAGCTCAGACACCATGCCATGGCTTTCCTTGACAACTGTGCACACCTAGAGGATGGACAATATCAGCCTTTTCTTTAATTACACCTTTAATTATATCAGCACAGATGATTCGTTCTACTGATATTTCTGTATTTATTATAACACCACCTCTTGCATCCTCTATATGAGGAGGTCATTAGCACTCACTGCTCCCTAATACCTTCATCTATTTATCTCTATCAACAGCTGGTTCACATCTTCACTGTTTGTACATCCAAGGGTCATTTGTGGGTGCGTGGAATCATACATGTGACGTGTGTGTGTGTGTGTGTGCTCTCAGGAAGTGTAGGATTCACACGAGAATTTGTTGCCCCTTAAAGGGCCTTGTGGATGTGTCCAACATTTTCTCAGCCCCTCTGTGAAGGTTGCTCTTCCGGCCTCATCCCTGCGGAGTGATGCTACCGACCGGACGGTGGTCTGCTAATTAAAGAGAGAGAGATAGAGAGAGCAGTGGAATACACTGAGGGCCCTATCTTACCCCGGTGCAGTTTCATTGCTTACGTCCATGTGTACATTGTAAAGTGAATGTACTTAAATCTTAAAATGGGATATAGTTATGTGCGTTGTTAGCGCATTTCTATCTTGAGGCCGCAGAGAGAGATTGACCATTAAAGACCTTGTCTAAAGACATTTTCCTGCTGTTGTTTTCTGCTATTTAAAGGGCGTATTGTTCAGATAGTAAGATGCGCACACTCTGCACACACAGCAGCGCTTACCTCCTTAGTTAAACACGGTGCATTTGCTCATTATGCCATCAAATGGAGTTGTGGATGTGCAGATGACCACATACCTGTCGTTCAGCGAACAGTGCTGTTGGATGGGTTTGAGCTCAGGGCTGTGTGCAGGTAATTTAAGTTCAGGGTTCCCACCCGTCCTGGAAACCTTGAAAACTTGGAAATCCTTTTCCAGTCATGAAAACACCTGGAAATTGATGAAAATGACCAAATATCTTGAAATAATCGCACCGAAAAACCCTCCTTATTCATTTCCGCTCCCATGATTTTCTGTAAAATAAACAAATGTTCTCCTTGATTTGAATTGTTATTTATGGGCTGTGGCCAAATTCATGTTTTGGTTAGAGGAAAATTGTATAAACTAATTCACTAATGTCCCATAAAAGCTGACCACCTACGGGTGACCGCTGGTTGTGAGCACATGCTGTCCTGTATTGTCAAGAAAAACTATTATAGAAAAAATATTTCTTAAAAAGAGTGGGAACCCTGAATTTCTTCCACACCAAACTGGGAAAGACATTTCTTTCTGGTCCTGGCTTTGTGCACGACGGCATCGCCTTGTTGAAACAGGAAAGGTCCGACCCTGAAATTGCATATAGTGTGTTATTGGCAGCAAATAAAGCTGCTACATACGAGTGGTTTCCAGTGGGCATGAAAATTCAGGGTACTAAATTTCTCCCACATGGATTTATTGGATGTCTTCCATCCAATGTAGTTATAGATAATGGTTCATGCTTTATTTTGTAGCTACAGTTAGTCAACTCCTGAGCCAGAGGCCTTAAATCAGTTAAACTGTCGACCAAGGGCTGATTTTATGTATGACATCTCTAATTCATCAGCTTTCTGACGTTTTTAGGATGAAGTGGTGCATCTTCACAGCCACTGGATGTCCTCGGGTACAGATGTAACATTGAGGATTAAACTGGGTGTTGTTCCCCTTTAATTTTAAGGATAAAAGTCTTAATATTGATCATACAGGTTTAACTTTTTATGTTGTTTGTTGTTTCATATGTTGACCTCAACCATGTGGCATTACAAGTAGCTCGTAAACACAACTGTTCCTGCAGCTTCTTACATTTAACCGCTCTTAGAATGTACCACAGTGAAACCCATATTTCTTTATTTCCATGTTTCACTCCCCGTCTTCTGTATCTCCTCTCCACTTCCGTTTTCCTTCCCTCCCCTGTTCTCTTTCTGATAGATTATCTGATTTTGTTTTTCCATTTTTGTATCTCATCCTGCTTTTATTGTTTCTTTCTCAGCAGCCGTGACACCAGTCTGTGATTTACGACATCCCAATCACTTGATTTGAGTACGATGCAGATGCCTGGCTATCATTTTTAGTTGTAACTTAATCACTCAGTGTAACCAATAACAGCTACCTGTGCTCAGGAAGCTTATATATCTTAAGATAAACCGGAAACATCTGATGAGATACCCCCAGTGTCTGAACCACTGAGACAAACTGAATTGAGTTCCTATTGAATATTTGCTTACAAAAGACTAAAGATGTTTTTATCTCTAAGATGCCTTTGAGAATCTGTGTCATGGGGAGAAAGGAACAGTGGAGGAAAGGCTTGGGGACGTGGGGGTGGGGGTGGCGGGGGTTGTCAGATAAAACAAACATAAAATAAACAAATAAATGCAACAGATGGGAGGAATGTAAACAGAGTCCTAGCAGGAAGCAGGGTGACAGATCACTGTTAGATCCGCTGTTGGACAGTGATCTCTTTCCCGGGGATATGTAATGGAGTGAAAGGCTTATAAAGATGGTTCACACTGACATCTGTCACCTACATGTTGAGCATATATGTTGCACACTGTAGGTGGAATTTCTGACTTCATCCGGTAAAGAAAACTCACCAAAACCTGTATTTGCACAAACGATGGAGCTAATGATCTTAATTTTCTGTCAAGAACTACTTTACTGACTTTTTCTCTGTTAGAAAATAACATACTGCATGAAAATCCCAAGCTGTTGTTCATGTTTGAGACCAGATATTTACTATATATCTATATTTATTTACTTCAGTGAGAAAAAGTTTAATCGGTAATCAAAGTTTAGATTTACACCGGCGGTTATATGTGGTGCGTTTGGATGCACTGTGAAAACTGAACACTAGTTATGATATGGTTATAAAGTTTTGAAGTCCAGTGTTTTATATCATCATCTAGGGATGGGACTATATACGATATTATAGCGTATCGCCAGTATCATGATAATCGTGAATTGAGATAATTGTGAATATTAACAGTCCAATTATTGAATTATTTTGAACAAGGGAACAAGGGAGAGCTCACATCTTTCCAGTCATTACAAACTCCTTCGTCTTCCCGTTTTATCCCCCCACAAAAACAGATTCAACCAGATGTGTAGAAATAGTATCATCTCCAAAATAAAGAACAGGGAGATGAGGTGACAATCAGTGATGCATATCTGAAGTTGACACTGACTAAATACATTAAAGATCCCCTCCGCTCAACAGTGTATTCATGAGAAAGAGAATATTAAACAGGGTAATTGATAGTATTTTTATTTGTTGTCTGAAAACATTGTGTGGAGGTGATCTTCAATTGTTGCTGGATTTCATTTAGATGTCCCAGTGAGCCAAAATGAACATTTATATTCAAGTTTTCTTGTATCTCGTTGTGTTGAATTTAATCATTTAATTTAATTGAGTGGGTTTTAAGACAACAACAATGAGCTGAAAATGAATGTTTGGGGATGAAATCAGACTGAGGGAGTGCATCTTTAGTAAATAAACTGAAGAAAATTAAAGGTTATTGCAGATTTTAGAGGATTTCTTCTTCTCCAAATCAAGGGTCTGAAGATAGATTGTGTTGCAACCTGTAGGTCCTGTGACGGCAATTTGTGGCAGATTTTTGCCAGTTTAAATCAAATTGACTCGGCTTAATTTGACTCTTTGATATTTTATTCTAACCTTAGTGATTATTGAGCCATTCACACTCTAATGAATTGAGCTTGGAGATCCTCAGACAGCTTTTACTAGCAAAAAAAAAAGTTAAAATAAATAACTGCACCTGTCGCTTTTGCGTATTTGTCAGCATTCATTCAGATGAGCTCTCCAGAACCTGACAAATGCGTCATCAGACGCTCGTAGCATGAGCACAGCACGTCTCCTTGATTGTGTAATACAGTTATCTCAGCAGCTTTCACACCAGTGAACTCAAAGTTAGGGTTTCTTAAACTCTGGGTCAGGACATAAAATGGGTCATGTGCTTTACTCCAGTGGGTCTCCTCATACAACAAAAACAGCACGTAGTCATGAGTTACACAACAATTTACTGCAAGACATCCACTGAAAAGAACAAATGAATCCCCAGCGTAAGTTGTAATACATTTTAGCCTTTAGCAGAGACATCTTTTTGAATTTCTCTTCATCTTTCTGTCCTTGTTTAGGTGAGCAATGGATTCTTCACCTGGGGCAACAACCTGTCCACACTGTCAGACATCAACATCCGCATCCCCACAGGTAGGACTAACCTCTCCGCCAGGCAGTAAATAACTTGTATCCAAGCTTAGATTCAGTATTTTATCAGAATCTTAATCAACATTTAAAAGATTCTATAATACCACCGGATCTAAAATGTTCTGTCACTGATGTGAGTAGATGTTTTAAACTCTTTAATGTTTTAAAGAGTTTGGTCTAGACCTACTCTATTGGAAAAGTGTCCTGAGATAACTTCTGTTATGAATTGGCGCTATACAAATAAAATTGAATTGAATTGAATGTGAATAACCTGTTAAAGTGGGAATTATGATACAGTAAATGTCTTTTCTTTAGTCTAGTAGCAGAGTCAGCTTGGTTAATCTGAACTAGCTTTTACCTAGATAGTTCCAGGTTATAGACAAATGTTGCAAAGCAGTCATTGTGATGTTAATGTTAGCCATTTAGCACGAACAGCTAACTATGCTACAGCAGTAGCATAACAAAAAGATCATGTCTGAGGTTGTATACTAGAGAGAAACACTAATATGATGATAAATAACTTAATAATTTAGAATTAGTGCTGTGTATTGGCAAGAATCTGGCAATACAATCACAATACACAATACAGGGGTTACGATTCAAAAGGCCGTAAAAAAAAAACTCCAATAAAAGCAGGGTCTCCAATAGAGGCCTGGTCTGGATTTTATAAAAATCATCTGGATGTATAAAACCTCTTAAAACTGCTCCAGGTCGCCTGCTTGAGCTAGTTTTAAGCCGTTTAGATCTTCTACACAAATACAAATGTTTAATTATGGATACTGCACATCGTTAGATCAGTGATCAATCTCCACAATTCAATCGTTCAGTTCATTTTACGCAAACTTATAAACACCAAAGTATAATTCGTTCAGACTTACCGGCAGTGTAAACAAGAGAGATTGAAAAAAGAACAGTTCGAGAATAGACAGAGAGTATTTCCTGTACTGAGCAAGAGTTTTGTGCTAACGGAAATAAACGCCGGTCCCAAATGGACGCCTGTCCCCAATAAAGGCTGGGTGAGTTCAGTGATTAATATTGTAGTATATATTTAAGTTTTACGGTACTGTGATATATTGTGATGCCGTAAGAACACAACACTATATGCATCCAATCTGCTAACACTGCTATCTAGCAGTTGGGGGTGTTTTGACAATCGCTGAACAAAAAAAAAAATCTATATATCGATTGTTTCATCCCTGTTTAGAATAAGGTGAATAGTTGTATTAGGGCAGTAAACACTGTGTCCTGTCAGTGATCAATACACAAACCCACTGCTCAGACAGGAACTGAACGTGCTGTTTGGTTCTGTCCAGATAACCAAGTGTTGTAATTTTAGAAGCACAATCAGCTGTTCTCTTCTGGTGTCGCCCAAAAGTGAAGGACCTCCGTCACTGAAGACTCCCGCTGCCAATTTAATTTCAGCTTGGTTTTTATTGGAGGTCATTTTGTTGAATTCATGGTCGCTCTGTAAGAACATGCAGACCTGCTGTGAGAGCATGGCAGTAATGCAGCAGCGATGTCACCAAAATACCAAGTGTCAGGAGACCAGGTCGTATCGAGGAGGCTGCCAACAGATGGACCGCGTAGTATTACACACACACACTTGTGTCTTCCCCTGGGAAGTGACTTGCCCGCTATCCCAGTCATGCTACTACTAAGACAAACATGATTTGTTGTTCTGCCAAATGTTGGTGTAATGTTACATGTAGTAACGGTAGTGTGTGTGTGTTTCTGTGTCAATCACTCTATCAGAGGACATTTTGACTGATCCTCACCTCTTCAAGGGACTGTTTTAGTGATAGAGTTAGCTTTAGGAAAGTGTTGATGGTTAAATTTAGGGGATAAGGAAGGAGTGAAGTCATTGGAGGGATTGAATTTCAAGGATTTGTATGTGTTTTTTTGGTTTTAAGGAACAACGTCCGGGCTCTGTCTGTGCTTAGCTCTTCACCTCAAACTTTTTAAATCAGAGAGATTAGTCAGAGTTGTGTCGTTGTAGAGTATCAGTCTGTATCGGCGTTACTCGGCCTTCTCTGACCCCGTGACACCCACTTATAGGTCGGGAAATTCTCACGGCCCGAGAGTGCATTTGTCTTGACTTATGATGCGAAGTTTGAAGTTGTGGATTTTGTTTTCAAAAGACTGCATCCAATATTTACAAATTACGATATAGTCAGATTTTAAAGCTGCAGTAGGTAACTTTCAAAATGAAAATAACTTTTTGGCATATTTGCTAAAACTTTCACTATATCCTGACAGTAGAACATGAGACAGATAATAATATAAAAAAATTATTTTTATAAAAGTTACCTACTGCAGCTTTAATTGTATAATTTAGAGTATAGAGTATAGTGTTTAGCATCTGTGAATTACATTTATGAAAGTCTTTGAAATGAAATAAATTCAACATATTGTTCATTATATCAGTGGTTCCCAACCTAGAGGTCACCAAATGTTCAGGGGGGTTCGCAATGCCAAAAACATATACAGTAGGCCGATATCTCAGCATTTTATTCATTTCTGGGAAGGAAATTAAATGAAATTGTTTGCTTACATAGTAGATATTACTGTTAAATGTAAGAATACATAATAAAGACAGAGAATTGTTCTTTAAACTATCAGGAAAACTTGTCTCTGATCAATAATCCCATGAAATAATCTGCTCAAAAGTCATCCAAATCGCTTGTTTTACACTTCGAATATGTCACTTAGTCAGGGGTCCCTTCAGGAAAAAGGAACCACAGTATTATATTATAGGAGGAAAACACCAACAGTCTCAACCTTTTTTTTAATCTGTTCAGGTCAGCTGACGATGATCGTGGGCCAGGTGGGTTGTGGGAAATCCTCCCTGCTGCTGGCCATGCTTGGTGAGATGCAGACCATCGACGGAAGAGTCCACTGGAGCAAGTAAGACACTGCAATGCCTCTTTATAGGACACAGAACCTCATGTTAAATGCAAGAATTTGGGTTTTACTGAGGATCTAAAGCAGTTGTAGGTGTCACAGATTTTCACTTTGAGTACTAATGTTTTTAGCTTCCCCACAAGATTAGGAGATGGAGAAGATGGTGAATATCAGTGCCTGAATTGGACCAAAGAAGGTGCCAGTACTGTAATTCAGCTCAACCCTAACCCTGAACACAACATAATCTTTCTTTGAACCATTTTAACAAGGAAATGTAGTCATTTACGTAGGATAACCTAATCAGTATTGCTGTATGCAGGTTTTTAGAAATACAGAGACTGAAAGATGGAACTTATTAGGAAGGGTTTGGAGGTAAAAAGATATTTTTAGGTCATTATTTCACGACTTTTCTTGTATACCACACTGAGGTCTGGACCGGCCCATTTCAGGCACTGGTGAATACGCAGTACAGGTGTATCTTTAAGGTTTCAGGGACTTTTATCTACTTAAATCTAAGGGAGGATACCATAAGATATTCAAATTTGAGCTGCTGAAAGTTGAGAATTTTGACATTTTGTTGTTACAAAATGACTCAAAACAATTAAGCAACCATTGAAATAGTATTGATTTAATAGCTGACAACTAATCAACTAATCTATTACCCATTTTAATGCTCAGGTTAGTGTTTATGTTCCCATTGGTCTTTGCAGATCTTTCTCCTTGTGCTACATTGTCAATCCTCTTATTTTTCTTTCTTTCAAATGTGACTGCGAGGCTATCTGCAGGTTTTTATTATTACATTTTTAACTACACATAGTAACAACATACAAATATTTGTATTCATTGGTGTTTATAAGGATACACTTGCATCACAAATCTGATTACATGCAGTACATCTTTTATATTTCTGGAGTAATTGCTGGATAAAACACAAAAGCTTAGTGATAACTGTGATGTTTCTTAGATGTAAATATATATTATCTAGTTTCTGAGCTATGGTTTGAGAGATATGGACAGAAAAAAATGATTTGTCCATTAGCATTAAGTGTCCAAGATCATTTTCCAGTATGATTTAATTTTCTGCTTTGATGGTTATAATATAAATTAAATGACTTTGACTTTTAATTTATGAAATGAAAGATGAAAAACTCAGTCATGGTTATATTTCATTTATATTTTAAAGGAATATGTTCTCAGCTGGGTATAACTGCTGTTCAATAGACTTGGGGATATTCAATTACACTAAAGAGGCTTTTAATATGAAATTACCACATCAGTGTCAGTATTTGTTTGTCTGTTTTCATTGCAACAATCACATTTACTGTCATATTACCTTCCGTCTCACACAACACCACAAAGAGCCAGTTTGATAGTCATTAAATCAATATCCGGAGAGTATTGACTGAGCAATATAACAATGCTGTGATTTAACCCTGAAGGTCATTTTATTCTGATGGATAGTGTGGAGAGCCGTCTAAATTGACTGCTGCTATCATTATGAATCAGCATAGTAATATCTATAGCTATTAATGAATTGGACTCATTAGTAGGCCATGAGACTGACTTTGAGAGAAGAGAAATAGACTGCAACAAGGCAGATATGCCTATCTTTGTGGATTTCTTCAGTCCCCTGACACAAAGGGGAAAATAAATAGCACAATCTGCATCGGCTATCGGCCAAATTGTTATTTTAAACATCAGCATTGGCCCACAATTCCCCAATCTGTGCATCCCTAAATAAAACATCTCTTATGATAACAATAAAGCCTCTCAAATGACCTCTGCAGCCAGTTTTGACGAATGAAGAAAAAAGTTACTTCCATAACTCTGGTTCTCTGAGTAGCAGGATATTACTGATGTGTCAGAGAACATTAGTTGAAATTACCATACAGTCTTGCTGCAAGTGGATACTCAAGAGATGCTTGTTTTTATTAAATTATGAGCTAATACAGCCAAAGATGATATTAAGTCAGTGATGAAGTTAGCTAGTTAGCATGAGAAGCTGACCTGAATATCTTTGAGTATTTTCAAGTATTTGGAGGTGAATGCTGCCTTTTTGTGCATTTAACTGCATCTCAGAAACCTCTCAAAGGTTTTCTTACTGGATTTTTTCTCTTACAGGAAGTCTGAATCTGTTTCAGTCTCTGTTTTAACTGCAGTTTACTTTCCACTCTCATAAATCTTTTATCACAATACCTGTAGATCACACGTCGGTATCAGAAGAAAATCTGTAGCCTCGGCTGCACTCTAACCTTTGCAGTGTGTGTATATGTGTGTGTGTGTGTGTGTCTGTTCATGTGACTGCATGTATACATGGATGTGTGTTATTGTGTGTGTGTGTGTGTGGTTTCTATCTCTTTACCTCCTGCCTTCTTACCATATCAGGCTGCCTGATTGTGAGATGGCCTACGAAGGGAACATAAGGTACTTTCCTCTCTGGTCTCCTCTTTCTAAAATATAATCATTCACACATACTTTATTTATTGTTTTAATCCATTCAGCTAAATTTGTCTAATTTACAGTGATTTATATCAAATTTAATCTTAAACCGCCTCTATTGCCAGCAATGAAATCAGCTTAATAGCCCAGAACAGATGGAAAGGGTCAGAAACACATCAACCCATTCACATGTGGTTCTTAACAACTACTGGTGAACTAAAAGCATTAAGAAGCTAAGTTTAGTTTGAGAGCCATTTCTATCTGTTGAGGGCTTAGTAGACAGCCGAAAGACTTTTTTAGTAGTCAGGAATCCACCCAGAGGTTTAGTTCTGACACATTGACCTTTTGGTTAATGTAGCCCGTAAGTGATGACACCAACCTGTCTACAGATCGGTAATAATGTTTTGAGACTTACAGCACAGTATACAGTGACCAGAAAAATAGAAACCCTGTGTTTAGCAGCCATATTTTGACAGGATGGATGCAGTATTTCAGTTTATCCTGAAGGTGTTCAGTGGGGTTGATATCAGAGAAGTCTGATTCTGGTTTCATGTCACATTCCCAGCAGATGTTTCGCTCTGACAGGCAGCATTTTATTGAAAGTATCCCTCCCCTTGGCTGGACATGATGCCCATGAATGGACTGCTACAATACTGGGGTCTAGTGTGGTGGGAAGGCATTAATCTCGTGGTCTAAGTGGCCTCCAAACTACAGTGCAATCTTGGTCTGTACTCAGGAACTGAGATTTATTAGACCAGACAACCAGTCCTGATGTTTCTTAGGACATTTTCGATTGCCATTTACAACCTCTGAAACTCCTCGCACTGTGTTCCAGTGTTAATATACCAAGGGCTCCCAATAGATAGTCTGGATATTGAGGTTAAAACTCGACTAAATCTGACTGAAAAATGAACATTGTTTGGCGTCTGAGTTAAAAGTTAAGCGTTGTCTAACCAGCATTTCAGTGACTCCATTAAATACTGTTGAAATAACAAATACATGTAAGAATTGACCACCTGTTGAACTAATACTCCAAACTAATTGGAGGCTGTATGTCTCCAGAAAGTTGGGGTATCCACTCCTATCGTAACAAACAATTATATACAATTAGCTGCCCCTGTGAGCTTCTGTAAGGGCAGGGTTGATATCTTTCTGGTCACTGGAAGAAGAAGTTTATCTGGCAGAAACCAGCAGAGCTGCATATGTTTTTAATTTTATCTAAAATCTACAGGTTAGATGTTAGGGCCTCGTTCTGTAAACGCCTACTGAATATACTTAAACCCAGGACATTGTTACCTCACACACACACACATACACACACCCTTGTGCTCAAAAAATATGAGACATTGTCGAAGAAGCCACAAAACCTAATTATCACAGACAGACAATGACTGCATCACTTACATGGCTCTTCTTTTCTGGGTGGGAAGGTTAATTCGATTAACAGTTGGCGGGCTTACATCGTGTCTTCGTTATCTAGGGTTTGGCATGAAAACACGTCCGTCTCTTCCATCTTTTTTTTGTGTCTTTCTCTGTCTTTCTTCCTCCCTTTTGCTTTGTCTTTCAATGTTTCCCGAGTCTCTTTCAACAGAAGAGAAAGCCTGTCGCTCTCAGCTGTTTCTCTCTCTCTCTTTTCCCTGTTGCCTTCTTGTCTTAATTCATATTTTTTTACTCACAAACACAAATATACACACAGTTGATTGCAGTAGGCTCATTCTAACACACTGACGTGACTTTGACAGTTGGTCAGAGACAGAGGAGTGTGACGAAGACTTCAGGAGGTATACGTTCTTCTTCGTGTCTCGCTGTTTCAGATGTGAAGTGACCCTCTGACCCCCTCATTCGCCTTCTTTTGCTCTCATCTGATTTAACTCCAATTTCCATCTCAGAAGAAAGTACTGTTTTCCACTACAGTCAGAGTGTTTTCTCGCAGTGTTTCAGGCTGTGTTGTTCATGGACACATACATATGGGCTGCATCTGTTTTTATTACTTAGTGTGCAATAATTTATTACACTAGAGTTTAGTACGAAAGGTTTTATATGAAAAATACGAAATTCCAAAGCACCAGCATCTCAGACCAAAACAATGGGAGTCAAATGAAATAAAACTCAACAAAACTGTTTTTGTTAGTCTTTCCAGAAATCACCGCGGCTGGTTTGGTCAAAATTAACATTTAGTTTACAAAGTTAGATGCAGAAATCTTCATGAAAAGGGCTGCAACGGCCGCAGCGTAAGCTCACGTTAATCCATGGGGACAAATTCAACCATTAAAAGTTCTTGTTTTTGCCAATAAGAGGCTCTCAGTGTCTGACAGCATTATGGAAAGGATCCCTACAGAGATAGACCTTTAGTTTAACCAGAAACAGCCATAATATCACTATCACTCTCCACCAGACTCCAGAGACAAAAACACTCATTTTACCTTGTAGCATCGTAACTTAATTCAAACTCAACAGAAACAGAATAAAACTAACCAAAACCGTCTCTGTTAGTGTTTCCAACAATCAGCAACTCTGGTTTGGTGGAAATAAATCCTTAATTCACGGACGTAGATGATAAAAACAGCAGTTTCAGTCGGAGCAGACCGGCTATGGAAACAAACCACAGCTGCGATACAACACAGGCAGAGGGAGAGAGACACCGTGTAAATCTGTGTCTTTATATAGAGAATAGCTATTTGCTGCTTTATTAATGTATAAAAATAACCTTTATGTTTTATTGTTTTAGTGTACGTAGTGTTTTTCCACCTTTTTATAGATTTTTTTGCTTTATAATAATCACAACACACAACATTAAACATTCATTTATATAGCATTTTTATACACAAAATGCAGCTCAAAGTACTTTACTTATATGATATGATAAACAAAAGTATTTTAGTCATATACAGATCTATAGATTTTTAAACACTTTTATACGTCACATTCACACCTTGAATCTTAAAGTTCAACTAATATTTTTGTATTTTGGTCACCGATGAACTCCCTTTATAGTGTAGTTAGTATGAACGTCCTGTTCCTGTAATCATTCTGCTGCGGCAGCGTTATGTTCAGCGATATGTGTGTGTTCAAGAACGACTGCATCAGCCTTCAGAGTGTACAATCTTCTGCTCATCGAGTTGCTTTTCTCCCATTGAGTTGATCATTGGTTTTGTGTCGCCCGGTCCTGGTGTGGTTTGTGCTTTTAATGCTGGGAGTCATAACTCAAACTAATTCAAACACGCTCCGTTAATGTAGTCTTTTTATTCTTTAAGACTTTGATACATTTGGGCTTGAGAGGCCAAATATATATATACATGCAGGTATATTTCTATAATAATACATATTGACTCAGAGTCTTTTTAGCAATGTCTAAATTTCTCCTCTGTGCTTCAGTATGAGATATTTGGGACAATATAGTTGTAAAAAAAGGACTTTATGCATTGTATTGTATGCTCCACATGCACACATTACGTATTTCTGTATGGTTGTAATATAGTTACAGCAATCCTATAATAATAATGTCAACAAGTTGTATTACGTGTTTCTTATGTTTTAATTTGGATTAAAGGGAAAATATCAAGTATAAAATAATACAAACTAACAAGCAAATTTTGTAAAATGAACAGATTTAGGCTGTTTCGTTTACGTTATCTTTAATCTTAAACTCCCAGCAAAGTGCTGCAGTTTTTGTTGTTGTTGTTGTTGTCCTTGTTGATGTTTTTATTTATGTTTGTGTTGCTGAAGTTGGTGTTATTGTTGATGTTGTTGTCGTTGCCGTCGTTGGTGATCAGCAGCTCATCATTAACCAAATCCATGATCCATATTTCTCTCTCATATCTGACCGAATCTTTTTCATGTTGCGGTGGAGTTTGACCAAAACATAATCCTCCCTCCTGTCCTCCTTTTTTCTTTATTATGTTGTTTGGGTTGTTTCGCATTTATAAAGCTGGTTAGAACAGGAGTACTGATCTTATATAAGCTTTCCAACAAAGCTTTTTTTGAGGGGCTGTATTTCCACCAATGGAAATAAAGCACAAGATTTTGCATTTGGATTTGTACAAAATATGGTATGACTCCTGAAATACACTGTAATAAGTTATTTTAACTCAAAAGAATTGTTGAACCCGATTACATCGAACATTTTAAGTGACACTAACTCAATTTTGTGAGTTAAAAACATCCTTGATTAAGCAGCTTTTACTAGAAGTTGTACTCATTTTTTACTAGTTTTGTAAGTTACAGAAACTTTTACTTTTTATTAGGCATTTTGTTTTCACAGTACAAATAAAGATTACAAAATTAAGTCAGTGTCACTTAAAATTTAAGAGTAAAAGCTGTTTAATCAAGAATGTTTATAACAAACAAAATTTAGTTAGTGTTATTAAATTAACTTATCAGGTTTTATAGTGTATTTAGGGATTGAGGTGATGGGTAGAAATGCTGAGAGATAAAATACTCATGGATATGACACATAACATTTTTGTTAACACTAATATAGAATACAGTTTTAACAACATATATGTGGTTGTAGAAAGTTTTTAAACTTAGAAATACAAATTATTGCATCTTATTGACAAAAGCTCTTCAAAGCTGTATCTTAGCAGTGTCTTTAAACCTCATTCTAATCTTGTTATATTATTTAAAAACGTGTTTATTAAATCACTTATCCAGTAGGTCTTATTAAAAAATATATCATGGTTATTCCATATTTACATCAAGGATGAATTGTTCACAAAAAATGTGAAAATGTGGCCAAAAAGAGGGAATGGGGTCTTCAAAAAATTTGTTTTAATTGTTTAATGATTAAAGGATTTTATTAAAAATGTAATCACTTATTAAATGCTGTAGTAGTAAATATCGCTGGAAGGAACCGACTGTAACGGATCAGTACTCCTGCTCTCTAAAGCTTTATGAATACAGGACTTGTAGTTCTCACTGTCTGTTTGCTTCTGTTTCCCATGATGCACCCAGCAAGAACAGATACTCTGTGGCCTACGCTACCCAGAAGTCTTGGCTGCTCAACGCTACCGTGGAGGAGAACATCACCTTCGGCAGCCCGTTCAATAAACAGAGGTACAAATCCATTGTGTTCATTTCTGTTGTATTGTTTGGCTTCTTTTGGTGCTTTTATCCCTTTGTAATGTGGAAATTAACACAAATGTTGTGTCTTATATTATAAAATGGTATTATATCTTTCAAAACTACCTGCTGATTCAAGCTTCCAAGTTGATCTGCTGGTGATTTTGTTTTTTCAGGTACAAGGCAATGATTGACGCCTGCTCTCTGCAGCCGGACATTGACCTGCTGCCTTTTGGAGATCAAACTGAGATTGGAGAAAGGGTATGCACATGTTCAATTTATTTTTAATTATATATTTTAATTTACCATTATTTACACGGCTAGGGTTCGATGGCGTTCGGTGGCGTTTTAATGCATTTTTAAGGCTGTAAAGATAATATTTCTTATCATGTTTTGCTGTGATTCAGGGCATCAACCTGAGTGGAGGTCAGAGACAGAGAATCTGTGTGGCCAGAGCTCTCTACCAGAACACCAACATCGTCTTCTTGGTGAGCAAGTCTCTTAAGAAATGTTACATAAAGATTAGCGATGTGGATGGCTTTCTCTCTAATGTATACATTTGTATTAATATTATTATTTCTGGACACATTTGAACATAAAATACTTTCCATATTACTGCAGCTTTGTTGTGTATTGCTGAATTAGTGTCATATCCTAACCCTACATTTCTTTATGTTTGATTGTACGATACAGTCCATGCTGGCCTTTGGGATGAGGAGGTGTCAGTTTCTTCCTCACTCCTCTGTCCGCTATGCTGTCATGTGTTTATCTTTCCAAGCAGCTGCGTAATTTCCTGTTGCCACTGCAAGCTTTAATTTGTTATCAAGCCCACATTCCTCATTAAAAAGCTATCAGTGGCATTCTTTCATACACTCATCACACTTTGTAATGTCTAGAGTGTGTCACTGGTAAAACTGTAATCTATAATGAGGAGGGAATGTTTTCTTTAATTACCATTATTTCAGTGTGCTCTTCTTGAGCTCCTCGTATCTGATCTCGGGATTTGAAATATGCGTCATCGTACACACTCATCATAAAATACATAAATTAATCATAACCAGAGCTCTATTAGCGTGCTATAGCATGCACTCTATAACACAGACCCACCCAGCGAGAGAGGCATTGTTGGAACAAAGCAGAGATTTACAACTTCCCAGAACCCTTTCTTTCCTCATTCCCCATCTCTTTTCCAAATACAGGAACCGCTGGGGCTCTCTACAAGAGATACGAAGAGAGTCTCACAACCCACTCGGTTCCCTCTTACCATCTCGCCGAACCCCTCCGTCCATTCATCCATCCGCCAACAAGCCCACCTTTCTTCCATCCATTCATTCCTCAACCTTCAACCCTTCATCCCTGATCTCTCATCCCTTCTTCCCTTCATCCTTCTTCCCTTCATCCCTTCATCCCTTCATCCCTCAACCCTTTCCCGATCCATTCATCCCTCCTACAGTACACCACATTAGTTTACATGTATTCATTACGTGCAATAAACCTTTCTAAATTCCATACGTTCATTGGCTTGGTCTTTGTTAGTCAAAAGAAAAGTGCCGACTCTCGCCAGTTCTCCTGAATCATCCGTACAAACCTTTAAAGAATGAATGTGTTCGTACGAGGTGAAATCTTTTTATCCACAACACAAGTACCTTCATCGCCTGAATGCTAACCTGTAGATTACTTTCTGGAGTCCACCTCACAGAATGTAAAATCTGGCAGCGTTCAGGACAACAACACAACAAAAAGAGCTAAACGGCAACGCTGTGTGGCAATAAAGATCTCCCTTACATCTCTCTCTCTCTGTCTCACAGGACGATCCCTTCTCGGCGCTGGACATCCACCTCAGCGATCACCTGATGCAAGAAGGAATCCTCAAGCTTCTGCAGGACGACAAACGGACCGTGGTCCTGGTCACCCATAAACTGCAGTACCTCACACATGCAGACTGGGTAGGAATCCTGAAAGTGATTTTAATACATGTAGTGAGCAGCATTTATTACAAGTCAAGCTCTTTCCTGTGTGTCTTATTCAGATCATAGCGATGAAGGACGGCTCTGTGCTGAGAGAGGGAACTCTGAAGGACATCCAGAATCATGACGTTGAGCTTTACGATCACTGGAAGACCCTGATGAACAGACATGACCACGAGCTGGAGAAGGTAGCGTTGCATGGTTTCAACAAATATCAGCATCTCATGACGACCCATGTTTTAACCACACAAACAGCTCTGATTCTAATGTAGTGTTTTCTATTGTCTCTGTATGTAGGACATACAGCAGGACAGTCAAACAACTCTAGAGAGGAAAACACTGAGGAGAGCTTTCTACTCCAGAGAGACCAAGAACCAGATAGACGATGAGGACGAGGGTAATGGGTTCACCATCCTTTGAGGTCTTCCATTGTCATAAATGAACTAAAACCTGATAAAACTTGAAATGTAATTGTTGGATCGGGCATTGTAAATTATAATCTATATATTTTTGATTATTATTTGATATGAATTTGTATTTGTATGTATTTTCCCTTTGTGTATCTTGTTTTTGTCCGATTGTTTTCTACTCTTACTCTTGTAAATGTTCGGATTGTGTCTGTTTGTATTGTGTGTAATATTTTACTGATTGAGTGAGAGGATTCTGTGGAGGTTAATGTTGTTTGATTGAATCATATGCCATATGTGATACCTGGTTTTCATCCTATCAGAGGAGGAAGAGGAGGAGGAAGATGATGACAACATGTCCACAACCACTAATAGAAGGTCGAAGATCCCATGGAGGGTAATCTATCTGTGCAGCTTTATCCAGAAACTATAAAAATTTTACTAGCATCACCATTAGCTGGTTAACTTAGTAGCAAGACTAGAGTCTGCCATCCATTCAAGCCTGTGCTGCCCCCCCCTCAGGTGTGCTGGTGTTACCTGTCCTCTGGTGGGTTCTTCATGGTCTTCCTGATGGTGTCCTCTAAACTTCTCAAACACTCTGTCATCGTTGCCATCGACTACTGGTTGGCTCTCTGGACCTCCTCCAAAACCAGTCAGAGTACCGGAGGGGGAACAGCCCCGACCAACGAGACCAGCACAGTTTACGGCGGCAACAGCACGCAGCCCACGCCGGCTACGATGGAGGATGAGGTATAATATCTCTCACAGGGGTTCTTTCTGATTAATCTTTAGGATTTAGGGAAATTATTTGAAGACTGAAATTGCCAAGATTTACTTAAAAATGCTGAATTTTAATTATAAGAGGAAACAATTTACATACCCCCACCTGTTCTGAACATGCACGATAGATTTCTACGTTTTCTACGATTTCTGTGTTCTTTGCCCAAAAAAGCACATATTTGCATTATATACCAGAAAGAATTCAACTGTTAAGATGAAACATTGATTCCCTTTGCAAAATTGGTTTGAGGGCAAAAAAACAGCAAATAAAATAGTATGATAAATGATTCCAACATGCAATTAAAGAATGCATATCAGTTTCACTACTGTAATAGAATGTGAAATAATATTGAGACAAAAGAGAAAAATTTAATTTAAATATGCATGTAACATATAAAACAATCACTACCAGCGAATTAAACAATATGAATAACATGAATCTAATACATATAAACAATGTTAGATAATATTGAAGGTAGTGCTTCATTTTACAGGTGGAATAATCTCAAAATTTCTATGAGTTTTCTGGAAAAGAACTACGTAATTTGGCATGAATTTTAAGAAAGTGTTCAGTTGAAACCCTTCCAGTTAATTGATAATATGCTAGAATAACATAAAGAGTGTTTTAGTCAGTGCACAGAAGGTTTGCTGAAAATGTAGCAATATATAACAAAAAAATATGGAGAATAAAGTTTAAAGCCGCACTAGGTAACCTTTTTAAAACTAACTTTTTGTCATTATTGCTGAAATTTTCACTGTGTTCTGGCAGTAGTACACGAGACGTGAAAAAATCTGGTTCCCCTGCCAGGGGAACCTAATATTTTCACAGATTATCTGTTTCATGTTCTACTGTCTGGATATAGTGAAAGTTAGGCTATTTTCCCAATATTTAATAAACCATTACATCATGTTTTTCAGGAAACTTCTTGGAAAATGACAGATTTTGAACAATTGATGACATATAGCTGTGCATTCGTGAAACATTGCTCTTTTTGTCTGTGTGTGTCTGTGTGTGTGACCCTCAACAGGACTCCTACTACCTGCCGGTGTTCATCATCCTGTGTGCGGCTGGAATCACGCTGTGCCTCATCACCTCTCTCACCGTGGAGTTTCTGGGTCTTTCTGCAGCCACCAACCTGCACCACAACCTTCTCAACAAGATCATCCACGCCCCCATCAGGTACACAAACACACACAACTATAACTACTCATATCTACTCCAGTCCAGAGTTGTTGTGACTAAGATGAATGTTAGTTAAACTTGTGGTCCCCTCACTGGGGAGCTGTTTAACTTCCTTACAGTATGTAGTTACTCACTTGTTTTCACTGCACAAAAGGGGCAGTTTTATCTTGAAAAAAAGACATTTGTTAGGCACTGAACTTTGGCTGTATCACAAATACTTTTTATTTTCCCAGGAGGGCAAAGTCATGAGCTACCCTACTCTGCCTCTGATTTGCTTTTAGCCTGATATTCCAAGATATCTGTTGCCCTGTGTGAAACAGCTTCAGTGCCTAATAAATGTCCTTTTTCAAGATCAAACTCTACATTTTAGACTGGCCTTGTATTGTGACCAAGCCAAAGCACACGTGTGTTGATATCTGTCAGGTGGAAGTTTTTACTAACACAGATTTTAACAAGTTTGTGAACAAAATCTGAGAGAAATTAGCATTTTTCTTTGGATAGAAGAAGTCTAAGATCTTTTACTTTATAAGTGGGAGCAGTTGCATGTAGTTCCTGATTGATAGGATTTTAGGGGCATCTATTGGTGAAGCTGCAGATAGCAACCAACTGAATACTGCTCAGTCAGTAGGAGAAACTACAGTAGCCCAAACGTGAAAAAAACCCGCCCTGTCTAGATCCAGGGTTTGTCCGTTCTTAGCTACTGTAGAAACATGGCAGATAAAAACAGCTCATTCTAAGGTAGTAAGTAACAACAAAAGCTACATCAGGGTGGTCTCTCTCTCTCTCTCTCTCTCTCTCTCTCTCTCTCTCTCTCTCTCTCTCTCTCTCTCTCTCTCTCTCTCTGTCTTGCCAGATAGAAGCTAACATAGCCTTTGTTTAAATGTCAGAGCTAGAAAAAAACACCCAAAATGTGTGCTTTAGATATTATTTGATGCATTTATTTCCTCTGTCTTCAGGTTTTTTGACATCACTCCTCTGGGGCAGATCCTCAACAGATTCTCAGCTGATACCAACATCATAGACCAGGTAGGGAGATGATTTCTGGATCAGTTGCATGACTATGTCACAGTCAGTAGAGGTTTAAACCAACTTCAAACGAAAATTCTTTCTCTCTCAGCATATTCCTCCTACGCTGGAGTCTTTGACGAGATCCACGTTGCTCTGTCTCTCGGCGATCGGGGTCATTTCCATCATCACTCCAGCTTTTCTGATCGCCTTGGTTCCCCTGGCGGTGGCCTTCTACTTCATCCAGAAGTACTTCAGAGTGGCCTCCAAGTGAGTCCACGGTTTATTTGCTGTAGATAGAGCGCATTTTGTTTGTTTTTGCTTTGAAACAAATCTGGGAATTTGGTTGGATGCAGTAAACGGCATCTTCTTGGAAACATTAACTTTTTGGATTTATGGGCATGTTAAATTAGCGTGAAAATCAAAGTATAGAGGACATCAGGCAAGTGTGTATTACGTGAATAATCTCTCTCTCAGGGACCTCCAGGACCTGGATGACTCCACACAGCTTCCTTTGCTCTGCCACTTCTCTGAGACCGCTGAAGGTCTCACAACTATCAGAGCATTCAGGTACAACACACACACACCAAACTTGTCTTTGTCACCTGTCATTGGGGACACTTTATTTAACTGTATCCTGTCTACACCGGACAAATTCCAACTGTTATTTGTGTGAAAAAAGCATATTTTTATCCTGTGTATCTATTTTATTATACCTTTATTTTACCAGGAAGTCCCATTGAGATCAAAACAGGAACACAGGAAATAACTTGACAAGGTGTTACAGACAGATGGTGGGGACAGCTCAGCCTCTTGTAGCCGCGGTGCCAAATGCAAAATGGCAGATACCCTGGACCCAATATTAACTTCTTTTAATAACTCTCTCGTATTGTGAATTTTGCAACAAATAGAATAAAAAACCCAACAGATTCGGTGTGCAAATGCCTTCTAACCCTAAAATAAACCTTGTCACAGCTCTCTCTGCTGTCCCCAGATGGTGGCTGACGGTGTGGCTATATAAAGAGATCCCTATAGCCAAATCACAATGCTGAATTGCATCCATTAATTGCAGGGTCGGTGGTTCAAGCCCCAGCTATAATTTACATTTCAGAGTGTCCTCTCTGAACCACATCTGCTCCCGATGGGTAGGCCAACACCACTTGTGGCTCCTTGAGTGGATGGTGGATGTGTGAATGAGAGGCACATTGTTAAGCCCTTTGGGTGAATGTAGCTGGTGTAATACAGAGCCAGTAGTGGTTGTATTAGTGTTAGTAGTAGAGATAACTGTAGTAACAGAAGCTCTAGTTGTAGTTTTATCGGTGGAAGCAGCAGCAGTGTCCTCTTGTATTTCTGTGTTCACCCTCTTTCCCATCGTTGGTATAATCCAACATTAAACAGCTCTCACGCTTGTGTTCTCCTCTGCTCCCAGAGGACTTCCTCTTCCTCACACACACACACAAATATACAAACACTGAGAGACTCACACACACATAAACAAGCACATATCACACACACACACACACACTCACAGAAACAGTGAATCTGGTGTTGAGACAGATTCTTGGCAATCATTGGTTAGTTCCCATTATCATTATCCTCTGGTCTCCCTCCAAACCAAGTCTGGTTTCGGTGGCAATGATTTACTACTGAACACAGATGATTCGATAGACTGAATAACAGTAAAACTATATTATTTTTTTAATTGGACACTTGTTTATCGTCCTTTTTTATTTCCTGTTTGCATTTTATTTTTTTATTTATTTATTATGAGTACTCCATTTCATACACTGCTTCATTTGTGAGTTTATTGTTTTTAAATATCTATTTTACATTGATTGTAAAGAGTTTTTGGCCCTGTTGACTTCCAGAGAAGATGCTGTCGGATGGCGATCAAAGGCTCTTGGAGATTGTTGAGAGATGTGTTGTGTATCTTACGTGTGCTTGAATCTTTGTTTCAGACACGAGGCTCGTTTTAAACAGCGCATGCTGGAGCTGACAGACACCAATAACACAGCCTACCTGTTTCTGTCTGCTGCCAACCGCTGGCTGGAGGTCCGAACGGTGAGGAACTGTTTTTGTCTCAAATGGCGGGTTACTGACTTCTGCAGAAGCATATTATCGTGTATGTTAGATACAACTTGGCAACAAGAAATAGTTTTCAGGAATTAAAGTAGCACTACACATTTTAGATTGGATCGATGAAAGGAAAGTGACCACAGTCAGTGGCTGAACGAGTATTGAATTAATGGAATATATAAAAGGAGGAAGATATGAAGCTCATTAATGCTTCAGACGACTATACCGACAACAGTAGGATCCCTTTCTGAGCACTTTGATGGACGATACTGTGGTATACAACTTATTAAATGCTCATTAAAAACTTTATTACCTGAAACATACTGACAAACGGTCTTTGGCACTGATGGCGTCTCTGAAGTTCTAAATGATGTCCTCTTTTTTTTAAACCAAAGTATGTAGAACATTTGTCTCAGTGTGGATGCTCACATCATTATAGTTACTGTTCTTGGTGTGGATGGCCTGTTATACTAGTTTTATTAGTGGTGGATATGTTTGTGAGTAAACCCTTCCTCCTTGTCTGTGCAGGACTACCTTGGAGCAGTGATAGTGCTGACAGCAGCAGGAGCCTCCATCTGGAGTTCACTCTATAATCTGCCTCGTGGAGGCCTGGTGGGCCTCGGACTCACATACGCCCTCACTGTGAGTTTTACCTTTAAGGGTTCTCTGGTCTCTGGTCTCTCTCGGGTCTCTGGACTCAGTTTGTGAAAGCTAACATCCTGCCATGCTGTCGCTCTGTGAACAACGACTCAGAGTCTTTTCAACTGGAGGCTTTTTTGGGGGGCAGCCCTGATCTTAACAATGGAAACATGACCCATTGTCTTTGTGTAGGTCACCAACTACCTGAACTGGGTTGTAAGGAACCTGGCGGACCTGGAGGTCCAGATGGCAGCTGTGAAGAAGGTCAACAGCTTCCTCGGCACAGAGTCGGAGAACTACGAGGGATCTATGGGTAACTGAGTTCTTCTTATCACGCAGACATTCACCAACATGATCCAATCTTATTATTTACACGCAATCCTGAAGTGAAATCATCACATTTTTTCTAATATGTCTGCTATATTTGCAGAAACCTTTCTCTGGCATCAGTAGAAAACAAGGGATAAACTGTAACATCTGCAGTACAACAGGATAAAATGAATAAATCCATTAAGAGTAACTTTACACATATATTTAGACTTTATATTTTGCACACCAGACGTCAATATGATTTTGTTTTCTACGTACAAAGAGATGAAGATGATCGCTCCTGATTTATAGAATGGAACTGAATGACCTGATCTAAAGATAAACCAGCTCTCAGTGTGTGTGTGTGTGTGTGTGTGTGTGTGTGTGTGTGTGTGTGTGTGTGTGTGTGTGTGTGTGTGTGTGTGTGTGTGTGTGTGTGTGTGTGTGTGTGTGTGTGTGTGTGTGTGTGTGTGTGTGTGTGCGTGCGTGCGCGTGTGTGTAGTTTTATCTTAAGAGTCCAGAGGTTTTGGGTTGTTTTATGGGATGCGCTGCTGTTGCTATGGTGAAATACAAATGCCGCTGGAATTTGTTTTTTTCCTGGCAGGACAGATAACAAAGCATGGAGACTTTTTGTGATTTAACTTTTAATCGGGGTGGTGCCACTGAGATTACTAATGTCGAACCAAACCTTTTAAAAAATCTTGAACAAAAAATGGGAAAAAGAACTCAGACAGAGCAGCTATTTCTGGAAACATAATAAAAAACGAGGTTCCTGAGGTTGAAGGATGTCTGGAAAAAATACAAGAAGGTAGAAGAGTGAAAAGAAACTGAGAAAGAAAAAGACTCTATTAAAATGTTAGAAAAGTGCAGTTAAGGACAAGGTTTCCATCTCTGTGTCTCATATAATAAGTCATTTGTCTCATTTACTTTTTATCTCAACCTTTTACAGTAAATGCTCGTTGAAGCCATAAAACAATCCCAAAACCTCCTGAGTGACAGAAAACAGAGAGATTCTTCCTCTCTGACATCATGGAAGCTTCCAGCGAATTGATAAAAGTAGAAAAATTCTCCAAAGTTAGGGAGGGGGCAAACAAAACGAAGCCTGCATTAGCAGAACTATGTAATTCTTATCCTGTCAGTGTAGGAATATGAATAATGTGGCACACAGGCACCGGTTTAGTAACAGGGGCTCGGTTCAACCTCGAAAACGGTTGTAAATTGTCCACTGTGGTTCTGGAGAGAGCCCCACATGACACTGGCATTTTTCCAAGCATAGAGATTTAAACAAAAGAGCTGCATTGTGGGAAATGTAGGATCTTGAGGGAAATATCTCACAAACTATGGATTGACAAGAGATTTAGTTCAGACCTTCACGTCCCCGCCCAAACTTTTTGTGTGCCATCATCAGTAAACAATTTTAATTGGTCCAATACTTTGATTTATGTCCAAATACCTGTTAAACTACATTCCCCTCACACACAGTTATGCTTTATTTTTTTCTACTAAACTAAGACGCTGAACATTGAAACAACCGAATGAAAGTGCAATTTTAAATCACTTGAATAATTATTAGTTAATTATTGTGTAATAGTCATTTTTAAGGTTTAAATATCACAGTTTTAACAAACCAGTGTGAAGGATTTAGTGGTACCAAGCTGTGAAGTTGCAGATTTCAACTAACTGAACACCACTCGCGTCTGTATTTGACTACGGCGGCCACGAAAAACACAAAAAGTCCTATCTGAATATTTCTATATTAAGGTGATTATACACTAATGAAAACATACCTATAACTATTATATTCCATTTCTACCAGTAGATCCTCCTCCACGCTACACACTGGACCTTTAAATAATACAACTATTACTGTTGTTATTATTACTGTTGTGTTAGTGGGGAATTTCAACACTTTAATACGAAATCTTTAACACTGTGTATCTTCAGTGTTATGACTTGGTCCATACGGTCTATAAGCTCCTGTTTACAGCAGCCAGGGCTGTAACATAGACAACTGGCACGCAGCTGGTGGTCTGCTCTTTGTTGCGGTTATCTTAACACTACAGACGGCGTTTTCCAGTGTTTTTTGGCCTGCAGAGAGGAATAAACCCGCCTATGTTTCTCTCCCTTCAGGCGCCTCTCAGGTGCCTGAGAACTGGCCCCAGGAAGGTGAGATAAAGATCCAGGACCTGTGTGTGCGCTACGATCCCATGCTGAAACCGGTGCTCAAACATGTCAACGCATACATCGAACCAGGCCAGAAGGTAATTAACAGAAAGCTGTGAGGAGAGTGGGGCATGACTGCACTGAGTTACACCTAGAATGGTTTAAAAAGGCAAACACTGAGCATTTCTGCTACAAATATGATCTCTGATTGTTCATTTTGAGACTTAAACTTTTAATTGAAACTCTGATAACACTTTAATCCCCTTTGTTTAGCATTTATAAACACTAAAAATAGATATAAATATACATAATATATAAATATACAAGTAATACATGGCTTATGATCCACTATAACAATGCAGATATAGGGATATTGTTATTTTAACTTATCTGATGAATAAATATTATATTATTACAACTGTGCTTTACTTTATTTATACACCAGCCTCCACTTATAGGTGCCCAGAAAACTAGAACTCCTTCAAGCAAATATGATATGGGAATTTGATCAATTATACTTTTAAATTAAATTATACTTTTTCATTGATAACAAAAACACCCCTAAAAAAAAACATATACTTGTCTTATGGGCTGAAAAGTATAGAACTGTTATAGAAGAAGAAACTTGAGAAACTCTCAATGAGAAATTGCCAGAGCAGCATTGTATTAATCCATGTGATGAAGCAACTGTAAATGGCAGGCAATTCACACACTGTTGCTGGGAAAGAAGGACCTCACATCACACTGAAATAACAAAGTGGTGAGGCGTCCATAGGCAGAAAGAAATGTTCAACAGAGAGCCAGAAGAGAGGGACAGGAGGAGGTAAACACAGTTAATGAAAGGATGACTCACAGGAGGATTTAAGGGGGAAGATCTTGAGTTTTATATACACTGAAATATGTATATTTAAATTATTAAACATTTTTAAAAAAGGCCAACATGGCAGCTTGTTTGGAAACTTCCTCTCATGTTACGAAAATAGTTCACCAAAAATGTGTTTCTGAAAACATTTTAAGCGAGAAATATGTCCTTCAGTTGTCTTTATTTTAGATTAGTTTAAGTTTTTATGAGTTTCCAGAGGCGGAGAGTTTTGCATAAAGCAGCCGATACTAGTACTTTATGGAAAATAAGGAGTAGCGGATGCGGCACTACCAGAATGCATTGCACGGCTGCTCACATAAACAATGAATTGAAAATGTGGAAATGACTGATCCTGTGGACACGTACTTTAAAGCAGAGGTCTCAAACTCTTGGCTGGTATTGCCATCTCATAGTCAAAACCAGCCTCTCTTACAAAACTAACATAAAAGCATAAAATATTCCTGTCTTATCAACCCTTTGCACGTATTTGGATAATAATAATGACCTTGTGGTGCAGATAATGTTATATTTTTTACATCATGACCAAGGCCAGACAGGAAATGACACTTTTGCTGACTCAGAACATTTCTGAAGTCTGGTGAAGAGCCAGCAAGACAGTCACTTTGCTTTTACACTGTAAAACCAAGTAAGTTAATGTAACTCAAAATAAAGGTTGAAACTAATTACATCAAACATTTCTAGTAAAACTAACTTAATTTGTTAGTTAAAAAAACATTCTTAATCAAGTAGCATTTTTATTTGTACTGTGAAAACAAAATATAGTAAAAAAAGTACTTAATCAGTATTCTGTAACTTATAAAACTAAGTTAGTAAATTGCTTAATCAAGAATCTTTTTGACTTAAAAATTTAGTTTGTGTTGCTTAAAATGTTCCAACAGTTTTTCTTTTAGTTAACTTATCGCATTACACCGTTGTTGACATCCAGTTTTACTTCTAGACTAAAATAAATGGGTCCAAGATGTGCAGTTATATTTCAGTCTTTCATATTGTGTAACTACCAAATGGTAATGTTAGCTCAGAAGTAATTGAATGCTAACATTACCGTTGTTTTACCTTGAAACATAGTCTGATGTCTCTCTCTGGATTTTCACTATTTGTTGTCTGTTCAGTTGCTGATCAATCGGAAAGCGGTGAAATAATAACAATTTGTCAGATTCCCTATGTTTATACGACGTGTGACCTGGACCGCAGCAATACGACTTTATTCTTTTGATAAGAGCTTCCCACCCTGAGCTGCAATATCGTTGTTAATATTGCTTAAATTAACAGGTACAGTCTAGAATCTCAAAGGCTAATAAGACGACTGTGGATTTTGTTTAAATGTGGACTTTTCCTTTGAAGTCACAGCCATGTGCCTCCAATAAACTGTGAACTGACACTTGGTGACCAAACTCGGTCCACACTCAGCATGTAGCTGCCACTCTGTTATCACACAGGTGTCCGATGTCTCGCCGCAGTGTCACAAGTGCAGCTTATTGACTCTCTCTCCTCTTCCTGTTAGGTGGGAATCTGCGGTCGCACAGGCAGCGGGAAGTCCTCTCTGTCGTTGGCCTTTTTCAACATGGTGGATATCTTTGAAGGTGGGTCTGTCTTCTGTCACACTGTTAACCGAGAGAGAGAGCTTACGTTGTTTTTTTTCCACTTCTTTCATCTTCGTTTCAGCTTTGGTTTCTATTCCTGCAGCCTCTCTCTCGTCTTTCACTAGTTGAGTATGTTTATGTCTCATTAAAGGGGATGATTCTGAAGATAATGTCTTGTCTGTTTGGGAACACAGCCTGAAGGATTTCCCTCAGGGTTGCTGCCTTGAGTAGCTCTTGACCCCGAGTTCTACTTTACCCCAAAAACAACATAACGCTGTTGGTCCCTTTTAAATGTTCCTTCTTGGTCACTTCCTCTGATCCACTTACAAAATAATAAAGATGTACTTTCAAATAAACTGGACACTTATGCCTTTTAAAATGATTGAATAGATCATATGATAGTTGGAAAAACCTTTGCAGACTCTGTCCTACAGAGGCAAACCACAGTAACTACAATTTTGGCCAGTTTTAATCTTGTGACACATTTCCTAAGTTCAGTCTTTCTCCATCTTGGAGAAAAAACTATGTAAAAATAAGTTTAGTGTCAGTAAATCCTGATTGTAGTAGCTAATAATAATAGTTTAGATATTACTGTGCTAGCTAGCTAGACAAGACACGCTATTACTGTGGCAGTTAAAATAAATATGTTAAAATCTACACATGAAACAATAAGGAATACAGATTTAATGTAATAAGACATCAAATTACATATAGATTTTCTCAGGAAGAAGACACTGAGACTGTAAGTCAAATAATTGGTCGTGATATTTAAGCCATGAAAACACATTTGTTTCATTGTTAGTTGTTGTAGTTACTGCGGTTAACCTTACTGGTGGACAAATACTTTTCTCTGTTTGTTAGTCACCATGCTGGTTAGCCGAGGTGACGTACTCACTGAGAATGCCCTGTCAATCACAAGGTAGCCCCGCCCTAAAGCATACCCTGCTTTCTGGTCTGTTTTACTCTAAATGGGACCATCAGTTACTAAATGAACATCATGCTGTATGGAAGAAGACTTGAAACTAGAGACTGAGACCATAAACTCACCAGGAAACTGTTTACTGAGCTCATAAATCAACTGAGAAGTCGGCTCATTTCTCCATAAGACTGCATGGTAATGGAGCTGCCCCCTGCTGGCTATTACATAGAATGCAGGTTTAAGACACTTCTGAGTTGGCTTCACTTCACAAAACCATCATAATTCTTTTATATTAATTATACTCAGGTATCATGATGGATCTAGCAATTCCTGAATGTTGTATTCCTGCTACATGTAACGCTTTTAACTGAATCACCCTTTTAGTTTACAGCTCCTTTCTAAAGTGGTAATCATAAACCTTTTCAGTTTGTAAAACAAACTGTATATCTACTCCCGCTTAGTTTCTCTTGCTCACTGCAGCACATTAGGAATGTGGCCTACCCATCTCTTAGACCCAGAAATTGTTTAGTCTCACCTTTACATTAAGAAACATTAGACTGAAATGTTTATTCCACAGTGATGACTGCGTGATTCAGCTGAAGTGTTGGCATTAGGGGCTTTAACTCGACTACAACTGGCCCCAACCTGGCTGTTTCTTTGTTCACATCATGTTATCATTATATTATATTTTCAACCTTTTTAAATGAACTAAGCTAAGGCTACAAATTATTTTTTTTATCAGCAAAGGGGGGAATAAAGACAGCACAAGCCCTCAATTATTAGGTGATCAATTTGATATAAAGATCAGAAAAGTAAAATCTACTAGACTCTGCTCTGACAGTGGTTGTCATCTAAGCTGTTAGGACACACAAAGCAGTCACAACATGAATCTGTGGAGATTATTTATACAAAATAATAGGAAAAAAAACATATAGTTTTTTCTGACTTTTCCCTAAACTTTTTATTGTCAAATACCGGAAAGTTTAACATTATCAGGCCTCTAAAAACTATTCAGAAGTCTTAGAAGTCTTAGTCAATATGGTTTTCTTGAAATAGCCCCTAATGTGTGTCTTTTTAAAATAGATCATTTTATATTTGTGATTCATTTTTAAAGATTTACATCTTCTGTAGCAGTGCTGTAGCCACCTTTGTTGAGTCGAGAGAGTCCAAAGAGGTTAGAGTCCAAGTAAAGTCCAAGTTGGTCAATGTCAATGCCCGTTCTACGTGGATACTTCTGAACAAGTGCCCTTCATTATTGGTTTTGTTTTGTTACTTCATAAAAAACATATATGGCTGGATTTGGTCGAGTCCAACAAGTCTTAGGAAAGTCAGAGACACATCTCAAGTACAAGACCAGATTCGAGTACTACGGCACTGTTCTGTGAGGGCTGAGAGACGAAGGCAGAACAGGGAAGTCATAAAGTTTTGAGAGACAAAGTCAAAGTCAGCTGCAGACAAACATGTGACGCTAACTACAACCAAACACAGTCTGATTTAATTGCAGAGACAGAATAAATAGAGATATCGTAGTGGATTAACTGTGGTGTCCCTCAAGGAGCCATCCTTGGACCTCTATTGTTCTCAATGCTTCCTCTTAGCCAGATCATCCAGAACTCTGGTGTTTCCCATCACTGTTATGTGAATACACAACTTTATGTTCCTCTACGATCCAGTAACTCCCACAGTTTAGATTATTTTGTTGCATACTCAATTCTGATAATGTACAGCAAGTGGGTTTATTATTGCGAAATAATCCTGCATCAGGGTTTATTATGCATCAATGGCCAGTGTTGCTGTACATTATCTCTTACTTAGTTAATGGGGTTTTATCATTATACTCCCATCATCTAACATTTTTTAACTTTATTTTACCCCTATTATTTATTTTCTGTGAAACACTTTGTAACCTTGTTAAGAGAAGTGCTATATAAATAAACTAAAGCACTTCTGGAGGTAAATTAGTCGTCTAGACTGTCTTCAAACACGTCCGCTATCCACCCTGTAGTATAGTGGTGTGTATTTATGTTGGAGAAAACGTTTATTCAACCATCCCTTTTTTGCATTTCAGCTTTCTTTTTAAACACTTGTGCAAGTCTCTCTAAGTGAGAACCCGAAGCTCTTTTTGTTCTTTGTGTGTGTTGAGGAGGACCTGAAATAGACTCTTCAATCAGAGGATTTAAAATAAGGACATAACAAAAGACATGGCCCATTTTCTTGCAGTCACTTCCAGCCTCTGTGTCATATTTCTTCAAGACGGCGGCCATGAAGTCTTAAAACAGTCTTTTTTTATTTACTGGATTTTTGAAAGCAGGCTGTAATCGTCTCATTCTGTTTTTAGTCTGGATGAAGACTAAAATGAAGAGGGCTCTTAGACAGATTATTCGGACAAAGATGAGATTACACCGTCACTTTTTCCATACACACACACACACACACACACACACACACACACACACACACACACACACACACACACACACACACACACACACACACACAGCTGGGCAGACATTTCATTTAACAGTAAATTAAGACATGTGTGTCAGCAGCATTTCCTTATAAAGCAGTGAAATAAAACCAGAGCAGCGTCCTGATGATAGCTCTCCTGACTGAACTGTGCAGAACATTTGATTGATTATTATGACCCTGGAAATATAACATTGTGTGCAAAATGAAAGTATTTGCTCATTGTGAACTAGCAGAATAGTTTAAGTTTTAAAGGGGAAATTTAAGGGGATCTTTTCAACTTAAAAATAGCAAATAAAGGAGAATAAGGTAATGTTTTACAACCTTACAGGAAGAATTGGCCACAATACTGTTTTATTGATCAGTAATAATCGGTGAGTTATCACTTGACCAGGTGTAAACCTCACAAACTCTCACACATACATATATATCATACATATTTGCCAGAAGTAGTGTTTTTAGCTTAGTTTATTATCTCTGCCTCTACCTCTCTGTGTGCACTTTAATAGTTTAATGGTTTAAATTGCAGGCAGTTGTAGCCTAACGAGAAGGGAGCGCCATAAGTGGTGGCTGACATTCTTTCAGTTTTAAGTAGTGCTGAAACAATATGTAAATGAATCAATTACTGTAAAAAAAATTATAATATTTTTAATCTCATATATTTTTAGATTTTTAGATCATCAGCAATCTAAAAAATACCTAAAAATCAGCTAAACAAACCGCTGCTGGTTGAACAAACAAGTCATTTGAAGGCTGGGCTCTGGGAAACTGTGATGGATCATTTTCACATTTTATAGACTAAAGCTGCGTCTGCTTCATAAAAATCGAGGATAAGTGACAAATATACGTCTAATCGTGTCTTTCCATTGAACTTGTATTCAATCACGGCACCTCTTAAATTCAAGACCACGTTCTTTCTGAACACGCAGTGTGATAAATCAATGGAAAAAAGATATTAGCATGTGGAGATGTGTGTGTGAATTTACCATCACTTATGGTGAGAGACAAGTTAAAGCAGCTGTTTATCAAATGTTTCTGTGATCAGCTGGAGAAACCATTAACAATAGAGAATGGGAAGAACCAATGAGGTTGTGTCACTGACATTGTGTGTTGAAAATGTTTCAAGCAGTATCTGTTGGGTAGTGATAATTACTGTTGCACCTGAATGCATCTGTATGCCTTATAGATATGGAATAATTGTAATAAATGTTGCATTTCCTGATTCTGTATATTGAGCATATGTTTTCTTACTTGCAGGGAAGATCGTCATTGATGGGATCGACATCTGCAAGCTTCCTCTGCAGACACTCAGGTCTCGACTCTCCATCATCCTCCAGGATCCGGTGTTATTCAGTGGATCAATAAGGTACACAAACACACACTCACACAAAGCTTCAGGGCATCCTGTTTAATAACCTGTAAAGTATCATCATGTAAGGTCTTGAGATTCACTTCCTCTTAATGTTTTCATCCTTGCTGCCTTTTCACCATGAGTGCAAACAACTTCCTGTTTCATTCTTTTATTTGTGTGTCACCAACTATAACGCTGGCAGAAGAACTGTAAATTATGTTGACAGGATTCTTAGATCATGATGAACCTTTGAGGCTTCTTCGTAGCCTGGTCTGTACTCCAAATCATCCGTCTAAAGCTAAAGAGGTTACAAAGTTAGTGCTGACAACAGCCAGGACTGCCTCTCCTTTGTGTGTATTTTTAGTTTGAGTTTCCATAAAGATCTAGTGTATATAGTAGTACGTACACTTCAACTTTTAATATCAAGTCCTGTAGGATGCCCATTTATCTTAGAATATGGATAGTAAACAGTAAAATTATTTTTTTTCATGAAAGAGACCCTTAATGAGAGCTTGCATTGAGTCACAACAGCTCATGGAACAATGGCAAGTGAGGAAGTGACTTCAGGACTTTGGCTTTTGAAAGCGAACCATAGCTGGGCGTCTCTCTGTTGAATTAACCACACTGGAAAATATAGTGCTGAAACACCAAATTATTAAGAGCCAAAGCAACAAGTGAATAAGTAACTAACAGAAAAATGTTTTTTTTTGTGCTGCATGATGACACAAAAGTCCCAGCTGTGGGGTTAGTGGTTGAAAACGCAGTGGGAACTCTGGCTTGGACCTAATCTGACTTTTGTCACAGACGTCATGGACTGAGGAGGTCGCTGGAGTTATGAAGGACCCTGCGTGGTTTTCCGTCTCCCTCTTCTTCGCTGTCACACACACTCACAACCTCTGTGTTTGTCTTACTAGAAGACACAGTGACTCTGTGTTTGTTATAAAAGACAAAGAGCATGTGCTATTTGTTTGGACAGATATGCAGCTCGAGATAATTGTGTATGTGTGTGTGAGAGAGAGAGAAGAGTGTGTGTTGGCATTTCCACCGGCTCTTGTTTATGTGAACGTAAGCCTGGGGTGAATGGTCGACAGTAACTGTTTCACACTGTTATCTTAGATGTTGCTGTTGCGGTCTGACTCGGTTTGACTCACTCTGACTGCCACACACAGATTAAATAAAAAAAAAAAAAAAACATTTAGCAGATTTGTCACATCGTGATTATGCCTGCAGCCATTCCTCAAAATCTCAATGAGGGAGCCAGAATGAGAGACGTTTAATGTTAAACAAGGAATTAATTAAGTGATACTTTATACTTTAACAACAATAACATTAATAACCTTTCTGTGTGAGAAAGAGATACACAGACACATCAGGAGAAAACTATTCAGGGTGCTTTTTCATTTTATTATTCTAATATTTCATCTATTTCTCAGATTATTTTTCTAAATAAACAGCTGTACCTGAAGTAATTTTGTCATGATAGCAGATTTTAAACTTTGATACAGTGCTAGTATACAAAAACAGATACTTGATCCCTAAATAAAGTCCTAGATACACATAAAAGGATAAACTTGGTGCTGGTACAGAAAACATGCTGTAATGAGAACCAGTTGATTTTCTCCTGGATCGTTTCATCTGTGCAGTCGTGGGTGGAAAATATGATTGTAAATCTGCTTTTTTTATAGCTTCGGTACTTTCAGTGTTATCGAATGATAATTGATGGTATTATATCGTTTCAAACAAGTGGTATCGAAAAAATAACTTTCAAAGTGTAGCTTCAGTTCCCTCCGTGCATGCACAATCTCAACCAAACTGTGCTTTTTTTTGTCCTTTTTTTTGTCCTTTTAAGCTCATATTGCGCTGCATATAAACAGTCTAGGCTCATGTAAGACTAAAAATGAATCTGTGTAAGTTCATGGAAGCAATCTGTATGTGTGGTAGGGCTGCACGATATGGTAAAAACATCATATTGTGATTATTTTGACAATTACTGCGATTGCGATGTGATTCAGTGATTAAATCAGTGATGAATAACTAAATTAAAGGTAGAAACTGTTACTCTACTTATATAAATATACAATAACTCTGTTCCTAACCAACCATAGCTCATACTTTAGACATTTTTAACTTTATTTCTGTGTACAACAGGTAGATGCACCTGCTCAGCACCCTCTGCCATAAATTGCGTCTTCTTGTTGCAGGTTTAATCTCGACCCAGAGAGGACGTGCACCGACGACCGACTCTGGGAGGCGCTAGAGATCGCTCAGTTGAAGAACATGGTGAAAGCGCTCCCTGGAGGACTAGGTACTCAAATAAATGTCCCTTTTCTCAAGATAAATAAATTACTTTTATTGCACTAAAAGTCAGCTTTGAAGTCTGAAGAATCAAATAAGTTCATACGTCTGTTTAACTGAATGTGTTTGTTTCCAGATGCGGTTGTGACAGAAGGAGGAGAGAACTTCAGCGTCGGTCAGAGACAGCTCTTCTGTTTGGCCCGAGCTTTTGTCAGAAAGAGCAGCATCCTCATCATGGACGAAGCCACGGCGTCTATAGACATGGCCACGGTGTGTGATAACAGATAATGTACAGTTCTCAAACCACAGACCACACAGCTCTTCAGGTTGTGTTCTAATCCAGTTTACTAATGCATTTATTATTCATTTCTCAGTTATAGACAGTGTGGAATGTAAAAGTACATTTACTCATAGTATTTTACACATTTAAGGCACTTTCTTTAAATTTTTTGACAGCTTTAGTTACTAGCTAATTTAGGTTTTTACGTACAATACATGGAAACACAGAGAGTCAGCTCAAGCTTTTACAGTCACTAGAAGCACATTCATGGCTGTGTTGCAACATTAGCTAAGCTAGAGAGGCTAATTCTGTCTGTGTCTGTGGGAGACCAGATAAGCAATACCCAGGTTTCAACCAGTAGAGGGAGATCGCTATGTATTTTTATAGCACAATATGTATAATGCAAATACTTGGCACTAAAATGTCAAGATTTGGAGTTGAATCAAGCAACAAAACTAGTAAATACACATTTACATATTTTTTCAGTCTTGGGGGTTTAGTTACTCTTTAACTATTATTTCCTTTTAGATGATAACTAATATCTGTTTCCTTCCTTTGCAGGAGAACATCTTACAAAAAGTTGTGATGACTGCATTTGCAGACAGAACAGTCGTTACGATCGCAGTAAGTCCTTCTGTCTGTTCTTTTGATTTTGTTATTGAAAATGAAGCGAAGGGGACACAAACCGCAAGGTTTATTTGAACCACCCTGTCAACAAATTCCAGTCCTACAGCTCACCGAGGTTCTAGGTTTGTTTAGTGCTGATAGATGCACATATATGGCTCCTTTTCTTTGAGTTTCATGTGCATCTATTGCAGTATATTTTCCTTAAGGATGCTTTATGCATTCTTTTCTTGCACCTTTTCCCTTTTTCACACTAACTGTGTTTCCATACAATAGCTAATATTGTTAATATTACAAATGAGTTTAGCAACCTTAATGTGAAGTCTTTGTCATTTCTTATCTGCTTTCCTTTTCTGACTTTTTTCTCTCTCTGTGATAATGTCTTGTCTTCTGTTTACTCTTTCTCCCTCCTTTCATTTCTCCTCCTCATGACCATTTCTCTGTTTCACCCTCCCCCTTTTCCTCCTGTCCTTTTCTCATTTTCTATTACTTGCTAATCCTCTTTCATCCTTAATTCCTCCCTTTGTTTCTGTCCCCTTTCATTCACCTTTTCCATTCTGTGCTCTCACTTCGCTGTGCTCCTACACTTTTCTTTCTCTCCCACTATCCCTCCCATTTCCCATTTCCCTTCTCTCCATGCTTTTTTCTGTCCCCCCCGTCCTCCTTTCGTCCTGCCACCAGCACCATGTGTCCTCTATCTTGGAGGCCGAGCAGGTGTTGGTCTTCTCCTCTGGGATCTTGGTGGAAAGTGACTCGGGTCCCAACCTTCTAGCACAGGAGGAGAGCCTCTTCAGTGTGCTAGTGAGGACTCACAAGTAGACCCAGATCAGCACAGACCACTTTGGCTCTGCCCGACTCTCTTCTGTCTTTTCTCATCCTTCCATTTTTCTGGTTTTTCCTACTTTTCTTGGCTGAGTCTGGGTCTGCTGAAGCCTTACTGCCACTGACAGCCCGGTTGGTATAAAAATAAAACTACTGCATGCTCTTTTGTAGATGTAGTGCAGTGTAATTTGGCCACACCCTGTATCACTTACAGTGTTATTAATATTTAAAACATACTTCAGTTCGTTCAGTGTTCTTCAACAACTTGCTTTGTCTGGGGTTATGCCAGGTGGCTCTTGGTATGCTGGGAGATTGGTGGACAGTTGATCAATTGGCTAAAACAAAAGTGAGGATAAAAAAGATACTAGATACTACAATAATTCACTTTGGGTAAATGTCTGTTTCCATTAAAAACAGGTTAGACTTAACTTCCTCCTGAAGCATGTTTTGAGTTGCTGATCCTCATCCCAGCAGGGTCAAATTTAGCCTCAAAGAACAAGTCTTATGACGAAAAAAGGGCAAAATCATCTGCAAAGAAACAGAGATCCCATTCTAATGTCCTTGACTTGGACAGTTTTTCCTTTCCACTGTCGCCAAGTGCTTGTTCATGGTGAAAACTGTTGGGTCCCTGTAAATAATTTTATAAGGAGTATGGTCTAGACTTGCTCTATTTGCAAACTGTCCGGAGATAACTTCTGTTATGATACAATTAAATTGAATTGAAAATTTTGATTAGTACAAGCTGTACTACACACCTTTATAAATCAAATAAACTTAGGTTCTCTCTTTAAGACTGACTGGCCAAATTTAATTTAGGAAATGTTGTGTTAGATGTGACATTTTCAGTGGAGCCACAGGCTTAATCACCCTCTTCAGACCTGTTTGTCTTGGGTGCCCTGACAAAGAGCACAAGGCTTCTAACAAACATTGGTTCCAGGAAGGAAATGTAATTTTATAAAGCAATAACCTGACATTTAGACATCATATGACGATCAGTGTGTCATCAGGCGCATTTATTTAATTGACATTTAAATTTTTTCTAAACCTAACTGTCATCATTGCTTTGTTTCCAGCACCGTGTCCACACCATCCTAACAGCCGATCTGGTCATTGTGATGAAGCGAGGGAACATTTTGGAGTACGACAAACCTGAGACTCTTTTGGAGCAGGAGGACGGGATGTTTGCTTCATTCGTCAAAGCTGACATGTAGACGCACAGCCAGTCAGCATGCCCAACAACTGACAGACATCAGCTGGTCGATCTACTTCTTTTTTCATGTAGAAGTGTTTACTCACTAATGCCCGACCAACCTCTGTGACACTACAATACTCCACTGAAGCCAATAGCACACAACTGTGAGGGAAAACAGATCCAGAAACACCATCAATCACTAGTTGATGTATTTGAGAAGTTGTACTTGAATCAGTCAGTTAGCCAATTAAGCCTGTTTTTTATAAACGACATCTAGAAATATTGTGTATCATTTAAACGATAAAAGTCCATCAATCAGTTTATCCAATTTGCACATATGACATATATTGGAAATACAGATATACAGAGAGATTTTCCGTATGTTAAACAATAGAGAAATGATTGGATCATTGACCTTACTAGTAACTAGTATTAAGATACTGTATAATAAGAATATTAAAGAAAAAAGTAATATTTTTATGTCCCTAGACAGCTAATATATGATGCTAATGAATAGATCGTGATTTGTCGTAGTTATCTTGGACTAACTACGGCTGAAGATAGAAGACAAATATATCTTACTTGTGGTCTCAGACTAAGACTGTTGAAAGAATAAGGCTGGCATTACTCTGTGTTTTTCTTAATGCCCGCAAATCCTGAAAAGACCAAAACCAACAATGTGTTCATTTATCTCTTTCTGACTTCCTGTCTTCGGGTCACAGCCCATTAGTAGTAGTGGAGTAGAGTGACCAGGTGTCCCACTTGTAGGACCGCACTGCCTTTTTATTGTGGTAAATAGAAGTTCATTTAATTTTTTATAATTTTTTAAAGGCACAGTTTCCTCAACAGCTCCTAACTAGGTTTTTTTTATCGAAAAACAGCAAGAAAAAGTGAATTTTTGGGGACTATTTTCAGCGGTGGATGAATACACATATAATAGTCTAGGAACCCAGTGCAACACTTCGACTTATTGATGCGTTTTTAATAGTTTTTTGGACAACAATGGAGCTCTATAGCACAGAGGAAGAAGATATATCAGACTTTGATAAGCTCACAGTTCTTGTTAATAGACACGTTAACTGTTGGTTTGGGTCTTTTTATGAGATTTATTGACAATAAGAAAAATATAGACAATGACTGGTCTTACGATTTAAGTTCTGTCCTTTACCAGGACTATAAGCACCGTTATGCATATCATTGGAAAATCAATCACAGGTCTTTTGAGTGATTGAGCTTTTGACACTTCCATCAGTATCATATGGACTTGGTCATTTATACTATACTTTAGTTTTTGTATTTCATAGTTTTAGATTAAGCTGAACTTTTAGGTCATTCTAATTTGATTTAACTCCAAAAGTCTTTAATTATCTTGTTAAAAATATTTGTTACATTTATTTTAAGCTCATGCACAACACGTATCAGTTGTATTACTCTTAAAGCACTTGTATTATGCAAAAATAAGGAAGGGAGAGACTTGTATTTAAAACAACAAAATGTTGGCTCTGGCCAGTGTTTCTGTGCTCTGCATATCAATACACCATGCAGTTTCTCACTGTAAAGGATTTGTATCTTAATATTTTTAGAAATTTTTATGTTAAGTTCTGCCACAGAAGTAAAACTGATAGAACTGTTGTAGTCGGTAAGCAGTTTTTTATGAACCCCTTTGTTGCATCAAACCAAACTGTACCTGAGGCTGAGTAGACTAGGATCTCTTAGCTACAACGTGAAGCTCCCATTTCCAAATCTAAGATGTTTTGTTGTGGCGATTCTTCCCCAGAACAAGCGTGACTAAGGAACTCAACATCGAAGGGGCTGCCGCTATTTTCGCTGCCTGTTTGGAAACACTTGTGCAACTTGTGACGCCAAAAGTGGGGAAATCAGACCTTACAATGTCTTTGTCCTACTTGGAATTTCCACCAGGAGGTCGACCTGTATGTCTTTTTCCTGGTTTTCATGATGTCAGCATGGAAAAGAATTTTCCTCTGGAAGAGATGAGCAGACGTCTATGATGCAACAGCAAAACTCCCACGATGAGAGAACAGAAGGAGAATCATGAGCGAGTGGGGCCAGTTGCCAAACAACTTTGGTGTGAAGAAGGTGGAAATATACCAGAAACAAAACCAGGATTTGTTTTTTCACACATGCAAAATGTTTAATTGTACTTCCTTGGCAACTCTGTAAAATCCTTAAACTTTATTACATTCAGAAACAGTCGTTGGTTTTACTTCTGCTCATTTCCAAGCTGAATCACATAATAACTTAATAAACTTGTTAAAGTTAGAAAAATATGTGTGCATCAGGCACAACACACTGCATCCATTCAACCTTAAACTTATTTCTGTGATTTGGAATTGATCATATTTGATGTTTTCAAACAATTCGAACACTGGGAAGTAAAGTCTATAAAGTAAAGAAAACAATACCTATGGGGGGGGGGACTTTTTTTCTGAAGTCGGATGTTTTATTTCTGGGTTACTTCCACCTTTCACTCTGTTCTATCAGTTGTATTTCTACGCCTACACTAGTACAAACACTGTAGGGTGTCATGGCTCAGGCTGAAGCCGGTGAACCCGCTGTCTGTCTGCAGTCATGCTTTGCTGAACTTATTATCCTCGGGGACAATAGACACCCAACGTGAGCTCCCGTTAACTCCGGAGATGTTTAATGGTTTGTGATTGTTAAGATACTGAAGAGTTCCAGTGTAAAGTTGATCCAGAATCCAAATGTGAATCAATTCTAGTTGCTAAGAGGAGTTCCTCAATGTAAAGGTTAGGTAAATAATCAACATTTTTTAGACTGACAATGAATCAAATGGCTGAATTTGATGTAAAATGTATCCATAGAGAATTATAAATTTGCAGTTTCTTCTAGTTTTGGGGTTTTAAGACCCACAAACCAGACAAAAGTTAATCAGCTAGTGAAGGAAATGGAGCATTTAGCAGCTAAAGACAGATAATTTTCTCTGGAGTTATTTCAGAGGAGGCCACAAACACAACTCCAAGTGAATGTTAGAGCTAATGGATGTGTCAGGTGTTGTGTTTTCAGCTTGTTACACTGCCCCCAAGTGGCCAAAAAATCAAGTAACACAGCTTTAACATGTCAGCAAAAGAGATACGCAAGCTCACTGTTTGGTTAATTATTAGTTAATGTACACAGCCTTTGACTATTAACTAGATTTTTGCGAGTGCAGTTGAACATTGGTTGCAGGAGAATTTGTATTCTTTTCGGGGCAGTTACATTGTCTATGCAAACAGTTTTTCCTTCCTTAACTCTGATCTAGATTATATTCACATAACATGGACATAAAAGTGATTATTCCCTTAAAGCAATAGTTTAACATTTTTATTCTAAGGTCAACAAAAAACACTTCATAAAAAACACATCGATTCCTATATCCAGGTGATTACATACTGGACCTTTAAGGTTTACACTTTAGTGTCTCACTGTTGATAGGAACTCTCTCTAATAGGTTTTTCTGCAATCACTTGTACACTCTGCGGGAGCGGTGCTATTGTCCCTTCGTATTATTGTGATCAATTTATACTTATTTTCCTTTTAAATGAGATTTTTGAATGACTTTGTACTGTACAGACTAAATGCCAAATACAGTCTTTTGCAAGAATTTCAACATTTTTGTTTTTTTAAATATTGTACTCACAGATGTTTCATCTCAAGAAGCTGCCACTTCAGTTTTTCCCTGCTTGCTGGTTTTTCCTTTGTTACACAACGACTCATTCTGTAAGATATTACACCCCAAAGAGCTGGTAGTGATTATAGCAACACGTGTCGGTTACAAGCCTGGAAGCACACCTGCAGTATCTTTATTTCTCACGCGTACATATTTTGTCTCTCCAGTTCCTCTTCTCTTAATGACCGATTCTGCCTGTTCTTTGATCCTGATGCAGCTCTCTCGACTTCCAAGTGCGTTTCATAAATCTTGCGTGTTTTGTTTACTGCATGTATGTTTCCATGCAGCTTCTGTTTTGCACTCATCAGCCAGAACCTGCCGACTGCTGCCTTGTAAATTCTTCGCTCTGCACCTCCCTCATAAAAACCCATATTTGTCTTCGCTGGAGAGACACAGGAGAGGCAGGTTTTAACTCATTTAATGAAAAGCAGGACACATGTTTTAGTGTATTTTCTATTTTCAGTATCATATTTGTAGTCTGTTTAAACTTTTTTCCCCTATTTTTTAGTTTTTGGGGAACAAACAAAATGTAAAGAGACGTTTGCATTTAACACAGAGTCAACATTACACACACATTATCCACGCAGACAGTTTGCTCTCATGAATGCACATTTGACCGTTACAGAATACGACTTAAATATCATTTTTACAAGTACAGGTAAGGCTTTTTTAAACGTATGTAAGTGTACATTCTGTATATCCAAGACTTTTTAAACATATATAGCAAATGATTATTATGTGTGCCTATTTCTTTCTTCTTTTTTTTTACACTTGAAATGATAATAAAATGGTTTTGAGTGAAGTGAGTCTTTTTTCCTCAATAATCTTGCACTACATGACCCCCAACACTTTGGCTAATATACATATGTTGCTAAATGGCGCCCTCTGGTGACTAAGTCCAATTCCTGGATATTAACTTTCAGCACAGCTGCTGTTAAAGTGCTTTAAACACATAAAAAGCAACTTTATTTACCAAAGGAAATTTACAAATTAGTTCAGACACAAATGAGAACACAACATAATACAATAGAGCTGATTACTTCAAAAAAGATATACAAGTATTAAAAATGAAGGTAAAACCATTAAGTTGTAATTGTAAAATGTAAAATGACTTATGACAGTTAAACACAAGTGAAACTGTCAGTTTACTTATTAAAGATGTGATGTATTCATTTATTTAATAACAATAAAGTTATAAATGTTCTTCATTTAACCCTGGTCTCTATTTTTTATTTATCACAATTAATCAAATTCAATACAGACAATGCAGCAGAAACACAAGTAAAGATTGTGGTCTTATTTTTTCTGGTTATATCTATTAACAACTAACAATTCTTCTATAAGGTGGCCATTTATTTGTCTTAAGCTCTTACTAATGGAGTGGGAGACTATTTCTATAGCTCATCATGTCTAATTTATAAACTATTAAGGTCTATATCTGCATTAACTGCACAGTTTCTACTTAGAGAATTGTTCTGAATGATCCAGAAAAAGGCACAAAGACTGACTTTAAATCTTTAAATCTTTAAATATGTATAGTCTATCCTGTATGGTTTAATTGCAGCTGTAAATTAAAGAGAATTATAAGCATTAATTCATGATTATTTAATTGGCCATATAAAGTTGCCATAGGCCCATTTATTTTGCTATGGGACATTCTATAAAGTAAAAATATAAAGAAAAGATCAGAATTGTCAATTTTCCAACTAACTGATAAATAAAAGGCCACAACAGAGACCAAATGTGTCCTAATGAGTGTAACAGACACCTGTAGGCTCTCTGGGTTTACTCTAGGGAACATGATCCTTTCATTTTTACACCTTAAACCCCATCTCAAGTTTATATGTGTAAGATTAATGTGTATGGAAGTGTAAAAGAAGTTTAACCAATGACTGAGCTTAACTGAGACATATTTAAAAGTTTTCATTCTGGTTCGTTTGACTTGAAATGTGTTTTTTCCGACGGTCCCTGAGTGGTCTTTGAAGGCAGCAGCAGCACCCTGGTCTGAGCGGGTCTGGACTCTGGAAGTTGGACTACGTCAACAGGAGAGTGGAGACCGTCCCAGCCCTCAGAGGAGCTGAGCAGAGGCGGCGTCGCTCCGAAACGTCCCCAAATGTCCAGAGAAGGACGCGAGCTGGTGCGTCTGTGAGCGGTTTCCCTGCAGGTGGACATGGTTTCCCCGCGCGTAAAGACGCACTGAGGACGCACAGGAAAAGGCTCTTTTACGCTTCTTTTTTTCTAACCATCAAGAGGAGAAGATGTTGGCCAGAAAAAGCATCATCCCGGAGGAGTTCGGTCTGCCGGGGCTCGCCTCTCGGATGCCCCGCAAGCCGGTGTTCAGGGACCGCGTGAACAAAGCGCGCTTCATCGCCAAAAACGGCTCGTGCAACTTGGCGCACAAGAACATCCGCGAGCAGGGCAGATTCCTCCAGGACGTGTTCACCACCCTGGTCGACCTTAAATGGCGCTTCACGCTGGTCATCTTCACCACGACGTTTGTCAGCAGCTGGCTGCTGTTCGCCATGAGCTGGTGGCTGGTGGCGTTTGCGCACGGAGACCTGGACCCGGACCGGCAGAACGGGACCCACTGCGTCACCGACGTCAAGTAAGACAGACACAGATCAGTGGAGGTGTTTGATGAGACTTTAATAGGGTTTTATTTTTTTATTTTTTTATTGCGTTCACTAACATTCTTCTTCTCTTTCCATCCTTTAACCTCCAAACTCCCACCCTCCTCTCTTCTGCTCTTCCTCCATTTTTAAATTTGATAGAGGAAGAGGAGGAGAGGGGGAGAAAGACAGTAATTATGACAGGAAGTCAGGGAAACTTTTGCGCTCATAACTTCAGGGGAAATAAAGTAAAGATTGCAGCAGGAGGGGGGAGAGAGAGAGTTTGGCACCTCCTTCTCACTGTAGCTCACCAACCCCAAGGATCCTTCCTCCCTTCCTTCCTAGTGTTTCTATTTTCTGCTACTTTATACTTAAACATGTTGCAGTTTTTACTCCTACATTTGTTTGTTTGTTTGTTTGTTTGTTTGTTTAATGCATTAATCAGTTCACATTTGCACATTTGAGTCCATCGTGTAAATGTGCCAAACAGGCTAATATTCATCAGCAGTCCCTGACAAGATGATGGCAAATAAGAAATAATTGAAAGAAAACAAGCAAAATCACATAAACAGACAAATAGTAAAACAATGAGACAATATGAGTCCAGACAAAATCAAATAACACCTTTTATATCGTGTACATAACATACAAACTGTTCAAATACAGCACATTGTTGAAGATTAAACCAGTGTTTCTCAGCCTCTTTGGCTTATATGTCATGTTTCCCCTCTGAACTTGTCACATGCTTTCATCAGTTTCTTAAATAGGGGTATTAGTACCCCTAGGGGTGCTTTGGAGTACTGCAGGGGGTACTTTGAGGTTTGTTTTTTATGTTAATTTAAAGGTCCAGTGTGCAACATTCAGGAGGATCTATTGTCATTAATAAAACATTCATATGTATGTTTTCATTAGTTTATAATCGCCTGAATATAAGAATCATTGTGTTTTTGTTACCTCAGCATGAGCTGTTTTTATACAGTTTGAAGCCGAGTGGTATTCAGTTAGTTGCAATCTGCTACTTCACCGCTAGATGTCACTAAATTCTACACACTGTAAATGTTAAATAAACTACATTTTATGTTGAATTTGCTATTTTCAATGCAATCGTTAGTTGTTCTTGGCTGAAAGACTATTTCAGAGGGGAACATGAATAACAAAAAGTTAGACAGCCACTGATTTAAATAACTGTTTGAGGTCCAAAGAGGTAAAACTCTCCAGTAAGATTAGAGAAAAGTCTGAAAAATGAATATATATTTGTTTATCAGAACTTTTTTCTTCTTTTCCAGGAATCATCTCAGGACCCATCAGATTAATCTAGTGACCCGGGGCCGACCCCTAGGTTGGAAACTACAGGGCTAAACTTTATATAAAGTAGTTCAAACTGGCTCCACCAGGAGCAGCTACGACAGTAAAATGCTGCTCTAACGTTGATGCATCAGCACTGATCATTGATTTATGATACTTTAAGTACTTTAAGCTAATAATGTTTTTGTTTTTCACTTTATTTTCTTCCATCACCTCCATTAAAAACCTTGAATATCTCATATAATCAGTGGAAACGAGGGAAAAACACATCTTATTCACCATCAAGCAGCTGCAGGCTTATAAAATGTTTGTTTCTCTTGTGTTGCTTTGTGTATTTGTGTGTTTCTTATTCTCATAACTGAACAGTTGACCAAATCTAAACAAAATTCTGCCTTAAATGGGAGGAACTGTCCTTGAGGGGGAAAAAAAGGAGGCCAAAGTGATTTAAGATGAATTCACTAAACTTCAGAGAAAGAACCTAAAAATATTCCCACGCTGAGACTGTGTCCGGCAGAATGAAGCAGTTTGAGCTGATGAGTCTGAAACTGGAAGGATAACAGTTTCTAACAGTCTGAATCTCTCTCCTCAGGTCGTTCACCTCAGCCTTCCTGTTCTCCATCGAGGTTCAGGTGACCATCGGCTTCGGGGGGCGGATGATAACGGAGCAGTGTCCGACCGCGATCACCGTCCTCATCATGCAGAACATAGTGGGACTCATCATCAATGCTGTCATGCTGGGTGAGGCTCACAAACTGTTTCCAGGTCCACGTTCTCCAGATGCTCTTTCCTGTTCAACAGACCCAAACCACAGTCAGTGGAGGAAGTAAAAGCAATGCTCTGTTACCAGTAGTACAAATATCGGCATTGAGTTATTGCGGTTTACCGGGTATCGGCGAGTATCTCTGCACTGATTCGATCCAAAGTCACAACCAGCCCTACTCTGACTCTGACCAAGGGTTTAACTTGAGCCAGGTCATACAACAATCATAGAAATCATACAGGTTTAGGGGTAAAAGCTTGTTAAAAATAATAATATATAGTAAATAACAGGGTTTCCCACACATCCTGGGAAACCTGGAAATTTATAGAGTGGTTTTCCAGTCATGGAACAACCTGGAAATTGATTAAAATAACCAAATATGTTGAAAATAATCTATGTTGTGTCCCTTAAACGATGACCACTGTTAAAGCTGCCTGATTGTCCATAAAAACTGGAAAAAAAAGGTGCAAACCTTGTATAAACTATTTTTGAATGCACAGGTCATAGCAACGGTAGTCGTATCAGCTGAAAGTTCAGGTATCAGAATCGGTATATGGAAGGAAAAAATTGTATAAAGACATCTCTAATCAAAATATACATTAAGTATTCAAATTAAATGTATTATACACACATATATATAATGTAAAACTAGGATTTCCTGTTCTAGCCTTTTACAGTGCTTGTTTTGTCCAACCAACTGTCCAAACCTCAAAATTATTAAAGAATACATTAAAATTATTTAAATAATTTAAAGGAAAAGCAGCAGATCATCACATTGTGAAGCTGGAACAGAAGCAAGTCAATGGAATATCATTAATTTTTAAGTTAATCATTTAGTTGTACTTCAATGAAATCTGAAGCTGTAAATAAATTAAAAAAAAAGTTACCAAATAACTTAATATATATAAAGTACAAGTGCAGTGTTTGAGTAAGTGTAATTATATCCTGTTATAAATCAATACAAACAAGAATCTACAACTGTTTGTGTTTTTCTCTCCTCAGGTTGTATCTTTATGAAGACGGCTCAGTCGAACCGGCGAGCAGAGACGCTGATCTTCAGCCGCCACGCTGTGATCGCTGTCAGGAACAACCGGCTGTGTTTTATGATCCGTATCGGGGATCTCAGGAAGAGCATGATTATAGGAGCGACCGTCAGGTTACAGGTGTTTGTCTGGTTCACATGTTTACTTCACAATTTAGACAATTTTTTGCAGCATATTCTTAGTTTCTAGATTTTCTCTTTGTATTTAAACTCCATGTATTTTGTTTTTTATCTGCAAATTTTGATCTCCCACAATCATGTATGTTTGCAAATGAGTTTCATTACACTGTAAACCAAAAAAAAGTCATCATTTCAAGATCTCTGTCCTCACAAAATGTTCAAGTTTTAAGTACCTTTAGTAGCTTTTCTTCTTTAAAAAAATCTTTTGAATTTTATAAACAAAAACATTCTGTATTTCAAACATTGTTAACAGTGAGATATGAACCTGATTGTGCTTGAAAATTCAATAACTGCAATTGAAAATGTATTTATATGTTTAATTTTTCACTTTAAGGAGTTTTAACAATTTCGGATATTCAGATTTTCGTGTTTCCAAAACTTAAAGATTCAGGTTTTTTCTAAAGTTTATTTAAAAACTTGAGAGTTTGACTTAAAAACCAAACAGATTAAATAATATCTTCAAAAATGGAACCGGCAGTGCACAAATAAGATTTAAATGGAACTGATATTTAATAATTAATTTGGACTGTACGTCATCGGCAGGTGGTGAGGAAGACGACCACACCGGAGGGCGAGGTGATCCCCATCCACCAGATCGACGTCCAGACAGAAAGCGCCTTGGCCAGCAACAGCCTGTTCCTCCTCGCGCCGCTCATCATCTGCCACGTCATCGACAAAAACAGGTACGAGCTGAGTTAACAGTAGTTTTAATGCTTTGACATTTTGCCTAAAAAAACAAGACTATGAGGAACAAGGACACAAAAATATCTATTCTATTGGTTATTGGATCTATTGACAGAAATATAATATTCATAGGTACGATTTATTAGTGTAAAATCACCTGAAAATAAGAATTGTTGTGTTTTTGCTGCTTTAGAATGAGACTCTTGTATCTATGGACTATGGACAAACCAAACACTGGCTCCTCCTAGTGCTCCTAATGGCAACTACAGCACCTGAAAGAAAACAACCAATCAGAGCCAGGAAAGATGATGATGAGTCTGGAAATGAGACTCAACAATCAGCTGTCGGCTCTGATTGGTTGTTTTCATTCGGGCCCGGTGGATTCTTTAAAATGCCATTAGGGGCACTAGGAGAAGCAAGAGGGAGCTGATTTTGTCACACATTATCTATCTGATGTTCTGCTGTCAGGATATAGTAAAAGTTTCAGCAAATATGACTAAACGTTATTTCTATAAAAGTTACCTACTGCAGCTTTAAGTCTTTAAATAATTATGTAGCCTCCAGTCATATAATATAATATTCTACCAACACACTTGTTTCATGCAAAATAGCCTCCATTGTTTTTGTTTTCTTTCTTTGTACCTAAATTTAAGAAGCCGTATGACCCAATAAGTAACTTATATCTTCATACAACACAATTACACTGTAAATCTGGGGCTGTATTATAAAGTGTTACAGGCAAACACACTAACATGCACACCAAGTCGCCCCTACAGGACACGAATAAAGCCTGTGTTGTTTCTTTCAGCCCGCTGTACGACCTGTCAGCCATGGAGCTGCAGTGCAGCGACCTGGAGGTGATCGTCATCCTGGAGGGGGTCGTGGAGACGACGGGGATCACCACGCAGGCCCGGACCTCCTACGTCTCCGAGGAGATCCAGTGGGGTCACCGCTTCGTCCCCATAGTGACGGAGGAGGAGGGCGTGTACTCTGTGGACTACTCCAAGTTTGGTAACACAGTCAAGGTACGAGTTCAGCAAATTGATCGCTTCATTGATTGTTACACAGTATTAGAACAAAGTTACTAAAAATACTACTAAGGCTATTATACCCCCCCCCACCAAAGACCTACTTTCTAACCTTTGTCATGTGGTTAATGTTGTGAAACGGTTGCAGTTTGGTAGGACAAGATCAGGGTTTGGGTTAAAATAAGTATGTTAGATACATAGGTAGGTTATAGGTGTGTTTTCTAGAAACAACGGGCCTTCGGAGCAATGGGCTTTTTTTGTTTGCTGGTTTTTGGGCTATTGGGATTTTGGGAACAATGGTATGGAACCTCTTTCTTTGCAAGCTTGTTTGTAGACTGTTTTTCATTACTGGGAGGTATTTTGTCACTTTTTAAAAAAGGTTCAAAGGTAGCCTGAAGGGTAATTCATAATACCCATTTATATTACAAAGAAGAAGAAGACACAAAGCTTAAAAAGTCAACTTTAAAAGCCAAAAGTCGTAGTGAAAGTGTAGATAATTGTTCACAGCAATCCAAACCTCTTGCTGTCATGTGGTCATAATTAATATACGTATAACACATTTTCTCTGTTGTTGCTCTTGAAGGTAGCGACGCCACGCTGTAGCGCCAGAGAACTGGACGAGAAGCCGTCCATCTTAATCCAGACTCTCCAGAAGAGCGAGCTGTCGCACCAGAACTCGCTGAGGAAGCGCAACTCCATGCGACGCAACAACTCCATGCGGAAAGGCGGAGGAAGCAGCGGAAACCTGCGCAGGAACAACTCGGCGCTCGCCGTGCCCAAAGTCCAGTTCTTCACCCCGACCGAAGGGGGCCAGACCCTGAACGCCGTTACCTGACATGAGGCCTGCCTCCTGCTGGCTACCCTGCTCCTCCTGGTGGGAAGGAGGATTGCGGGTGTTGGTGTATCTCCTGCGCTGATGGGACTTGTTCTTTTTCTGTTCCCTGCCTTATCTAGACTTGTCTCCCAACACCTTTACTGTTAATATTACTCCATGTTTACATGCATGGAGTAATCTAGTTCGTATTTTAGAAGTAGCTGTTCAAACTGTTGACAGGAGCGTTAAGAAAACATGCCATGGCTGCCATGTTGAACCACCATGTTTCTACAATAGCCCAGAACGGACAAACCAAACTCTGGCTCTTCTTCAGTCAAGGAGTTTTTCCATCAGTTGCAATCTCACCACTAGATGTCACTAAATCCTACACACTGGTCCTTTAAAGCAATAATTACAAACATTGGGCCTTTATGCCCTTTTTTTAATCGTTTTTGGGGGAGATATATTTTCTTATTGACTAAAGTCACAGTTTAACTGCTAGTAGTGGTAACTAGTGGCAATCAATCACTGTATTATACATGTTTATTTTTCACTTTATTGTAATTTGTGTTGTTTGAGAATAAATGCACTCACTTCATCTGAATGTGGTTTCAGTGTCTGAACTGCTCAAATGATCCCAGTGAGCAAATATGTTGATTTAGTAATCAATACAACCAAATGCATCAATATACATTTCAAAAATATGAAAATTATTAAAATAAAATCAATAGATCTACAGAAGGTCACATATATTAGGGATTGGTAGCATTACAGTTACTCAAGTTGCTAAACAAAGAGAATTATAAATAAATTAAGTGTGTCCAAATACGTTCATTATATTTTATTATATAAATTATATATATTATATATTATATACAATATGACAATAATATATATATAAAAATAGAAAATAAGTGTATGTACATTATACTGCAGTATATAACAATATATATAAAAATAAGACATGCACACTATTTTAACATGTGATTATAGCAAGGGAATTCTTCTTCTTCTCCTTATTATTATTATTATTATTATTATACACCAGGGGTAGAGCAAAGAACACTGTCCTTCATTGCCTTATGTTTGATAGATTTCAAGCATATTTTAAGTGATTATTCACTCTAAATAAATATAAAGATTACATGTTAACTAAGTCATAACTGTACTTTACTATAATACTCATTGGATTATTTTATCATTTACTGTTTCATATGATTTATTATATTATTGCACATATATCGTATTTTTGAATAAGTGTACAAATATGTACATTATATGACAGTATATAACAACAATATGCGTAAAATAAGAGTAAAAATATGTATACTACAGTATATAACAGCAGTGTAATGGATAAATATAATTTAATAAAATATAAATTGTAATTATTATTATTATTATTATTATTATTATTATATTATTGCACAATTTTTTTAATAAGTGTGTAAAAATATGTACATTATATGACAGTATATAACAGGAATAATAACATGCAGAAAATAAGAGTAAACATATGTATACTACAATATATAACAACAGTGTAATGAATAAATATAATAAATATTATTATATATATTGTAGTTTAAATATTATTATTATTATTATTATTATTATTATTACATTAACTGTGATATACTGATTAGATTATTTTATCATTATCTATATATATTTCTTTCTTTTTTGCTCACGGTTTTTCTGCCCGGAGTGAGTCCTCTGTTCGTTGGAGGATCTCTGCTCTCCTCCACCCTCCAGTCCACTGGCAGCCGCTGTTGCTCCACACACGCATGTTACACGGCATCAAACCCAGAGGAAACAGGAACACACGGGGCACTTTTTAACCAGGAATCACGGCTGTGCTCAGCCGGAGAGCTGAGGGAGTAAAATCATCCAGGACAGCAGCGGGGATTCCTCACTGCAAAGGCCGGGACTGGAGCTCCGACCGCTGGGGAGAGAGGGACGCACGCACGGGCCCGGTAACTCACTGGGTGTTTGTTTGGCCGGAGGGAGACAGTGCAGAGAGAGAGAGAGAGAGAAAGAGAGACACTGAAGGGGTGGGGGGGAAGCAGGGAGACAGATGGAGACCCCAGGTAAACTTTTCTTATTGCGTGGCAGAATGAGACACAAACAGACAGACAGGCATGCAGACAGACAGGTTGTCAGACTTAATGTGTGTTCAGACTGATCTTGGAAATTTTATTATAACAAGAAAGGAAAAAAAAACTACAAAATGTAAACTGTAATTTAAGCTTTAATCTGCATTAGTTCTGTATCTTTGTCAGTAAGTTCATAATAAAGACAGTCTGTGTTCATCATGCCGAACTCCATTAAAAAAAACAGTTATTTAACCGTTAGAACCCTAAATACCTGTTATTAAAGTTATTTAACTGACTGATAGAAAGTAAATAATTACATTTACTTGTGTACTGCACGTAAGTGGATCGTTTTATGTACAGATACTACTACATTTTACTCTAGGTTGCTTTATTTTGCTGCATTTTTAGAGGTACATTTTTAATTTACTAGATGTATTTGTGACAACAGGAAATGGAAGTTAAAAGTAGTTGAAGACAGTGTTAAATTATTTCTTTATTTATTTACTCAAAGGCATTTCTTTATTTGTTTTACAGCTGGTGGATGTGTAACTAATACAAAATACTTGAATATACTTTTTGGTAGTTTAGTTTATTTAAGCATCATATTTTATAAACTGACGTGTTTTTAAAAGTTTTAAAATCTGAATTTACAAGCTAACTAACATTAAAGCTGTAAATGCTGATGATTATTCTCCTGCTAGATTTTATTTATTCCTTGTTTTGTGAAGCAGTAGTTTTGAAAGGTGCAATATAAATAAAGTTATTATTATTTTAATTGTAGTGGAATAAAAAGTAGCATCAAAAACTCAAAATACAAACAAAAACAAAGGTACTGTCCATCACTGCCAACTTGTATATAAAGTAACTGATGTTAGCTAAAAATCCACCTGCCAAACATGAACATGTTTCTTACACATCAATGCATCTTAAATGTTAATTATACAATATTGTATAATAAATATAATTCTTCTGCTTAATGTGTACTTTTACATTTTGGTAAATTCACTACGTTTAACTGAGAATATTTATTTACTTAAAGGTCCAGTGTGTAACATTTAGAAATATGTAATATAATATGTATATGTATGGTGAATTTATATATGTATGAATATATATGCTTGCATACTTGGGCACTTAAGCTATTACATAAAGCTACTGTTAATTTAACATAATGTAAGATTTGTCATGTTAGATTATGAATGTTTTCGACTTTCTAACATTCACTTTTTCTGTTTTTATAGCGTGAACACTTAAACGAAGCTAAAGTAGGCTAAGCTGGGAAACTTCCAGAACCATGATGCTGTTTGGTATATCGGCCAACAGGCGCATTGTCGCCGGCCTGCTGGTCAACCTGCTGTCCTCCATCTGCATCGTCTTCATCAACAAGTGGATCTACGTACATTATGGCTTCCCCAACATGACCCTGACCCTCGTTCACTTTGTGGTCACCTGGCTGGGACTCTACGTCTGCCAGAAAATGGACATTTTTGCTCCAAAAAGCCTCCCAATTCGCAGGATTGTGTGGCTGGCTCTGAGCTTCTGTGGGTTTGTGGCCTTCACCAACCTTTCCCTGCAGAACAACTCAATAGGAACGTACCAGCTGGCTAAAGCCATGACCACACCCGTCATCATCCTCATCCAGACCACCTACTACAAGAAGACATTCTCCACCAAGATTAAACTGACACTGGTGAGGGAATTTTATGTGATCTCCTCGTTACAGTAATCTGGATGTAGTAACTGGCTAAAGCTGTGACCACCGTCTTCTAGAGTTCTGCTGCCCAAACCAAACCTGACGCATCCTGACAAAGTATCACGTGTTTTTTTTTAATACGCTTCATAATAAGAAAGTGCCTGGAAAAGCCAAAATTCCTCATTGTAATTAAACCCAAATTTAATGGATATATTGTTGTAATCCTAAATTGTCGCTTGACCAATCATTTTATTTATTTATTTCATTTGTTTATTTGATTGGGACAAAGCATGTTAATGGACATCAATTTAAAGATAAAAGATGTATCATCTGCATACTTTCGATTATTTTCAAATGAAATCAAATAATACATCATTAATATATATTCAGTAAATAAAATTGGTCCAAGAATAGAGCCTTGTGGGACCCCCTGATCATTAGTAAAGTGTCTTTAGTTGGCCTGTGACACTCGGTAGTTGTTAACATGGGAATATTCATTAGCGTGTTCATGTTTCAAGGAAATATATTGTCTCATTCTCCTGTAATTTATGACATTGTGATGAGCCAAAGTGGTGGTTGTGTTCTACCTGTCTCTGTCTCGCTCCAGGTGCCAATAACATTAGGGGTGATATTGAACTCGTACTATGACGTTCGATTCAACCTGCTGGGGACAGTGTTTGCGACGCTTGGTGTTCTGGTAACATCGCTTTACCAAGTGGTGAGTTAACATACACACTGAAATGAAACGACAAAGGGGTTTCTGTAAAATTGACTCAAATTAAAATCTCTCCACCTGTCTGTCTCTCTCTCTTTCAGTGGGTGGGGGCTAAACAACATGAGCTCCAGGTGAACTCGATGCAGCTCCTGTACTACCAGGTATGACTCAGCACCAGAGGCAGATAGAATGAACAGTATCAGTAGAAGTACTACCTTGCATTATTTATTTATTTGATATTGATAATATAACTGCAGCAGCTATTGATGGTGTAGCTTTAACAGTACAGGGTTCACTTAATTCTCAGTATCTTATCAGTTTTTTCACACTGCCTTATGCATTGTCATGCTGACAGCAGCTTTCTGGTGAAACTGCTTATGACTTACCGACTGATTTGGGAATTCGTTTAGAACTAAGGTTGTCGATACTTCTGTACTTTTTTGATACCAGGTGTTTTAAAACAATACAATCTCTGTTAGTAATACATTTGATAGTATTAAAAGTACACTTGTTGGCCTTGACTTGAATTGGGACTTGTTGGCCTTGGCTTGTTGATTATTACTGAGGATTTGATTTGGAACTTGTTGGTCTTTACTTGGGACTTGTTCATTTTGACCTGGAACTTCATTTGGGACTTGATTTAGGACATGTTGGTTATTACTCAGTACTTCATTTAGAACTTGGAGGCCTTGAATTTTGACTCTACTTGGGACTTGTTGGTTATTAATTGGGACTTGAGGGACAACTCAAGGCCAACAATTCTTGAGTTGAATGGTTTGCCTTAACTGGGACTCAACTTGATTATTACTCAGGACTCAATTTAGAACTTGGTAACCTTGACTTTATACCTGATTTGGGTCTTGACTTGTCATTTAATCACTTGGGACTTAACTTGGGACCAGCTGATATTGACCTGGGACTTGATTTGGGACTTGAACTTTATCCAACCTTGATGTCTGTTCAGGACTCTTAAATGACAGCTGGTTTAGACTGTTCAGGTAAAATGTATAAAATGCTGCAAATCTGCCAAAAACCAATCAAGTATGCATTGATTGGCTCTGTCAGATACATATCAAGGTATCTCTAAGTATTAATACTGTGACTGCAATATCAGCATGCTTTATTAATACACAATGTGATGTAATGACGGTAATGTTAACACAGTGACTGTCCTGTCAGGCTCCTCTGTCATCGGGCTTCCTGCTCTGCGTTGTTCCACTGTTCGAGCCGCTGTCTGGAGATGGAGGAATATTTGGACCCTGGTCTCTGCCTGCTCTGGTCAGACTCAAACGTCTCACACACACAACACTTAGTTAAAACACACACTTAACACACACACCAGCTCCACATTCTGTGTTTGGGGAGAAGGAATATGTAGAAAATATATGTGGTTTTAATGAGAAATAGTTGCGATTAATTAAATGGGATTGCACCAGTCTAACGTAAGAGAAAGGCCCCTGAGGATTTTGTATATTGTCATGTTGCTGGGGTAACAGTCTTGTCCTCTTGTTCCATAGGTGACGGTGCTGTTTTCGGGAGTGGTGGCGTTCCTGGTCAACCTATCCATCTACTGGATCATTGGGAACACCTCAGCTGTCACGTATCCTCTAATACACGGAAGCCCAAAGAGGCCTATGGGGATCTGAAGGGTGTTTGGCAAGGATCTAGGGGTCAAGTAGGGGGGGTTTACAGGTCTGTAAGGTTGCAGGTTTGAGGCCTTCTTAAAGAGACTTTGTTCGGTTTGTGGGGGTTGAAGGGGTTTTGGCAGGTTTTAGGGCTTTGTGAAGAGCTCTCTGATGATGATGAGATGGTCTTCTTTCTTGGGGATTTACAGGATTGACTTCCTGAGTGGGTTTCCGGTTTCCTTGAGGGGGTATTCTTGTGAAGGATTGGATTGGGGTCTTTGTGAATAGCTTTCTGGTCTCTTTGAAAAGGTTGCAGACCTTCTTGAGAAGGTTCCTTGGGTGATTGAAGGGATTGATGCTTTTCTTGGGGAGGTCAGGAGGCTTTGTGAGGAGATAAAGATCTCCTGATTAAAGGGATTACTGAACTTGAGGAGGCATTTGGTCTCCTTGTAGTGGTTTCTAGTAGAGTTAAAGGTTTTAAGGTCTATTCAAGGTCGTCTTGGTCTTTTTGAGGAGGTTTCAGGTGTTCTAGAAAGGTTTCTAGGTGTATTAATGATTCCTGTAGGTATTCAGAAAATGATTCTTGATATTGGATTTAATTATTTTAGATGGATTTTGTGTGTTGTTGTTTTCCTGACTTTAGTTCACAGCTACAACATGTTTGGTCATTTCAAATTCTGCATCACTCTGGTTGGAGGATACCTGCTCTTCCATGACCCACTGTCGCTCAACCAGGTGAGTCTTACCGATCTAACCTTCTGGCTTCAATCTGGCAATTATTCTCCCCAAACCCCTCATTTTCTCTAACTGTCTTCTTGTTCTCACATTCAGGCATTGGGGATCCTCTGTACTCTGGCAGGCATCCTGTCCTACACTCACTTCAAGCTGGCTGAACATGAGGAGGGGAAGAGCCGCCTGGCTCAAAGACCATAGGCTGACTTACCTGTCAGTCAGCTGCATGGACTCCTGCCATTGGCCGCCCACAGTATGACTGGCTGCAGAGACCTCTTTTATATAAATCTTTTTATTTTGCGTATTTTTGTAGGAGAGTAAAGAATTTTATCGTGGTTCCCTGACAGGACTAAATGTGTACGACATCGTCTTCGCGCTCTACCCAACACTGATGTTTTTTAAGGGAAGCTGAAGCTCATCACATCGGCAAATGACTTTTGAATGGATGGGTTTTTTTCAGCTGCTGAAATGTAAATGAAAAGCTGTGTTAACAGTAACATCTTTGCTTTCATCTTAAAGCAGATAGAAGAACTTTTTTTTTTTTTTTTAAACAACGTTTACACGGACGGACGCAGGACGTCCAATTCAGCTTCATTTCTTCACAAGAACTCCCTGCTGTTTGTGGCATGTTGGTGTTGACACATTGGACGACCTTTGATATATTTAGTGGGTGTAGTTCCCCAGCAACTAATCAAAAGGAAACTGCAGGTTTATCTCAAGTTTGGCAAAGTTAAAGGATAAACTCTGTTAAAGATAAACAGAAATCTATCAACTTTTGGAGTTGTTTAAGCAAGTTGAGCACTGTTTCTGGACCTGTAAACGCCTTCTATCAGGTCCTATCTATAAGGGATTTGTCATTTAATGAAAATGTTTTTGCTTTAAAGTGACAGTTGCTTTATCATGTTAAATAACTGCCTGGCTGCACCATTCAGAACACACATAGTCAGTAATGGACTGTCCACTGTATGACACTATTGCCGCTTGCCAAAGGGAAAAAAAAGGGTCTGTGTGTTTTAAATTGTCATCTTTTTTTCTATTTGTAGTCAATTTAAAACCATTTATTTACACACAAGTCTATCCTTTGATATACCTCGACACTGTCCGACAATTTTCAAGATGTCCACATGAATCATTTCAGCAGACAGACAAATGTTGTTTAACTTTTAAACCTACTTACAAATTAGCAATCAAAGGCTAACAACTTACAGGTGGTGTGAGCTTACGGCTAACACACTAACCAGCTCGGAACATGCTAATACTAGTAGGGTCTATTTTCTCTTTATTGTTTACTTCTCACTGACATTTGCTTCTCAGGACTTCTATGATTTCATCACTGAAGAGTTACTGGAGATGGAGAAAACCACCGAACAAGCAAGCTAAGAGCAAATAAGTCCAAAATAAGTGTTCGCACCATCAACCCCCGTCTCTGAACTGCCGGTGAACCATTCCTCGTCTGTGGAACCGTTAATACTCAGACAGGGGTTAAATGAAATGAATCGGCGTTACACAATCTTTTTCTTAGTGACTGAAATAGATTATTTTGTTTGTTTTAGTGTTTAAATGTCTGCATCATTTCAGTAACTAGTTCCAGGCTGCTCTTTAGTTTTACTTACGTTTTTATTTTAGCTATTTTTTGATAGAACTTTGTGATGAGGAATCATTTTTTTGAGAAATCATTTCAGACGCATACCTCCATGAGGCTGTGTGATTGGCAGTTTCTGTACTAGTTTAAAAAAATGGAAACTACAGTCTGAATTAACCAATGATTGAACCAACAAAGTGACTTTTGATTGACCAGACAATGCCTGCGATGTACTGCAGCCTGCACGGTGACAGAGCTTCAAACTTGTTGGTTTGCAGCTTTCACTATTTTCATTTTACTGTGTCGAACATATTCAATCTGCTGAATAAAAACTGATTTAGTCATTTTGCAGCTGTTTGGATTGTTTCTTCGCTGAGTTAATTAAAAAATCTTACATAATATAACATTTTACTGTTGTTGCTGCTTTAGTTTGAGCTACTTTTAACTACTTTATAACCCTTTAATCCTGAGATGATTAATGGGAGAAAGAAAATTCCTGCTACACAAATTAGTTTTTTCTCTAATCTCGAGTTTTGCCTCTTTGTGCCTTAAACAGTTGATTAAATGAAACCATATGAGAAGTTTAGAGAGGACTACCTTGAGTTAAACTGTGACAGTAACAAGTCAGTAAACCTGCTCAAAGGTATAAAGAATGAGAACGTGGTTTCATTTATTATAACCACACCTAAAATGTCGTTTTCCCTGTGAACGGCTCTTATGTGTAGCTGCACTGTGGCTCCGAGCTTCCAGTACCACGTGTGTGTGTGTGTGTGTGTGTGTGTGTGTGTGTGTGTGTGTGTGTGTGTGTGTGTGTGTGTGTGTGTGTGCGCGTGTGCCATCCACACTGTGTCAATAAAGCTACAACAGTAACCCTTGTTCACAAACACACACAGAGTGGCTGTGCTGGGAGGACATTTCAGACGGATGAAGGAGTTGGAAAGAGCGTGTGTTTAAAAATACCTGTCGTCTCCTGAGGAAGGAAAATCTGAGAGCTGCTTTAAAACAACCCTCAAAATAAATATAAATTACATCAGTGGAGCAGCTCAGTTGTTTACTTTAAGTTACATTCGCCAATTTTGTTATAATAACCTCATATAGAAGTAAAAGTCAGTGGTGGAAGAATTATTCCCTTGTTTACTTATGTGAAAATATCAATACTACAATATAATAATGCCCCATTACACCTAAAAGTATTGCGTGGAAAAAGTCTAAGCAAAATGTATGTAAAGAATAAAAAATAAAAAGTATTTATAATGCAGAAAAATGACCCCTATTATTATTATTATATTATTATATACTTACTTCATACTCATATATCTCAGAGGTGAGTATAATTTTCATTTAATTTCATTAAATATAATTAAATGTGTTCAGAGTTTGTTGCTCTGCTCCCAAAGTGGCCAAATAAATAACAATAAATAACAATAAATAACAATAAATAAACAACAAACTTCAGCTGTCACAGGCAACTGTTGAATGAGTAGTCGCCGTAAGAGCTGCCTGTCGGTGTGACACAACTTTAACATACGAAAAAATAAAGTAACTCAGGGGTTCAATTATGATACAATAATGTTAAACTAAAGTCTGTATTTTTAAAAAAAATATATACATAACATAATATAACGCAATAATGTTATTTTCAGTAAGGCATAATTTGTGGACGCAACATGAGAGGGTCCTTCCGCGGTTCACACGGAAACCAACGCTAATGACCGATGTTTGTTTTGCTACAGTTAGCAGGTAAATCTTTTGATTTTACAACAATAATCACACCAAAACTACAATTACCGACCAGGGATTCACGTTGTACGTTATAATAACCCCGCACTGTGACGGGCTAACACTCCCTAACTGCCAGTTTAACGCTGTCACGACATTTGTTTACGTTTGTTTCCCCGTGGCCTAGCCTCAAACGCGCTAGCCACGCCAATGCTAACCCCGTTTTCGTGCTGGATTTTGTGTTTGAAACATCTCCGCATGTGTAAATACATTATAACTCCTTTTGGATGTGTTTTCAAATTAAAAATGTTTTGTTCTGCTGCTCTAAAATATATTTTTTAAGCCGTTTATTGAAGTTGCTGCTGCGTTACCGCGTCCAGGTAGCTGTAGTGGATGTGGGTTGGTGTCCTTGTTTGGAGGAAAATCTTGTTTTATTTTGTGTGAATTTATAAAAGATGTGTTAGTAAAATGTAAAGAAGTGTCAGTAGATAAACCAACATCAATAAAACTGACTGTTTCCGGCCACCAGCTTTGTTTTGGATTTTGGAAAAACAGCTGAAAATTGTTTAAAATGTTTTTTTTATTTTGCAAAAGACCCGAATATTTATTCATACAGGTGGTTCAAAGAGTCTTTAATTCAATTCAGTTTTATTTGTATAGCGCCAATTCATAACAGAAGTTATCTCAGGACACTTTTCAAACATTAATTACAGAGACCCAACAGTACCACCATGAGCAAGACCTTGGCTCTAGGTGGGTGGTCGTCTGTCTCAACCAGTTGGGGTGAGAGAGAGAGAGACAGACAGACAGACAGGTGCACAGCAACAACAGTATTGGCAATGGAAATCTAGCAGGACCATGGCAGGAGGCTCCACCGGGCTCTTTAAGGATTCTGGGAATACCTTCAGAGCAGCTTTAAATGTTTAAAACAATGTCTTTCTGCTGTCTCTCCTCAGTATGCCTGCTGAACGCAAGCGCTCAGTAAACATGGACGAGAAAGACGTTTGCTCCTTCGCCAACAAGGAAAAAGAGAAGGACCGAGATGGCGAGAGGAGACCGGCGTCTGCCCGCGACAAGGCGAAGGACGAGGCCAAAATGAGCGGTAAAAAGGACGGCGGCAAGGAGGAGAAGAGAAAGCGCCTGGAGGAGGAGAAGAAGAAGAAGGAGGAAAAGGAGCGCAGGAAGAAGGAGGAGGAAAAACAGAAGGCGGAGGAGGAACAGAAGAAGAAGGAGGAGGAGGAGAAGAGACAGCAGGAGGAGGAGGAGAGGAAGCTGCAAGAGGAGGAGGCCAAAAGACAGCGCGAGGAGGAGGCAGCTCTCCTGAAGTAAGTGACGGCGAACTAATAAAAATCTCATAAAAACTCATAATCCAATCGTCACGTTTGGGAGTTTTTGTCAGCATCAAGGTCATCCAGTCCGTTTCCATGGTAACTGTGCCAACAGGAGCCGCTAATGGATAATTCAGCATTACCTTGCATGGTGCAGAATTTTAAATCAGACACTTTCTGCAGTCATCTGTGGACATGAATGCAAAAAAAAAATAATGTATTAAACTTTTATAGAGTTATGTATAGAACAACTCACGTGTGAATTGAACTTACTCTAAAAAATAGAGATATAGATAACCATATGTGACAAGAGTGGCCAAAAAACCTGTAAATGAATGGAGCGAAAACTGAACAAGAAAAGTCTGGTCACAGTTAAAGGCCAGTGTACCAATTATGTGACATGAATGCCTTGATTTCATCCGTTTTTACCTAATCTCTGCAGGGAGAAGGAGGAGGGGCATCAGCTGCACCAGGAGGCCTGGGAGCGCCACCAGTGCAGGAAGGAGCTCCGCAGCAAGAACCAGAACGCCCAAGAGGGTCGGCCCGAAGAGGCCTTCTTCAGCCGACTGGACTCCAGCCTTAAAAAGAACACCGCCTTTGTCAAGAAGCTGCGTACGCTCACCGAACAGCAGCGGGACTCGCTCTCCAACGACTTTGGCTCGCTGAACCTCAGCAAGTACATCGGCGAGGCCGTGAGCTCCGTCGTGGAGGCCAAGCTGAAGATCTCTGACGTCGGCTGCGCTGTCCATCTGTGCTCCCTCTTCCACCAGCGGTACGCCGAGTTTGCTCCGTTGCTCTTACAGGCGTGGAAGAAGCACTTTGAAGCGAGGAAGGAGGAAAAGGCGCCCAACGTGAGCAAGCTGCGCACAGACCTGCGCTTCATCGCCGAGCTCACCATCGTCGGCCTCTTCACAGACAAAGAGGGCCTCTCGCTCATTTACGAGCAGCTGAAGAACATTATCGGGACCGACCGGGAGACGCACACTCACGTGTCAGTGGTGATCAGCTTCTGTAAGCACTGTGGGGACGACATCGCCGGTCTGGTGCCCCGCAAGGTGAAACTGGCGGCTGAGAAGTTCGGCTTGACCTTCCCTCCGAGCGAGATAATCAGCACGGAGAAACAGCAGCCCTTCCAGAACCTCCTCCGGGAGTACTTCACATCACTCACCAAACACCTGAAGAAGGACCACCGGGAGCTGCAGAACACTGAGAGGCAGAACAGGTCAGAGCTTCCCCCCCGCCCATAAAGGAAAGTGCCTCTTGGTCTTGTTGTTGTTCACTATGATAAAACCTCGTTATGTTTTCTCCTCTTCAGGCGTATCCTACATTCCAAAGGGGAGCTGAGTGAAGACAGGCACAAGCAGTATGAAGAGTTTGCCACTTCCTACCAGAAGCTGCTGGCCAACACTCAGTCCCTGGCTGATCTGCTCGATGAAAACATGCCAGAGCTGCCTCAGGACAAGACTGTGCAGGAGGGTGTGTGGCCTTTCTTTTCCCACAATTATAGTCAATTAAAAATCTAAGATGTTTGTTTTTATTCTAGGTGACTGCGTCTTTTATCATTTTGTATATAACGATGGTTTCTCCCTCCTCAGAGCACGGCCCCGGCATTGATATCTTCACCCCTGGTAAGCCTGGAGAGTACGACCTGGAGGGAGGGATCTGGGAAGACGAGGACGCTCGTAACTTCTATGAGAACTTGGTGGACCTGAAGGCCTTCGTCCCCGCCATCCTCTTCAAGGACAACGAGAAGAGCGGCCAGGGCAAAGACAAGGACGACGCCAAAGGTATGTTTAATAAATCCACAGACGGATGAAGAAGGAGATTCACAGCGAGTTTTATTCTGACCGTGTTGCCGTTGCTGTCTGGTTCAGATGGCAGAGAGGGGAGGGACGCTGCCAGCACCACAGAGGAACTGGAGCTGGAGCTCGAGGCTCTTGACATCGCAGATGAACCTCTTGAACTGGAGGGAGCGGACGAGGCAGAAAACGAAGAACTGGCCAAAAAACTGCTGGATGAGCAAGGTAAACACGAGCCTCCATACTTAAATGTGATGTCTGTGACAGAACTGTTACATAAACGTCAGTCCAAGCAATATTTCTAACAGGACTCAACTCTAAAGAAAATACTATCACATTAACAGTACAGGGTTAAATATCTACAGAGAGATTAGATGCACCTCTTGTTTTCCTTAAGACCAGGACCACAAAACGCTGAATGAACCAATTTTAAGTCGTCGTACAGATTCTTCTCATGTCAGGTCAGCCTAAAAGTAATCAGAATAATAATAATCAGCCCTCCCTACCTTTTTATATTTTTTTGCTTTCAACAGCATAAATTAAGCAAAAAATAACATGAGAGTCCCAATTTTATGTCTTCTATGCGTATACACTCTGAGAGAAGCAGGTTACATGTCCCTTACACTTATTTTTAAAAGTTTCAGTGGCAAAACATGTTTTTGATATTGTTCCCTGTCGTATGATGACGATTTGGCCACCTGATGATTGTTTTAAGACAGATTCGAAAAATTGTGAACTGATACCTTTGAACAGAAAGATGAAGCCAAGAGGATCCCTCATACCAGAGCTGTAGACTTGCGACTTGACTTGTGACTTGAAAGCAGATAGCTGTGGAGACATGACTTTGTGACCCGTAACTGTTGACAGATGCTCTCCTGAATGTAGTTTCCCCTTTTAAAGTTGAGCCAAACTGTCATTAATAATTAATAACTTCACCAGGATGCACACCCACGTCTCCAGGAGGAAAATTTAAAGTTTGCTGACTTCCTGTCACTTTCTGCCATGTTACCTTTAAGTTATAGCAAGTACACATCTTATAACAAAATATATATGAGTTAGTAGTTTTTAGACCTTTTATTACGGAAATGTAACATTTTATACGTTTAATTGCATCCTAACTAATTTCAATGCCTGCCACAGAACTAATTTACAGATTCTGATACTGCACTACAAAAATTAAACAGAGCAGATAGTATTTATTTATTTATTATATTCTATCATATTATATTACACTATATTACATTATATTCTATTATATTACAATACATATATATAGTTTTTTAGACAAATGTTCATATTCAGTGTCCATGTTTGTTAAGCCGATTAGTGCTCAGTGGTCAGCTGCTGTTCTCCTTCAGCTTCTGAAACTGACAGAAGACTTGCCGGAGGAAGACCTCGTCGTGGCAGAACATCTCTTCCTGAGCTTTTGAATCTTCTTTTGGAGAGCCTCTATGACCTCAATGGCTTCCAGTTCGAGCTCCTCTGATTGGATCCTCAATACCGTTTCCACGTCCAGTGTCCGAGTGAGCCTTGCGATATCTTCAGTGAGAGTCACGTGCTTCTTCTCTTGTTCTTTCAGCCGCTCAGTGAGCAGCTGGCTTTTAACCGAAAGCTCGTCAGTGAGCATTTTGGCCTCTTCCAGCCTTTGGTAGAGTGCTCTGGCGATGTTAATGCCCACCATTTTGCTCCTCTCGGCCTCCTCCCTCAGATTCTTTTCTTTGCGGAGCTCTTGGTTGAACTCCTCACAAATGACCTCCTCCCGTTCAAAGTTGTTGAGGGTTGCAGTCTCCGCCCGGTCCCTTGAGTCCATTTCTTGTTGGAGTACTTGGTGCAGCTCCAGGATCTCATAGTGAAGAAGATCCTTTTGAGATTTCTCTGATTTGAGCTCAGCCGAAAGCAGCTGGCTCTCGGCTTCTGAGACCTTCTGCAGTTCTTCCAGTTTGAGGATAAGAGTGTCAGCGATATCCACAGCCTCCAGCTTTTGTGTCTCCGCCTGCATCCTCGAGCTTTGTTCAGTCTTGAGCTGCTGGTTTAGATCCTCCAGCTCTTCTGTGGCCATGGTGAGCTCCACGAGGAGCATCTGCTTTTCAGTTTTATGCCTCCCTTTTTCCTCGCGGAGCTGCTGAAGAAGTTCCTCCACTGTGAAGGGGCAGGCCACCTTGTTGGCTTCAATTTCCTGAAGCTTATTCTTGAGCTCCTGATTTTCGAGGAGCGTGGCCTCCTGGTTCTTCCTCTCAGCCGAGATCAGAGCGCTGTTTTTACTTTTAAGCTGCCGATTCTCCAGCTGAAGGGCCTCGATTTCTTGGGACATGACCTTGATCTCTCCCTGAAAGATGGTACAGAGGTCTGTGTTTAGATGTTGGGCTCTCAGTCTCTCCATCTGTGACGTCTGTGATGATGCCTCGTGAAAACGCTGCCGTCTGATAACTCACAATGTGAAAGTGTATCCGTAAAGACTCGTGGTTTTCCTACTCGAAAGTCATACAAGTGAGCTGGACGGCTTTTTACCTAACTCTCGTAGAGTTCCGGAATGTTATATCATAAAGCATAGGAACGCGTGACCTCATAGAATTCTAGAATGTCACTACGGCTGCACTCAGATCAGCTCTGTGACAGGACGTTTTTTTTTTTTTATTATTATTTTTCTTTTGACAGTTCTGACATGATATTAAGGTTGTTTTACAAAAAATAAATAAATAAAAATAAACACGTAAGGGAAAGAAAACAGGTTTGAATGTTGTCAGTGCCATGCTAATATTACCAAGGATCCAGAAACAGGATAATTCATTTCATAGTCGAATAACATATTAAATAATATAAAATACAGACCCCAACAAATGTCACATCATCACAATTTTAAACTTATAATTGTTAAAAATGACCATTCCCACTCATTGTTGTGCAGCCCTAATATCGATATATAAATATGTATGTGGGATGTGTCACTAATACTTAAACTACTACTTCCAAATTAATTAAATAGTTAATTAAGGACAAGGTGCATTTGTAATGTTGGAAAAAGCAAAGTACTGAGCTGGAAATTAGAGACAGTTCAGTTCTTACATTTATTCTGCTTTGAGCTTCTTCATTGTCTTTAAACTCTTTATTGTGTTTTTTTGCAGTTTTATTTTAAGTAAATCGTTATAAACCTTTATTTTTTTACTTGTAGAACAAGAGGATGAAGAGGCCAACACAGGGTCCCACTTGAAGCTAATCGTGGACGCCTTCATTCAGCAGCTCCCCAACTGCGTCAACAGAGACCTCATAGACAAGGTGATGAGAAACAAACAAGAATGACTACATTTGCCTGGCTTTGTGTTTATGACTTGATATGATTTATGCATGTTTCCACCTGCTAGATGATTACAAATGAGCAGCATGGCAGGTTGCTGACAAGTAAAGAACTTTACATTTATAAGCGATGTGTTGACTCCTGCAGGCCGCCATGGACTTCTGCATGAACATGAACACCAAATCGAACAGGAGGAAGCTTGTTCGAGCCCTTTTCACTGTCCCCAGGCAGAGGTATCAATTCACATTTTATATTATATTAACAATGGATCAGGTGACACTGCAGTGCTCCCGGTTTTAGCCTCTTTCAGCTCTTTGTTTTGATAAATCTGCTGTACACTACCTGCCAAGAACCAAAGAGCAGACAAAGTTAGAGACTAGCTGGTGAACTTAATGGAGCATTTAGCAGCTAAAGAGCTAAATATTTCCCTTAGGAGTTGATAGAGCCCAAAAACAGAGCTAAAAGAGAGTGAATATTGGATTTACATTCATCCAGTGGACACGAACACAACTCTGAATGATTATGTTGCTCTGTGTTTATAGCAGAACTGTCTTCAAATGGGTAAATGTTCATCAATGCAGCTTTTTCTTTTAACTTAAAGTGTAAAGGTTTGTCTACACAGGAGGCGTCTCAGCTTACACCGGCTGCGTAACGTTACCCGTGTGACAGCAACCCGCTTCTATGTGTGCTTCAAGTCTGTTGTCACACTTAAGGCGTGTAACTTCAGTGTAAAGTCAATAGTGTGACTGCATCCTGTATATATGTATATGTATGTATCCTGCATCCTGTGTAGACACAGTGTAAAGCTGGCAGCAGTCTACATTTTTATTATTGTCGACAAACTCCATTAGTCTGTCTATACAATACTTTCTGACTTCTCTACACAGTCTGTGGCTCTTGTATATATTTCTGAGTAATTTACTAAAACAGCTGAATACTGTAGTTTTTAGTGCATTTGTTGGGGACTATTTTCAGTGGCGGATTAATCCACATTTGGTGCTCTAGCGAGTATTTATTTGGGGCAGGAGAAAGGTGTATGTGGGATTGAGTCAAAAGAAACTAGTGATTTATGGGATATAGTGACACTAAGGAAAATATAGAAGCCTTATCCTATACCGTTACACACCACCAGAGGGTGCTATCACCACAATTAATGCTTTGAAGATGAGCCAACTGACTCTGTCTCCTCTTGCAGGTTGGATCTTCTGCCCTTCTACTCTCGCCTGGTGGCAACTCTTCACCCCTGCATGTCAGACGTGGCTGAGGACCTGTGCTCCATGCTGAAGGGAGACTTCAGGTTTCACGTAGGTCTTCTGTTGTTGTTCGATAAAACCAATTTGGGTTTGACGACATATATACATGTGGCATGAACAGACACATACACAGTTAGGACTCTGGTGATTCTTTATTTTGTCTCTATGTTTTTAAATCAAACTGTGTCTCTATTTTCTGCAGATGAATGAATTACATCTCTTTTTTGATAATTTTGTTATGCTGATGTTTGTGCTGTAGATTCGGAAGAAGGACCAGATCAACATCGAGACGAAAAATAAAACCGTCAGATTCATCGGGGAGCTGGCCAAGTTCAAGATGTTCTCAAAGACAGACACGCTCCACTGTCTGAAGGTGGGCGAGAGAGAGGCTTCGTTATCTCCAAGCTGATCGGTGTGAATGTTTTAACAGGAAAAGTCTGTGTGTGTTTGGTTTCCTGATATAATGCACACAAACCTGGAACTCAATCCCAGGGATTTACATTTGACCGTAGATTAGAAGATAAACTTCTAGTTTGTGTTGCCTCACAATTTGAATACGAGTACAGACTCCTCTCTATATTTGATAATTTAACACCTGGAAACCTGACACTTTATGATAAGAGGTAAATGCAAGTGGTAATGTTGCACTGACTTTACTGCCTTATCTTGGATTGACGTTTGATTCTAGCGTCTGTTTAGGGGGTTAGCTGAAAGTAAAAATAGTAATAAAGTAAAGATTTGCAAGAATAATTTGCACAGCAGGTGCCGTTGGTTTTTAAAACCCTGACTAGTGTCTGCAGTGTTCTGCTCAGGCTGTGTATAGCCCAATCTTCGCCACCATTAACAGAGGGAAACCTGCATACAGGCTGACTGAGAGCTGCTGCCTGTTTAGTGTATTGGTATGAAAACACATCAATGAGGGGCTGTACAGAGATTATTAGAGAAAATAGAGAGGAAAATTGTACTTTCTTGTGAGATTTATTCGATAATAAAGATAATTATTATTATTTTTCTATCAAAAAGAAAGTTTTCATGGGTCATAAAGGTGCTTTTTTCCTTAAGCAGAGGACAAGAATGGTGTCTCTGTGTTTTGAGAAGGAGAACAGATGTGGATCTTTTGAGGGATTATCTTCTGTCATAACAGAAAGCACTGGTAGATTTTAGTAACCTGAAACTATTAACAGGTGGGCGGGGGGGCATAAATAGTATTTAACATTGTGTGTTTGTTGCCCAACAGATGCTGCTGTCTGATTTCACCCATCACCATATCGAGATGGCCTGCACACTGCTGGAGACCTGCGGCCGCTTCCTCTTCAGATCCCCCGACTCTCACCTGCGTACCAGCGTCTTGCTGGTTAGTACACATCATCGTCATCATCATCATCAGAGTAGATCGTCTGGGTTAAAGCGAAAATAGAGCTAATAGGGAAAATGTTCCCATCCATCCAGTATCAGTCTGTCTATACTTAATAGTAACACTGAAAGGACACATTAAAAGTTCAGTTTAAGTTGTTGTGTTAATGTAAACAGCTGAATCCTGTCTGCGTTCCAGGAGCAAATGATGCGTAAAAAGCAGGCCCAGCATCTGGACGCCCGCTACGTGACGATGGTGGAGAACGCCTACTACTACTGCAACCCCCCGCCCGTGGAGAAGACAGTGAAGAAGAAGAGGCCGCCGCTGCAGGAGTACATCCGCAAGCTGCTCTACAAGGACCTGTCCAAGGTCACCACTGAGAAGGTGCTGAGGCAGATGCGCAAGCTGCCCTGGCAGGACCCCGAGGTCAAGAGCTACCTGATCTGCTGCATGGTCAACATCTGGAACGTCAAGTACAACAGCATCCACTGCGTGGCCAACCTGCTGGCCGGGCTGGTGGCCTACCAGGAGGACGTGGGCATCCATGTGGTGGACGGAGTGCTGGAGGACATCCGGCTGGGCATGGAGGTAAGGCGAGAAAGGAAGATTTATGGCTGGAATCTGATGTAGTAATACTTACTGACAATAGACAATGAGTGGAGAGCTACAGTAAGAGGACCGGAAGACAGATAAAAACCAGTTGCTAATCTTGATTGACATACTGCACAGTTGGCTGTTGTTACTGTCAGTCGTGTGAAGGTCAGTTACATGTTGCAGGAAACGTAAGAATCCTGAGCTGAAGTGGTTTTGCAACACTTCAAACTCTGACAGCAACGAGAGGCAACGTGCAGAAACAATGCTTAACATTCTCACATCTGCCTCCTAACTGACCCCAACTGATCACTTCAACCAACCAGGGTTCATGTTGCTTTCTTGTTATTTTTGAACTGGTATAATTCATTATAATGCTATATTATAAATCTCCAGTGACACCAGATTATTTTAATCTGCAGTTAATCTGGAGACTTTCTTGAGCAAATGAATAAAAGTCTAAAAGTCTCTGCTTAAATGTCCATTACTGTTTCTTAAACCCACAAAATACTGTCTGGCTACTTTTACTTAGCATCTAAATCCTTCCACTGCTGTCCGTCCTCAGGTCAACCAGCCCAAGTTCAACCAGCGGCGGATCAGCAGCGCCAAGTTCCTGGGCGAGCTCTACAACTACCGCATGGTGGAGTCGGCTGTCATTTTCCGTACGCTCTTCTCGTTCATCTCCTTCGGGATCAATCAGGACGGCAGCCCCAGCTCGCTGGACCCCCCGGAACACCTGTTCCGCATCCGCCTGGTGTGCACCTTGCTCGACACCTGCGGCCAGTACTTCGACCGCGGCTCCAGCAAGAGGAAGCTGGACTGTTTCCTCATCTACTTCCAGGTACGTCTGCGTTTTGTGCGTTTGTAAAAGTGCTTATCAACATTATTCAGTCTTTAATATCTGTCAAATAAAGACAAATTACTAGACAATATCTATATGCTGCATATTTCTGGTCAAATAAAGGTTCAGTAAATATAATTTTTTTGTGTGTGTCTGTAGCGGTACATCTGGTGGAAGAAGACCACTGACGTTTGGACCAAGGACCACCCGTTCCCCATCGACATCGATTACATGATCAGCGACACCCTGGAGCTGCTACGGCCCAAGATGAGGCTCAGCTGCTCCCTGGAGGAGGCCACGAAGCAGGTCACCGACCTGGAGAGGGAGGTGCTCGTCAAACTGGGTACGGGTGACACAATGCGCAAATATCTAAAAATGACCGTGAGAGGCAGCGGTCTATATCCGGATGTTTGCACGGCGGCCGGTTGAGCCGGTTGAGCCGCTCTCTGTCGCCCCGGCCGAGCAGCATTCCCCGGCGTGTAGGAGGAAGATGGTGCTGCTCTTCACTCATCACTTTTTCTTGTTTAGACAGGTTTACTTCAGCGAAACACTCGCATACCTAACGTACACAGTCACTGAACGGGCTCAGAGCTTTTAGGAATGATAATTGTGAATTAAATGAATGACGTCCTTTGCAGAGTTTCTCTCTGCATATAGTTAATTATAGATGTCTCACCCAAATAGTGTAATGCATCTGATTGTGTCACTAAAACAATTATTTGATTGACTATTGGATAATGATTTAATCACTTATGTTATTCTCAATGAGATGATTTTCTGGTTCCAGCTCGTCAAATGTCAGGATCTGCTCATTTTTCTTATTTTAAATAATTATAAACTGAATATTTTGGGGTTTTGGGCTGACAAACGATGTGATTTTCGGGCGTTACTTTGGCCTTGTGATGGACATTTTACTCTATTTTCTTCCATTTTAAAGACCAAATGATTAGTCAAGAAAATAATTTGATATTTGATAGAATACTTGATCTGAAAATGGTCATTATTTTGCAGCCCTAGTCCCCCCCTTTCATTCAACTAAAGTACTCAACCTTAAAAATGTGAGCTCTGCTGTTGGTGGGTGCAGTACATTTTAAAATTCATTGAGGTTTAAGATATTTGAGTCATAAAGCATAGTCCTTCTTGGAGTCACAACTGAGTCAAATCTTAGCAAGCAAACATGAAACACATCATTCAAATTACAAGAAATGTATTTATTTACATTTACTGAGTCAGAAGGAAGGTCACTGTGTTATAACCTGAATTATACTTAGATCTGAGCTCTGCTGCACCGTGTTAATTTAGCAAAGAAAAAGAGAAGGAAGAGGATGTCGAGCGAGAGAAGGGGGAAGAAGGGGGAAGAAGGAAACGTCTGTTGTAGCAGGTGTATCTCAGGCTGATGGCAGCGCAGTAACACTGGCTTTGTCTAACAGTTTCAAGGTGTTCACTTGGAATGTGCGGAGAAAAAATGTAAACAGCAGCTCCACCCTCAGAGGGAGTCGCACCGTGTGACTAACTGGAGGCCGTGGCAGTGAAATGACCAAAATAACCATGTAAAAATATATCAGGAGTGAATGAATAATCCATTAATAATGCTCATACATCAACCTCATAGCTTGTTGAGGTGGAGCGTGTTTGAACTACAGTTTGAGATCCCAACCTAGAGGTCAGGCTCCTCCAAAGGGTCACAAGATAAATCTGAGGGGTCGTCGGGCGATTAATGGGGGAGAAAAGAAGGAAAAACAAAGATCTGATGGTCAAATCTGGATTCAGTGTTTGGATTATTCTCTAATCTTTGCTTTTTTGTGGAATATTAGAGAGTTAGACCTCATTGTGCCTCAAAAAGTTATTTAAATTAAACCATCTCAGGAGTTTAGGTGGGACTGATAACAACTCTGAAACGTGACAAAGAACCTCAAGTAGACAATGTTTCTACTTCAAAGTCACAGCTACAATAAACTGTATTTTTAAGTTTGTTGTATGTTTTTATGTCAAATAATTTGCATAAAATGAAAACACTGAAGTACAAAGACCTCATAACCTTATGTAAGTACATTACCTGAATGTACATTCTACTGCTTGTGGTTATGTGTGTGTGTGTGTGTGGGATAGAAAGTGATTGATGAGGCTGATGGGGGGGCCCCTTAAGCTAAACAGTGCTGCCATTGTTTCACCTTTCATACTTTAACCAGGATCAGACATTCCTGAGTCCCCGAGTCACACAGAACCTGATCTCCAGCTTCGAGCCGCCTGCCTGACTTCATTTCTTTACTGTCGTCACGTAATTAAACCCGTAAATAGACTCCGTGATTGGTTGCACTGATCATTCAGATAACACACTAATGAAACAATGATTCCTTCCTGAATATTTGCTCTATTATCTGAGTGAAGCTCTTCTTCGTTGGGCTTGGCTCGGAGGTATTTATGTTTCCATCGCGTGTCTTACAGATTACCTTTTCCTGGTTTTCTCGATTTAAAAAAAAAAAAAAAAGAGCTTGAACTTCCTCATCTCGTGTGTTCACATGTCGCGCTGTGTGTTTTCACAAAGGTCTGGCCATGGAGAAGGACGGCCGCTCCAGCGCCATGAGCGAAGGCGAAGGCCTCGACGAGGAAGATGACGACGGCGACGACGACGAGGAGGGAGGCGCCGAGACCGAGGAGCAGTCGGGCAACGAGAGTGAAATGAACGAACAGGAAGAGGATGTGAGTTTGTTGTTGGTGACCTAACCGTCCAAAACCTCATCCCGTTTGTCCGCTCACCTCTCTGTGCTTCCTCGACGTTCTTGTTGGGACGGAGAAACTCCTTGAACTGTATTTACAGCGTCATTGGTAAATAAAGGCGGGGACACATTTTAGGCTGATGATGAATCTGGATTGTGACGACTGATTCAGACTGAGTCCTGGAATACCTGGAAGTTTAGAGACTAGTCTTCCATTCATGGAAACACCTGGAAGTTGATTAAAATCCTGGAAATAATCTATTTTAATCTGTAAATTAAAATACGGTTGTATTTTAGCCTGTGTTTTGTAACACAGGTGTTACCAATTCAGGTTACGTTGCATTCAGGTCAAACAGAGTCAGTCGGCATGTTGGCATCACTGGCAAAGGCTCTGCTACACGAAATGGAACAAAGCCTTCCTTTACCCTACAGTTTCCTCTTTACTGTATCTCTCTGCCAGTAAGGTTAAAAGCTTCATAAAAGCTAATTTCCTCTTCTGAAAAGGTACGTTGGTGTTCTTTTGGGTTGAGATTATTTTGTCACAGTACAGTTGTGATGAAGAGCCAAACTCACCAGCTTATGTTATGTTAATCTCGACTATTAATGTCCATAATTATTTCTTTGAGAAGAGTTTCTAATCTTATATCTCTGTCTGCGATAAGGCAGGAGGCGGACCCTTTAAATTAGCCCAGAATCATATATTCATTAATCGTACTGGTTGAATTCCCTGTCAGTTAACAAGTTTTTGTTTGTTTTTTTTCCACAGGAAGGGTCTGAGAACGAAGAAGAGGAGAGGGAGGAAGAGGAAGAGGAGAATACCGACTATCTGACCGACTCCAACAAAGAAAACGAGACGGACGAGGAGAACAATGTAAGATTGAAGAGGCGTAGATAAGAGCTACTCGGTGATAAACCTATAAATCTGTACAGAAAAGCCTTCCCATAAGTTCTGTAATCATGAGTGCAGGATGAGTGATGGGGGATGTCGACACTTTGGAGCACACTATCATTAACCAGCCCCCTCCCTCCTAAACTTGGCTGCAAGTTAGCCAAGTTTAGCTTCAAGAAAACACAGATTTCATGATAACACAGGGGGTGTTGTTTTAAAAGATTTGTGCGTTCTGTCGAGTTAATTTTGCTGCCTGTACGCAGGAGGTCACCATCCGCGGCGGTGGACTGAAGCACGTGGCCTGTGCAGAGGACGAGGACTTCATTCAGGCTCTGGATAAGATGATGTTGGAGAACCTGCAGGTATGGAAATGTTAAATCAACAGTCAGGCGGCCTTATGTACATTGAGACAGGTTTTGCTTGGTTGAATCATTCGTCCTGTTCATACTGGCCCGATCCCTTTTAATATCAGTGCAATATTTTGTGCAAAAATATAGTAAATAAAAGTTCATTTTAGGCTCATATGAAGTTTTAGCAGCAAATAAACTGGATATCTTTCAAAGTTTTAATATAAAATTCCACCTTTGTGTTTCCCTGTTGAGCCGCAGTGGACAGATAGTGACAAAAAGAGGGAATTTTGTACTAAAAAGACTTTAAACTTTGGAAGATATCTTCATTAGCAAGGCATCTTTGCTTTGCTGTTCACCACTAGAGTCACAATGGTCACATTTGTGGGGGGTTGAACGAAGACAGCCTCCCTGACTTGTGTGTGTTTTGTCACCGCAGCAGCGTAGCGGCGAGACGGTGAAGGTGCACCAGCTGGACGTGGCCATCCCGCTGCAGCTGAAGAGTCAGCTGAAGAAGGGAGGCTCGGGACAGTCGTGCATCGGGGAGGGAGACACCGACATCTCCGACACCATGCAGTTCGTCATGCTGACGCGCAAGGGCAACAAGCAGCAGGTAAAAGCAGCTGTAGAAAGACATCCACACACTCCTAACCGACTGTAGCAACGCAACGTGTCCTGCTTTGGGACTGGGACTTGTCAAATATATATGTAGATAGATATCTGATCATCTGCAGTCCAGAGTAGCTTATCGGACATTTTCTCAATTAGAAGCAGCTGATAAATGAAACCGTCTGAGTGAGAAACGGCACACGCTTTTTGGCAGCTGTTGTCGCTGCTAGTTTCTTTGATGTCAGGGCCTCGATGCGTGTCTTCCAGGTTGTTGTTTTGGCTGCCTAAATGAAGGCTTGATCACCCTTTTTTCCCCAGTAGATGAACAACATAAAGCAACACAAGACAACGTATTACAGTAAATCTACAGAGAACAAGTAACAGAGTGAAACAAAACAAGTTAGTAGAATAAGGGAGGAAGACAACAGACAAAAAGAGGGGGCACAAAATGTAAATAAAATGCTACATAAATACTTCTGTTGTCTTTCTTTCAAAAGTGTCCATAACTTATCACAACCGTCTGACTCAGTCCTCGAAGCGTTGAAGGCTCACCCACCCTTATAGTTTCACCGATTAGGGACCCAGAGACGTACCAACAGGAACCGGTCTGCGAGGATGGAGTTTTATAAACAGCGTATATAAAAGAGTGCACCAAACAAGACGTGATACACTCTCACTGCGTCGTGCAGAAACATCCCGCTGAATGAAATTCCCTCACACATTCGCCTCAGTCTCACTGAGCCCAGGAATAATATTGACTCTGGACTCGTAGCTCTGCGTGTGTGTGTGTTTAGGCGAGCTGCGGTGGGGGAATGTGTGGTTTGAGGGCAGAGGCTGGTTCTTTTGCTGTAAAGGGTGTGTCCGGCTTTCTCTGCCAGTTTGCCCGGAGGTTTAATGGAGCATTCAGTTTTTTCGGACTCTTGCTTAAAGGACAGCTGCTGCCAGACGAGATCAATAAATAAATAAATAAATAAATAGAAAATATGGAAGTCGGAGAGAACACAGGATGTCTTTGTAGGTGTGTGTGTGTGTGTGTGTGGATGGGAAGTGACATCGCTCTCTCTGTAAACACACACTGCCTTAAAGCATCCTCTGTGTGTGTGTGTGTGTGTGTGTGTGTGTGTGTGTGTGTGTGTGTGTGTGTGTGTGTGTGTGTGTGTGTGTGTGTGTGTGTGTACACCACCAGACTGGATTAAAAGTGAAAATGAATGGTTAAAATGTAAAAATAAAAATACACCTACCAGCTCGTCTAAAGCTCATTAATTAATCGAATCGGTAAAACCAAACCGTCTCCCTCCTCATGTGTGTTTGTTCTACGTCGGTCATGCTAATGTGTGCCTCTCCGGTTCCAACAGTACAAGATCCTGAACGTGCCGCTGTCGTCCCACCTGGCGGCGAACCACTTCAACCAGCAGCAGGCCGAACAGGAGGAGCGCATGCGGATGAAGAAACTCACGCTGGACATCAACGAGAGGCAGGAGCAGGAGGACTACCAGGGTACGGGCACGAGTCGCCATGACGACTGTACATGACCGGCTGATCCCAGAGCTGTGTTTAATTAGCTACCTGTTATCTCCTAACCTGACTGCGCCAGATGGTTTGTACTCTTACCAAAGTCAGTCGGGAGGAGAGTGAAGTCGTCGGTGAATTAATCCTCCCCAGTCCTGAGTTACCATCGTCTGCACTAACCTCTATATAAAATACTGTTTGTTTTCTGGGTTCAGCTTGAGAGGAGAAGCTAATTGACAGCATTAATGATATAATGTTCCTTTAGCCGACACTAACACTCTAACCCTAACCCTAACCCTACATTAGAATTCATAAACACTGACTCCTGCATGAGTTCGCAGCTTGTTTCTTCTGGCATTGCAGATGAATTAAGTCCATGAATCTGTTTCCTTTTTCCTTCCAAGAGCAGAGTCTGTTAGCGAACTTTACTGACTGATAACTGGACTCAAATAAGCGCCTTAATCAGATATTTTGGTCGGCTCAGGAAACTTTAACTAATCAAAAGTTTGTCCAATCAAAAACAGTCTTTAGTACATTTGTTTATTCATCTTTCTTTTACATTAATGTTCAATCTTTATGGTTTCCGTTGAGAAAATTAACCTCTTTTTTTTTTCCTCCTCTGTGTTACAGAGATGATGCAGTCCCTCGCTCAGCGTCCGGCTCCGGCCAACACCAACCGGGAGCGTCGGCCTCGCTACCAGCACCCGAAAGGCGCTCCCAACGCCGACCTCATCTTCAAGACCGGAGGAAGGTGAGACGTGAGCCGCGATCACTGAAGCCCCCCTGACACTCAAACAAAAACAAAAAAAACTCCCCACCCAGCTGAACGCGTTGGATCAGGGCTCATTACCATGTCCAATGTACTGACTCCGGCCTCGTTGGTATTCTCTCTAAACAGCGTGACAAAGGCGAGAAATGAAAGGCACGAGAAGCGAGACAGACAGGAGAGGCAAGACAGGAAAGACAAGCAGGAGAGACACCAAAGACATGTCCCAGAGTAGGCTAGAAGAGTTGAGGAGAACCTGTTTATATTTGTACTTTTAACTGATTCTGATTTTCAGGTACGAAAGAGTTCGAGTCAGATAACTTTTTCTGTAAAAAAAAAAACAACAAAAAAAAGAATATTTGGAAATAAAGATTACTTGAAGTTTATACTTTAACACCAACAGCACCTCGTGTGTCTTTCTTTGCTTCTGGAAAGTGGAACAATAGCACAACATGAACACTTTTTTGAGAGGATATTAATAATGCATACGTGGCATTGGGGCTGATGTCGTAATACCTCCGCTGTGAATCTTTATTGAAATGTGATGCTTTTATCGTAGGAAGATGTTTTTAAAGTTGTTGTTTTTGTTTTGTTTTTTTAATGTAGGAAGATATTAAAAATAAAGGGAGAACAGAGGCAGGAAAAGGGAGTTTAGGGATGAAGCAGAGCACAGATTTGCCTTCAGTAACAGTAATTATTCTTTATTATTTTCTTATTGTCATCAAATCTAATGAAAAGACCCAAACTAACACTGAATGTATCTACTAACAAAGTATTGTATCTTCTTCCTCTGTGCCGTAGAGCGCCACTGTTGTCCAAAAAACTATTAAAAACACATCAATGAGCCACACTGTTGCACTGGGTGACATCTTCCTTCATTACCACGAACACACAAACACACACACACACACACACACACACACACTCTGTAGTTTAAACTCACACAAACACTCACTAAAGAACCAAATGTGGATCCATCCGCCCGCTGAAAATAGTCCCCAACAAATGCTCCTCCTGTTTGTTTGATTTAGTAACTACAGATTTTGTTGACCGTACTTGAAACTACAGATGTGAAGGTTGAAGATATATACTGTGTTTACATTATTTTTGCTTTAATGTCAGTCAGGTTTAATTTAAAATAACTTTATTTATCCATTAGTAACTTTATTTGTGTTAAAGCATTCAGTGCAAACACGACACATAACCAGACAGACGGCAAACAAAGAGTAAACATACATAAAACTGCAATTTAAAATGTTTAGAAATTAAATTAATTAGCCAGTGTTAGCTTTGGTGCTTATCCTCATTTTTTAAATATTATTATATGTAAAGTTGTTATTTAAATACAGTAAAACATATATATGTAAATATAACAGAAGTAAATGGAGAAGAGAAGCGGGTCATTATGTTATTTTAATTTCATCCATAAAAACACATTTTTGGTTGGTTTTCCTCAGTTGAGTTAATAAACACACATTAAAGGTATAACCCTTAAAGCAGCTTATATATGTAAATATGTTTGTTGTTGCAGCCTCCACGTCAAACCAATAACAAACAGGTATTCAGAACTGAGTCTTGGTTGATTTGGCGCCATACACAGTTACCGCGGTAACGGCAAATGTCCGACAGAAGAGCAGCCGGTGTGTCTGTTTTTTAATAAAGTCACATTTCTGTGGCTGCTTGTTGTGTTTCCATCACTCGCTGCTGATATTTCAGTGTAAAAATCGTGTGGCTGCTTCACAATAAAAGCTTGCCTTGAGCTTTTATTGTGAAGCAGCAGCAGGAAGTGTTTGGTTAGCATTTGCAGTCACTTAAAGGTCCAGTGTGTAACATTTATCTATTGATCTATTGGCAGAAAATTGAATATAATATTAATAGGTATTTTTTATTAGTGTAGAATCACCTGAATATGGGAGTTGTTGTGTTTTTGTGTTACCTTTAAAATGAGATGTTTTTATCTGTAGGTTGCCTTCAACGGAGTCCGCCTTTTTGAGACACAGGTAGCCCAGAACGAACAAACCAAACTCTTGACCTTTTGTGTTTTCACAGCCACCGTAGTTCCTCCTCCACACGTCACAGCCTGGTGTTCAGTTAGTTGTAATCTGAAACTTCACCACTAGGTGCCACTAAATCGTACACCCTGGTCCTTTAATCCAGCTCTGATACAGCTGTAGAGCACTGAGCAATAAACAACCACAGTCTTTTACTAAACATAAACAAGGAGATTTTAAGCCTAAACCTGAACAAACCGATGTATAATATGTTTTTAAATGGGACTCACAAACATTGAAGCACCAAAACCTCGTCTCTACGCAGAGTTTGTTTGCTGTTTATCGCTAAAATAGACTCTTAGCTGTTAATTAAAGGTCCAGTGTGTAACATTTAGGAGGATCTATTGGCAGACATTAAATATAATATTAATAGATATGTTTTTATTAGTGTAAAATCAGCTGAAAATAAGAGTCGTTATGTTTTTATTATCTTCTACAGAGTCCGCCATGTTGAACCCAGAACAACCAAACTCTGGCTCTGGCTGTTCTTGTTTCACACCTTTTTTTAAGTTCTTAAGTTCAGACTGGTTTGAGGACTTAGAAGTGTCCCTGCTTGTTCACCACGTCTACAGTAAATGTCTGCTCTCTCCTCCAGGAGACGCTGATTGGAGTCTGGGCCCAGGCTGAACGAGCGAGCAAGAGAGCGAGCGAGCGAGCAAGAGAGCGAATGAACAAGCAAGAGAGTGAGAGAGCGAGAAAGAAGAAGATCGGAAGGGCGAAAACCGGTCTAAACAGGGAACGAGTCCTCCAGACGCCCACTGATGCCGGGACAGACCAAAACCCCCCCTGACCTGAACACACACTCTTACCCCACTGAGGGGGCCCCGAAGCCCGAGGAGGAGAGGCAAAACCGGGAGCTGGGGGTCAGGGGTCACGGGGGGTCGGAGAGATGGCTCTCTTTCTTTTTTGTCTGTTGCCTGAGATGACAAAAATCAAAAACACAAACACTGTCTGGATTCAGAGAACGAACTACACAGAACACCTAACCGGCCCGACTGACGGCGAGAACAGAGAGGAAGGCGGGAAGGACGCATCGCCTCCCGCTGACGGGGGGGAAACCCTGCGAGTGGACAACATTTACTTGAGACTAGCAAAAGCAAAATGGGGGCGGCAGGGGGGGTACGGATACTTTTGTTTTGGGGAACCGGGAACACGTCCGTTCGGGCTCCGAAAACCGCTGTCGAGGCGGCGCTGAGATGGAGACGAAGGGCGGGGGGACGGCGGGAGGTTCTAACACTTGTTCGTAAAACTGTTGCGATGCGGAGGAAACACGCGGAGGAATTACGAGGTTGGAAAAGTGTCTGACTGTGTGGCTGCTGTTGTTCTGGAGGCGTGTGTTGACTCAGAGTGGACTTTCTTTCTGGTTTGTGGTTCGTTGAGACGGTATGTTTCGCTGTCGTCGACCACCTCTCGACGCCATATGACAGTCGGATGACGGTTTATCTTACAAGGTTTGTAATTTAATAAGAATTTTCCAAGAAAGAAAGAATCTGTAATTTGGAGCCAATTATAGAGAAAATAGATGATTTTATAGAGACGGTTATTTGAGTTTTAAAGAAAAATGCCAAAACTTTGATACTTCTCCAATGTGATGGAATATATTATCTTTTATATTATAAGTTGAATCTCTTTTAGGTTTTTGACTGCTGGTCTGACAAAACAAGCAATGTAAAGACGTCACCTTGAGTTCTTCGATATCTTGATGGGCATTTTTGTCTTTTTGATCAAACGATTCTTAGAGAAAGTAATTAGTAATGAAACTAATCGTTAGTTTATCGAGCTGTTCCTTGAACACTGTCTCCATTTTCCTTATAATTATCACCAAATAACACGATCTTTTCCAGGAACTTTCCTGTAAATAAATAAAAAAACAATGATAGGAAACCAAAGCTGTGTTTCCGTCGAGTATCGCGTCTGAAAAGTTTGATGGAAACGGCAAACTTTGGCGGTTAATTTGTCAACGGGAGGCAGAAACACTGCGAATAAGTTGTGACGTAGTGAACGTTTAATACAGGAAACAAACAGAAATGTTATATTTCTAAAGTTTCCACTGACGCTCTTTTAATTACATCGCCTCTTTCAGACAGGAGAATTGGTTTGTTTGATAGAAACGAGCATTAATCGGCATTTTCTTTTGCTTAATTACTAAAAATTTGGTTAAAATGTGGGATTGATTTTGATGGAAACACGTTAGACGAAGCGTTTACCGGTTTAATATTAAAGGAATGGTTATACACTTATTTGCTATGTGGCGCTCTCATGTACGGTGAATATAAGACTATAGCCAGGAGCCAGCTTAGCTTAGCTTAGCACAAAGACTGTAAACGGTAGGAAACAGCTAGCGTTGCTCTGTTTTGAAGATAACAAAATCCACCCAGCAGCTCCTCTAAAGCTCACAGATTAGACGCTTTATATCCTGTTTGTTTAATACGAACAAAAAGTGTAATGTTAATTATTGAGCTTTAGAGGTGCTACTAGGTGCGTTTTTTAAAGAGCCATGCTAGCGGTTTCCCCCTGTTTCCAGTGTTTATGCTAAGCTAAGCTAACAGAATGGATATATACCGTTTTATAAGCCGAGCAACAAAGGGAACAAACGGTGAAATACCAGCCTGAATCAGCACACACCACCAGAACAAGAGTCTCATACCATCGGGACACTTTTTAAGGCATTCAGACTCCGGGGAAGATCTGTATTCGGGGACGGCGTCACGTGACCCCGATCCCTGATGGATACCTGAGTGTACATATTCTTTCACTTCCTCCAACTTCCTGTTGGTGTGTTGTTGTTGTTGTTGTTGGTTTTTTTTCGTTGGTTTTTCAGAATCAGACGTTTAGTTTTGACGATATTCAGCTTGCTTTGATTTGTGAAGTGTAACTGTTTTTTAATTTTATTTAGACAAATGGATAACCCGTGTGCCTGAGAGTCTTCCTTTTGACAGTGATATTTTAGATTCATTTGATCTGTTATCTGTAGATGGATAAATATACTCTGTATTCTGCTGCATGGGACCTTTTGGTGGCTCTAACTGAGTTTGTCTGTGTCTAGATTCACAAACTGTTGTTCTTTTCCTGCAAGCTAAAAAGAAGAAAGAAAAAAAACCTCCAAAGCTTACGTAGCTTTTGTGTCTCGGCTCTTGATGATCACAATAAATGTATGGAGATTATTGTCTGCCTCGGTCTGTGAAGCGAGGTTGTCGTGCGTTTGTGGCGTTTGTGTGTTTCCAGAGGGTGCGTCTGTTTGTCGAGGTCTAATTAGAAGGCAGCGCACACAAGTATTTCCTCATTTCCTGCCCAGTCGCTCCTCTAAACGCTGCATATGTAAAAGATTGCTTACTGTGGCTCAGTTTAGTTGAGTTAGGGGGGGAGGCCCCCTGTTGACCACCCACCTACCACCCTTTAAAGTTTCCATTAAAGGGTAAGTTCACATTTCTCAGGTTCTCTATGAAACTGTTTTTGCTTCCTGTTCATACCTGGACATCCTAATGCACCTCTACTAGAATAGTGGACGCAATTTACGGTCTGCAATCTGCAAAAGTGTATTTAAATGTTTATTTGAAGTAAATATTTTGTTTTATGCAGTCTGGATTGGATAAATAAAGTAGGAATCGTCCAAAGTTCAGTGCAAAATTCACCCAAAAAAAGGCTCCTACACTGCTTTTTTAAAAGTTTGAAGACACACTTAAAGGTCCAGTGTGTGTAGGATTTAGTGGTTTAGTTGCAACCCCTCGCCTCACCCTCTTGTTCCAAGCATGTAAGAAAAACTGCACAAAAGGCCCTATTGAGACTGGCCTTAGGCGGACTCCGTGGAAGATAAAAATGTCTAATTTTAAGTTAACAAAACACATTTTAATTATTATTTTCAAGTGATTACGCTCTAAAACTATAAATATATTCTATATCTGCCAATAGATCCTCCTAAATGTCACACACTGGACCTTTTTAAAGCTTCCCCTCCCCCCCAAAAAAAGGGATTTAGGGAATGAATGAACCTTGCTGACGAGCCATTTTCATACTGAGATCTAATCCGATGCAGCCACTCGAGATAAGGAACGCATTTTATTACCAGTTGTAAATGTGTTAAGAGACAGATCACATGTCGATACCAGGTGTAAACGGGGGCCTTTTGTTGGTTGGTGGTAATTCAGTTAAACGTAAATCAACTACAATAATGAATGAGCTGCTAACAGACATGAACCCCTCATTAAGAGACACAATGGTAAAGCAGAATGTCTGACACTCCCACAGATGCCTTTACACACACACACACACACACACACATATCGAGCAGCGCTCTTCAGGAAAGAAAGCGTCTGTGTTGAAGTCTTATGTAACCGTCTGCAGTCCAGACAGTTTGCTTCTGTGTTGCTGGTGTGCAACACACAAGTGGTCCAATGTGAAATATGTGGAAGGTCAGAAAAACATAAAAAAAATGTTCTAAAACCTCGTTATTAAAAACACGAGAGCTGAGAAAGACTTTTGGTTCCTGCTGGGTTGAACATTTAAAGGAGCTTTCTTCCTAACCTTCACCCAGTTTATAACACAGGGTTTCTGTTCAGGCAATAGTTAAATTAGACATTTTGGAGATTATGTTTATTCTTTCTGGCAGAGAGTTTGATTGAGATTGACACCACTCTCATGTCTGTTAGCTTAGCGTAGCATTAAGACTGGAAACCAGGAAACAGGTAGCCTGGCTCTGTATGAAACAGGGGCGTGTCCAGACTTTTTGGAGTGTGGTGCACTGATTTATGCAACTATGTCTCTCAGCTTTCCAGTTTATTCCCAATTTATGCACTTCCAACACTGTTTATGGACCCCTGTATGCAGTATTTCCTTCACGACATCCTAGTATGACATCAGTATCTGAAAGACCGAGTAGAGTGGAAGAGGTAACGGATAATGAGCCCACTAGATAACACGTTATATCTTCGATTGAATGTCTAAAAATCGTCTTTCTTGCTGAAATCATCCCTCGTGTTCATACTGGACAATAAACGTACAACAAGGAGTTTTAAACTGGTTATGAAACAGTCTCTGATGCCTCTGAATGACCTACATAAACAAAAACAAGACCATCAACGAGAAAATTGGCTGTTTTCTATACTTTAAATGCTTGCCGACGGGTTGGATTCAGTCGCATTTCCCTCTACATCAGTGGAAATGGTGGTGGAGACGCAACCTCTTTTGTCCCCAGGGGCCGCCAGAATCAACACAAAATGAAAGTTTCTTATAGCTGCTTTAAAGATTTGCTTTAATGCACTTTTAACGTAAGCAATGTGGGACAAAATCCATTTAATTTGACTAATTTGGACTACTGAAGGCTCATATTGTCTTCAAATAAAGACTGGTTTACACTGGAAGCGCATCAGGAAGGGTCCAGTATGAACAGCAGGAATGATTATGGCAAGTAAATCCTGTAACAATGTATGTATGGGCTGTATCTATTTGCAAAACTTGAAACCTATCCCCACCATTACTCAAATGTAATGCTAATACTGTACTAGATATGTATGTCCTTGAGACTCCAGGAAATGGCCAACAAATAGCCACATAAACGCCTGTAAAACTGCGTTATAGAGGTGCTGGTGGGTGAGTTTGGACAGAGGCAGGCTAGCTGTTTTCCCACAGTTAACCAGCTGCAGCTCCCTTTAAGCCGCCTCATCCTGTAAGTTTCCACTCAGGTGAACCACTGCACCGAGGTGGCCGATCAATCATTGAACGGCACCTGTTCATTCTTTACATTCCAGAGTTAATCAAAGAAAAACAATTAGAAAGGAGGTGAATGTTATTCTGTTTAATGATTGACAAAAAAAAAAAAAAAAACTCAACAGTAGATATATTAAGCAGAGTACATACAGTATACAAAGTGGACAGTTGTACCGTAGCAGCAACTTTCACCATGGCCACTAAGATTCCCATTTACCACACATGGAGGCACTTTTTAAACCCTGTTCTGTGCAGACGTTTACAGCTTGCAAAAACATTTCCTTATAAAGTCGGCTGTGTTATACAGAATGTAGTTATAAACTGAATGCATGCACCATTAGATACTTCAAAAATGACTGTAGCTGAACTACAGAGAAACCGGAGTCTGTAAACAAAAATTCACAAAAATATTCACACAGGACCCCAAAGTACAACTCTGGGTACTTCTATGTGAAACAAAATATACTTCAAAAGTTACTGTAGGTGAGCTACAGAGGCCGGAGTCTGGATAAAACACAGTAAACTTACTCACACACACATACATACATACATACACACATACATGCTGCTACAACAGTTAAATAACACACTTGCAAAGTTATCGACAACAGCTCGAGAAAACAAAAAGGAATAAAAAACACATAAGTAAACCCAGGATGTATTTCTAGACTCTGTGGGTTTTAGTGCTTGTGTTTTGTACAATGCCATGTGCTCGCCCATCCCTAAAGAGCAGTTTTAAAAGTATTCCCTCTGCGTAGTAAAAAAGTAAAAGTCCTGCCCTCAAAAACCCATTCCACAGTCTGTGGTTTGGTGTGGGAGGTTTGTCCGTGGAGTAAAAATATCCTCCAGCTCAGCTCAGCTTTGCATCTTTCAAGAAAAACCCCAGGCTCTTTTCACTTTCAACTCGTGCACCTCTTGATATTCCAGGTCATCCGAATCAGTGGCGATATTCAAAACGATTAGAAAACAGGCATCGAGTTTGACTTTTCATGTCTTGTTTCTTTGATCTTCTGTATATACTTTATATGCACGGCTTTTGTTCTTTACAATATAGTTATGGTTATTTCAGAAGTAATAAAATTCCTCCAGAGAAAAGTTCTTTAAACAAAAGTGCTGACAGAAAACACACACACACACACACACACACACACACTCTCACCGCTGATTAAAATGCCCAAAAGTCGGTACACAAACCAGTGAAAACACAAAAGGTTCCCATGTTACAGGGCTGATAAAGACTTCACAGCCTGTGTATGAACATTAATTTCACTTTGCGGACAGTTGCTGGAAGGAAAAATTACACTGTAAAAACAAATAATATAACTTAAATTCTTTCTTTTTCCGAGTATGTGATGAGAGGTTGTTGATTTAGATAAAACTACTCTGTAATTTAATTATTTATTTACAGTTTGTCAGTTAGTTTGTGGCAATTTTAAGCACATATTTATTTAAATATTTAAATAATAATAGTCGATTTTTTTTTTGTCTTAGAAGTCTAAATAAAATTAACTGGCACATAACGTACCTTTTGGGGACCCTATAGGGGGTCTGGGATGCAGGGACAGTCGCCCGCTTTGCCCTGGTTGATAATCCAACGTAATTTTTGACACAAAACCACCGAAAGTATCGAATGTGTATTGATCCACCGCTGAAAATAGTCCCCAACAAACACATTATTTCCTCCTGTATGAGTAATGTTTGATAAAAAAACTACAGTGCCAAGGTAGCGAAGTCATAAAGTATTGAGAGGCGGACTAACACATTGGTAGTTTTGGTCTTATATATAAATATAGAATATCTCCAGACTTTTTCATTAAGATGTTTTTAAAGTTTCACAATGAGCCTCATTTGTGGCAAACCGGAGACCAATGTTATATGATTCCCACAGGAAGCGGATGCTCCTTTTTTATGGCATCGGTTTGTTCCAAAATATCTTGTGCGGAGGTATTCAATGTCCTGGATCAGAGACAAGATAAAGCAGTTTATCTGTCAAGACTTTTGTCACTGAAACAGTAGCTGCTGCACTGTGTCATTCTTCTATCCGTCTTTTTTTATGGCGAGGAAACGAGAACTGGCTGTGCGGGTCCATTGTAGGATCTAGCTCCATTCCCATCTGTAAAAGTAGGTCTCTATGCAACCACACCTTCATGCTCAGACATAAATGGGGAAGCTTCTAGCATACCACCTCCACCAGCAGGTACACAGCAGAGATTCGGGTTCGACAGGTGGAGACTGAAGAATGAATTCATCAAGAGTCTTTTAGCAGCCCCAGTTTCCTCAGCGCGTCCCTACGTGACTCGTCCATCGCCCCCCGTCCAGAAAACTGCACCGTGATGCCTTGAGGACGAAACATGGAGCCAGGTCTTCGCTTGTGTTCAGGGGACAAGGCTCGCAACGCTGCTTTCTGGGAAGTGACGGCACCGTGATAGGAGTGCCGAGGAGGTTTTTGGGCTGGGGTTGGGGCTGGAGGTTTTAAACTCCTTGAAGGGCGATTTAACCCGGTGGAGGGGTTGATGGTCCGGCTCTTGCCTCCGTAACTATTCAGCTCAGTAGGTAGTGGCTCTGACTTGGCGGGGAAGGTTTGACTCTTGTCGATGTGGGAGCTGAGGATGTCGGGAAGGTCGCTCCTGGTCACGGCAGCCGGGGTCATGACTTTGGTCTTTCCTCCATAGGGGTTGAACTCACTGGGGTTAGCCAGCACAGGTGGAAGGATTTTGGGTTCATGGCTAGTTTGAGAGGTTGGAGGTTCACTCTTAGAGGAAACAGACGGGTTGACCACGATAGATTTCCCTCCGTAGCTGTTAAATTCCAGTGAGGTGACCTCAGGTGCAGGTGGAATGGATGTCTTGGTATCCAAAGGAGGAGGTGGATAGAAGCTGCCCTGTGTGACTGCTGGAGGCGAGGGGCTCAGTTGGCGGTTTCTATCTTCATTGCTCCTGAGAGAGTCTGTCCGTAGAATCTCAGCTTTTCTGTCTTCGTAAATCTGAGATGGTGATCTAACAATGGCTTCAGGCAATTTAGTATTGGTTTTTGTTGTTGGGGGAACACTGGCCTCGAGAGGTTTGGCACTTGTTTCTGCACCTGTGGACGGATCCAGAGAGGTGCTGTTAGGGGTGACGAGGAGCGACAAACCCCCGGACATGGCTCGATTCCTGTTTAAGCCCAGCTTAGACAGGGCCTCCATCCTGGATTTGTCTGGTGACGGGTCCTTGAAAGAAATGCTCCGTGTGGGAACATTTCGAGCCTTCTGTTCCATTGACGGCTGAGGCTCTTCCTGCAGCAGAGGGTGTGACCCTGATAGATTTGCCAGCATCTGCGCCCGTCTTTCGTGGAGGTTCACATTCGCCAGCGACTGGTTCTGGTGCTCCTTGTTGCCGAGGATCACATTGATGTTAGAGGGGTAGCGGTTAGGCTTGGCAGAGGTAGGAGGACCGTATTTAACTATCGGACCATCTGTGCTGTAGCTCAGAGGCTTTTCGGAGTCCAAGCTGGAGGGGCGGAGGTGTGACGAGGGCAGGAAGTTGGAGGTTCCACCAGCCTGGTTCTCGGCTATCTTCTGGGCAATCAGGACCGGGGTGGGGATACAGCCTGGAGGGTGGTAGGAGGAGTGGCTGTCTGTTGGCCCATAGCTGCCACTTGGTAGGGGAGGGTTGTACTCTGAAGGCAAGCTGTCTGTCTGATCTCGCCTTGGCTTTATCTCAAAGTGGCTTTCAGGAGTTGGCACCATACTCTGAAAATCTGGGAGGAACAAATTGCAAAGTGAAAAACTGGGAAAGACTTCAAACTTCAGTCCCCTCGAGGGCGGAAGTTACCATTGCAGACACTTTAGTCTATCTTCTATATTTCTGGGAGAGGGATTTGGGTTTTTTTTAGCAACCTGGGGGTTATAAAAGTAATAACGCAGTAAGTAAGTTAGTAAACTAAGCAAATAAGAACCAACAGTTGTACGCTACCTGGATTGGTGGGGCTGAAGTTCCGCTCTTTGGTCTGCACCAAGTCCGGTTCTGGGCGAACCAGATCTATAATATCCTGGTCTTTCGGACTGGGAGGTCCGGCCAAGAAGGAGGGCACAGTTACACCAGGGTTGGGACTCGAGGTCGGGGGTCCGTTGACCCCTTCGACAAGACTTCTGCTGATTCTCTGCTCTAGTCTTGGGTCATTTTCCTCTAGACTCTCCTCCAATGAGTCGATAGTCTCCTCGAAGAACTGGATGCACTCCTGCTCCTCCTGGCTCAGAAACCGCAGATCATCTTCCTATCGAGGTCAAGACACAGTAGGAAACTGGTTAGACGGGTGATTTCAGTATTTTTATTCTAACTTTGACAGTGCATACAAGTTGGTGTCTGAGGTTGTTTCTAGTTTCTAAATATACAGGTCGGAATATGTATGAATCATCGTATACCAATTATATAAAACATATTTTTTTAAATAGTTTTACTCTTAATATTTACAGAGGATGGGGAGGAATTTTGGATTTCTAAACTGGGGACTTTAAGTCAAATATATTAAATAAAAAATAGTTTTTGTAGGATTTAATTTGTTCTCCGAAACTGGATTTTTCTGTAGAACAATGTGAACTTTAAATGTATATATATGTATGTGAATGTTCACTTTATTTTATTATTATTTATTTAAATGTATTATTTATTTATTTTAAATGTTAGCGCCACGAGTTTGGCAGAAAATGTCATCTCATGATTTTACGTTCATATTTTCAGTATTTTTCACTTTTACTGTTACAACAGAAAAAGGCTTTTAAGATGTTGACTAACTAAAACGTAAAGCTATCTCAGGCGATGCAAACAACCCATGAACTGTTAGCACACACTCTGATACAGCAGCATAAAAGCACCAGATCCGTCTTTACTTTTCTCTTCATCGCTGAACTCCATGTTGCAAGACTTTTCCCATACAGTAGCCATGTGTATGCAGGGAACACAGGACTGTTTGTTCCTGCATCCCAACCCTCCAAAACTTCTTTCCCACCCTATATTTAGCTCAAATGCCCCCTCTCTTCAGTCGGACGACCGCCCCTCCCTCCTTCACCGATCCCCATCTGTGCTTCACCTCCACGGCTACCTGTCCTCCTCCACACAGTGCAGCCACTGAAAAATGACACAATGGGCTATCCGATAACGGCGCTCGGCGACTATTGATTTTGCTGCTCGGCTTTGAGGTCTTTTTTCAGTCCTGATAAAGATCGAGTCCACCCTATTTAAGCCAAACCACATGGCTGCAGGGAATAGGTAATGCCCTGTAACAGTGTGTAATGGACCTTGAAAATGAGCAGTTTTAAGTAGTTATTTAAGTAGCAGAGCACTTCAAAAACTGCATTATTTAAAAATACATCTTTAAACTTATCTAAGTTTCACATTCTTGAGCTTTTTCTGGAGCTTTCAAGCAGATTTAAGCTCTAAAAATCTACTTTAGAGGACCTTGGTTTAAAGTTATTAAATATATAATAAATAATACATCATCGTCAAGCCAAAAAAAGGCTGTTTTTCTTGCATATTTGCAACGAAAGGTACCAACTACTGAATTAAAATGTTTCCTGTTTCCTTTTTGTAACTAAAATCAAACAACCTTGTGACAAAAACTTGATGTAATTAGTTTTTAAACTCGTATTGGTAACTAAACTCATCAAATTAAGATTGTTATCCAGTTAGCATATTAATACCCGACAGGTATTTGGATTAAAACTCTACAGAAACCTTCCTTTGTTCTACTTTTTATGGGTCTCAGATTTGTCGTATGTCTTGAAAATGAATGAAAACACAATGTTTGTTTAATCTGTACACAAACACAGGTTGTGGTTTGAGGAGGAACCCGCTGGAAATATTTCATGGCAAACAAACTGCAATTTGTGGTTTTGACATATGTTTGTGTACGGGTTAAATAAACAAGATCTGTTCATGAGTAAGCTTTCTGTGCTAGCAGGTGGATTTCAGAACTTAAAACAAAGCCAGGCTAGCTGTTTCCCCCTGCTTCCAGTCTTTATGCTAAGCTAAGCTAACAACATCCTGACTACAATTTTTTACGTACTTACTTAGTTTGACATTTTGGGAATTATACATATTTGCTTTCTTGCTGAGAGTTAAATGAGAGAAATTATGTGTAAATTAATGCGTTTTAGAGGTGCTGGTAAATGCATTCTTTATGCTAAGCTAAGCTAAGTTTGGTCAATCTTCTTATGTAACTCACAGAAAGAGAGCGAATAAAAGTACTTGAGAGGTGAATTACAGCGTAAAATAGCTAGTTTACTACAGTTATAGCACTTGGACAACAGATTTGTTAGACAATGAGGTGTTTTGATCACAGGCCCGTGTTTTACTACAATTACAGAACCACCGGGTCCGAAGGAAGCTGCTCATTTGAGCTATTTCAAGGAGATGACCTTCAGCTCGCGGTTGACACGGCAAACAGGGTTTGTTGCTGACACCAGTGTACTGAAAAAAGTGCCACAACAAGGTTACTGAGAGCCTTGTTTTGCTTTACACACACACACACACATATATATATATATATATGAGATACCTGCAGCAACACCCAACTGAAACCAATACGAGATAAACACGGATCTGCTGGTTTCAGCTGCTGTGAATTATGTCCATTGTTGTGAAGCAGCTCAGGACCTAGAAAACTGCAGCTCAACCGGTTTGCCTGGTGTTTGTTGTGGGGTGATAATGAATGCCATCCCCAAGGCATGTTGAAGGGATTAAGTTGTTAAGCAGGTGTAAATTTCTCAGCGCCTTGCGATGACTGCGCACATTGTGTAAACACAGCACAGAGCTTCAGTCGGGGTGAAGTACAGTTTGAATAATCAGCTGTTCATCTGATACGGCAGAGTGTATGTTTGCTGTGTTTGGGAGGACAATAGAACAAGACTACTCTATGCCCCCGGTAGACTGAACACATTATGGGTCATTATACAAACCTGTGTCCCCTTTATATAAGCAGATATTATAGCAAGAGTCCAGTGATTGGCCATTAAATCAGCTTTATTTACGTATTTATTCTCATTGGTTATTAATTATCTAGAAGAAACTTGCAGGAGTCGGTAAAAAATTGTGTAAATATGAAACGAGCCAATCAGCAATCTAAAGCTCACTAATTAAAGAGTGTAGGATCTAACGCCCCGTATCTAGAGCTAGTGTTTGTTTTTGTCCGTTCTGGGCTACTGTAGAAACTTGGCGGTTCAGGGAGTTACAACCGTTACTAAGGGGGTCCTTAATTTGACTTTAATTGAATTCTTAAAAGCTGCTATATTTTAATTTATACACTTAAATGTACTGTGAACAGGGCGGATCTAGAGAAATATTCCCAGAGGGGGGCATGGAGACTTTAAAGGGTGGTAGAAATACACCGATTTAATCTCAAACAATCAGATTTAGTAATATTTGGTTGGATATTTGTCCCCAAATTAGGATATTTGAACTCAAACGCTTTACATTATTGTGGCACATTAGTAAAGCATCGAAATATCTAAAGCTGGCATTACATGACTTAAGCCTATTTAAATGAACCTTATTTTCTAGGGTTTTTAAAAACCTACGTGCTGCCTGGAGTTTCGGCCGGCGGCCCCGTTGATCCCGTAGTGGAGCTGCGGGTTGGCCTGCAGACGGAGGTCCATGGTGCGAGGGGTCAGAGGTCAGGTGGGCATCTCACAGAGGGTCCGGACGTTCCTGGGCGGCACTAGGACGAAAAATCACATCCGGTCTCGCTCTGAAGAATCATCTAATCTTCTTTTCAACGGCGGCCTGGGGACACAGAGATTAGGTTATTGATATAAGTATCTGAATGAACTCAAGTACCTTTTTATGTATAGCAGCAGTTAACGAAGGGGTTTATCCCAAATATAATCAGAAAAATACACAATGTACATTTAAGAATAACTACATAGAAATAGCCAATCTTCTCACTGATGCTCTAGGGTGCTCATGTGGGTCAAATTGATTATCGTAGAGCGTTTAATTGAATTATTTCTCTCCCTGTACCATCAGGAAACAGCCCTGGGATACAAGTAACCCTAGTTGGGAATAATTTAAATGAAACTTTAAAGGAAAAACGTCTCTTTTGTTAAACTACAACAACTTAAATACATCTAAAACGTGACAAAGAGACAGAAACTCAAGCCTGAAGTTGGAAAGCCCCGGTTTAATCACTAACTATGTATTATAAGCCCTGATTACACTGATTGTTTCTTTATGCGAAGATAAATTGTCAGATAAATGTACCATAAAATACCTCAGAATAGAAGAGTAAACTTTTTTCCTGCTCTAAAGGTTTTTAACAGCTCAGCATCACAGCAGAGAGACACCTGATGGACCAGTTAACCTGGAACAGGTATCTGCAAAACAGGCTACCGGAGCCGAAACCACTGACTACATTCCTCTCTAACAGCGCTCTGATGAAAGACTTCAGGAGAAGAAAGAAGAAAGAAAAAGGTTCCTTGTTGCCAAATAGGAAAAATTAAGATGCCAAGAGAGAATAGTTGAATTGTTGACAACTTCATTCACAACCTTGGAGGTAAAATTAGGCCCAGTTTGGGTTTTTATTCACCCAAATTATAGCATCTCTGTTGGGTCAAGAATTAAACCACTTTTATCTTTTTGATTTGTCTGAAAAACCTAAATTTTTGGACCATTTTGATTCAGTTGTAGTGTTTTTGGATCAATACAGTGCAGACACAGACCCGGGTCATTAAAAGCCAAGACAATGTGTGACTTTGACCCAGTGTTTGTGGTTTTTTTAAACATTTTTTGTTAAGTTATGGGTCATAAATTAAACCAAATAAGGTAGCTATGTGTTACAGGTGTTATATGTTATTGTGATATTTCTGTTCTTTGACACAGTGTTTGTGTTGTTTTTAGATTTTATTTATTATTTAGTTATTAGTTAGTTGATCTACTGGTTTATCACACAAAAAGCTTGCCTTAAAATCCTCAAAAATTCATAGTTAGCTGTATAAAAACTGCAAAAGTGACATGAAATTATGTTTTTTTAGGACTTTTATCCTGTAAAATAGTGAATAGTTTTACCTTTTCAGGCTGAGAGGTAAAAAATATGGAATATTATGGTGACTTATTTTGTTTATTTAAATTAGAAATTCAATTTTCATATAGGTCTAATATATTGACACACATGTTTCAATAGGACACACCACGTATTTCTACTTTTTATATATTACAAAAATAAATCTGTACATTTTCCATAAGAAGAAAAAACATTTTCCCACACAAACTTATATATGCAGCTGTATTTTCTTACTATATTGCATTATATTGTTCAATGTATGTTCGCACTGTGACATAAAAAGCAGGATTTATAGCTAGTTAAAGTCAATATTAACCCCAATAATCTTTCAAACACTTCAAAATGCGAGTAAAATGACATTTTTACGCAGTGACTCACCCGGTAACTCCACACACCGGTCATCCTAAAATCAACAAAGAACCCAGAGTAGTTTTTCCTTCAGAGAGAAAGCTTCAAAATAAATCTCTGACTTTCTTCTGACAGTAATTCTCCTGGCGCTCCTGTTACGCTCTTGGAGAGCTCCGTGTGCGTAATGACACCACGGCGGCGCATTACGCACCAGTTAAAGCCACGAGGAAACTCCACCCACCGTCCTCAGGAGGGTGTGTGTGTGTGTGTGTGTGTGTGTGTGTGTGTGTGTGTGTGTGTGTGTGTGTGTGTGTGTGTCATTCAGGTGAGGCGACTGTAGTGACACAGTGGAAAGTTATCCCACTCACACACACACCTCAGAGTTTCACTAGGACGGGTTCAGGAACAGTGGGACACTCAAGCCTTTGCTTTTGTTTTGCCATTTGACTGGAATGTCATCCTGTAATCTATTACTTTTCATTTAGTGATTTTTATTTTTATTTTATATTAACACATTCAGAGAGATATTATTTGGGATTTGTTATATTAATTAATAGCAGATATTTTAATTAAACCATGTCTCACACTTCAGTTCAAAGTCATAATATATTTTGTATTTTGGGGGTCGTGAGATGATTAAATATGAAAAAATATTTCATCTTTTGGACTTTTCTCTAATTTATTTTGCTTTTTTGTGAAATATTGAAGCATTTAACCTCATTGGACCTCAAACAGTTATTTAAATCAGGGGTTCCCAACCTTTTTTGTACCTCCAAAGCCCAGTCTGATGAACTCAAGTACCCCTTAATCAATAGCTGCAATTAATCCAATGATTTAATCATTAATTATGTATTTTATAAGATAAATGTACCTCAGAATTCACAATATCTTCTGTATTTTTCTTTAAAATTAAACATTAATTTGTTGCTACTTTAGTTACAGTTGAATAGTTCTTCCACCATTGCCTCAGTCGTGATCATAAAATCATGATTTAATGAGCAAGATAGATTTAGATTAAACCCTTATCTCAAGTTTAATGATATAATATTTGCACTATTTACTTCAAATTGGACATATTAAGACAGAAAAACATCCAGAATTGTATTTAAATACTTAAAATAAATGAATAAATGACTTCGCCCTGATGATTTGTTTGTTTTGGGCGCCCCCTGCTGGCTGCAGCATCTCTTTAAAGGCACATAAACAACGTGTGTGTGTGTGTGTGTGTGTGTGTGTGTGTGTGTGTGTGTGTGTGTGTGTGTGTGTCCGTGTCCTCCTCGGCAGACGGAGTTTGGTCCAGTTGTCGTGGATTTTGTTGCCATGGAGGAGAAGCCGAGGAAGATCATGTGATGCAATCAAAAGCTCCAGAACTTAATGGGACCTTTTGTCTTGCGTGACAATGACTTCCCCCCCTTGTTGGTGATTGTATGGACTTTCAACCAGAGGTCAAAGGTCACACTGCACCTACATTTATAATTTAGTATAAGATTTCCACGCGTCTAAAACCCTGGAAGAAAAGACGCTTCAGAACTTCATTGAGAATCGTCAGGTTTTTAAGTTTTATTGCGTATTGAAGTAACTCAGTGACAGTTCTCTGCACACCCACGGACACACTACGAACAGGAAGTGCTAATAGTTAATTCGGCGTACTTTTAATGGCAGTAATTTGCCAAAATATAGGTTAAAACCGTAGCTGCAACCTGTATTTGATGAGCTTTTATGTTGAGCTTCAGCAGTAGAATTAAGTGAGTATCTCCCTCTGTGTGGACAGTCTACAGAGGGGCAGTAAGGAGGGAGTTTATTAAAAAACAACCACCATCTAACTACTGTACTGACCTATTACATCTGGTGGCAAAACGTTACTCAGATGTTATTTAACGCCGATCCCAGCACAGTTTTACCACACAACCAATAACCACTCCTGCAGAGGAATAAGTGGAATTACATGTTTGTCAATGAGTAACAAGAGATAAGTCAGCTATTATCCTGAGAAGTGAGCTCAACAGAGACAGTAAGGACAGATAATACGGCTTCATTAAAGCTGAAACGAGAAGATTGTTGATTCCCAGGATCCTAAAGCATCTGTAGGCTATTTGAGAATGAACATTTACTTTGACTAATTCTCTAATCTCAGATTTTTAACGATTTAAATGACCTCTAGTCTACTTTTCATTATTATTTCCCCCCTTACTAATACGTATATACTTATATTTTACACTTGCTTTGGCAATGTAAACAAGACTTTGTGATACTAACTCATTATTTTGAGATACTAAGTCAAAATATTAAGAAAGTTTCTCAATATTTTGAATTATTATCTCAATATTTGTACTTAGTCTCTCAAAAAAATAATAACTTTGAGTCCAAATATTAAGAATATTTCTAACTATCTTAAAATCCTAAGTAAACATATTGAGATAATAAATCAAAATACTGAGAATTGCTTTCTCAATATTTTGACTGGGCATCTCAAAATAATGACTTTGTGATAATATGTCATTATTTTTAGAAAAATGTTATTATTTTGAGATACTAAGTCAAAATATTAAGAAAGTTTCTCAATATTTTGAATTATTATCTCAATATTTGTACTTAGTCTCTCAAAAAAATAATAACTTTGAGTCCAAATATTAAGAATATTTCTAACTATCTTAAAATCCTAAGTAAAAATATTGAGATAATAATTAAAAACACTGAGAAACTGTCTCATTATTTTGAGTTTGTTAACATAATTTGACTGCAGGCATTTTAAAAACAACGCGATAGCAACGGCGAGTGGGGTAGTTTCCCAGCGGTCCCTGAACGCAACCCGCCGTCAGTTGGAGTAACCTGCGTCAACGGCCGCTCCGGTGTGTCCGTTTGTTTGTTTGACGGCTCGGCACGTTTACCGGGAGGAGGACCGACCCCGACCCCCGCGGCTGCTGTCCACACGGAGGTCCGGTGAGTCCCCAGCGGACGCCGTATCAACGCCACCGCTTCTTTTTTTTTTTTTTAAACGTCCGTTAATTAAGTCAGCTTCAAGTTAGGGGCAAGTTGCGCTAGCTCACCCGCGGCTACATGCAAAATGCAGCATTACGCTCGTGCGCCCATTATCGGACACGGAGCCGTCTGTCGCACTATTTCTTTTTTTCTTTGCGTTACGTTTTCTTCCAGGTGCATTCCTGCTTTAAAATGGGGGGGGGTAAATCGTTTGAGTCACACGAAGGATGCTTATTCATGTCGAGGTTTTAGCTTCAGCCTGTTAGCCTACAGGAGGACGTTACAGCCCCCCCCAATCCAAAGGCTGTTAGCATTGGAGCTAGCCATCATGTGAATGAACAGAGAGGCTGTTGTCAGAAAAACTGAGTTAGTGTTTTGGTGCTCACGCTGCAGTTATTGTGTCTGGTTGCACTAAAATAAAGCACTCTAGTGTCTGGTTTTAAAGTAGATAATCCTGCAGACAGGGTAGGGGATATATTGATATATATATATAAATCGATACAGCCTTATCAATCAACCCATCCCCAGCTGAGGAGAGAGGAGGACAATGACAGCCTGGAGCCCTAAAATGAGCAGTTCCCATCATTTAATAAGTCTAAAACCTTTAATTAAGACATTAATGTGCAGTATGAGACTGATAAACAGCAGTCAGGGTTCAAATCACCATCAATAACAGTGTTTGTAGTGCAAGAAAAAAGCCAAAAGTAAATTAAAATCATGCTTTTTACTTTAAAATAAACAGATTTTTTTAGTGTCTATCAACAATTCATAATAAAATCAACAAAATTAGGTGCAAATATTCGATTAAAGTGAATAAAAGTAGGGATGCACGATATAGAATTGATTTCAGCCGATAAGTTAATCGATATTTACACATTTTTGTACATTAAAACAAAGTTTGCAACGTGTAGTTTGTGAACACTTGAGAGGCTGAGATGTAGAGAGCAAAGATGGATGGTTTAATATTCAATATAAATAATATAAATGATTACTTATAATAAAGATTTGGCTTTAAAGAACATAAAGTCTGTAAATAGTTTAGTGTAAGAATTAAAAATAAGTTGTTATTATCACGGACAAATCGTTTTATCAGCCGACATTTAATTACTCTGATAAGTTATAATCATATTAATTTCCGATAATTAACATGCAGAAGAAATCCGACCACAGTTTGCTGGATACAAAACATTTTATCTATAATATTTGGGCTTTTTCTGCCCTTAATAGTTGAGAAAAGGGATTCGAACCCATCGGGACTGATCCCTCTGTGTAATGTAATATTACTGCTGCACAGTTAATCCAAATTTAATCCAAACTGCAACATGCAAATGTTTTTATATAAAGGTATAAAGGTTTATAATGAAGTACTGCAGAGACCTACAAATATCTGCTTCTCCAGATGTAAGAAACTGATGTTCATTTAGGAGAAAACCCCAAAAATATTCACCTCATCCTGATTTTAAAGTGTAAATTAATCACGATTTGATGTTTTACTCCGATAAATACGTGTGTTCAGACTCAGAGATACTCGATTAACCCCTCAGGGACCCCAAAACGATAATTTCCCATCATTAATAAGTCACGTGTTCGTGCTTCATGTGACGTAGCTTTTAAATTATATTGTTATTATTATTATTTTTAGTGTTTCCTTTAAACGTCAGCTCGCGCTCTACGTGAGGCTGCGTGTTGTAAACGCACTGAACGGGCCTTTTAAACTGGAGTAACTGGATCCTTACCCAGCATCCCTCAGCGTGTCGGGTTACCACGGGCTCTCTAGGACTGGTCTCCATGGAGACGGGAGACGGGAGGGAGGGAGGGAGGGAGGGAGGGGGATGGGTTGGTTGGGTTTCACCTGAGTTTGACTGACAGGTGTGTTACTGTTGTCACCTCGCTGTGTGTCCATTACAGTTTAATTGAGTGATTATTGGTTTATTTATCCATTATTTTCACCTCTGACTGAGATGTGTCCATATTTCTGCTGGCAGCAAACATTATTAATAATAATATAATATGATTTAGATTTAGTTTTACACATTATTTTCTCACACAAGTCGCGATTAAAATCATAATTTTACCAATTTCAGTACCAAAGCAGCAAGTTTTCTGTTACTTAAAGCTTTTTAGTGCAATAAATAACTAAAATAAACTCAAAGAATATCAAGAAGGGACAAATTCTTGCACCTATTCACCTTTTATTATAAAAAAATAAATATTAAAATACAACCGTACAATAATATAACATAAATAAACTCAAAGAATATCAAAATTTACCTTATTAGAAATATAAAATAAATATAAAAATACAACTGTACACCTTCTCTCTTTTTTTTTGTTAACTCATCATAAAAACACACTTCATTAAAGTGTCCTGGTTATAAATCACATTAATACGGACTTGGCTCCGGCTACCTGAGCTAACTCGCTCTCAATAGGTTGCTGTTCATCTTCCACTCTCACAAATCTCAGATGTCCAATTGTCCTCGAATGCACCGACATTCCCATGCTGTCTCCCTAACACAATAAAACAATAAAGATTAAATGTTCATTCTGACGGATTAATCATCTCAAACACTTGTTAGGATTGTCTTCATGCTTTTAATTGATCACTTTTTTTTATTGGTTCACAGTTTTAGAAACGTGTGAGATGTTTATGGACCCGTATTAACGCAGGAAAGTGGGACTTTGACATGATGATACTTATATAAAAACCCCACCGACCTTGTTCTTTAATCAGACTTTATAAATACACGAGAGGCGGTGACGTAACTCCTTCACACCGTCTTTATTTGTCTTTGAGTCAGCTGAATTCAGCCTTTGTGTGTGTGTGTGTGTGCTCAGTGACACACCCACTGTACACACCGGGCCGAGCAGGTGAAACAAAAGGTAGGTTAACAAAAAGAGTCGCAGATTATTTTAAGAACGCGACGTGACGATGGTGAGAACTACGGAGCGTCGACTACATTCGAGTCAATAATAAAAATACAGGACTTTTAACTTGTAATAGAGTATTTCTTTTACAGTAATCGGTTGCTTCTTTAGTTACAGTTGTGTTCTTCCACCACTGCCTCAGTCATGATCATAAAATCATGATTTAATGAGCAAGAAAACATATATATTTGTTTAAATTAAACGATTATCTCAGGTTTAATGATATAATATTTGCACTATTTACTTCAAATTGCACATATTAAGACAGAAAAACATCCAAAATTGTATTTAAGTACTTAAAATAAATGAATAAATGACCTCAGCCTGATGATTTAAATTTAGCATCTCTTTAAAGGAACATAAACAACGTCTGTGTGTGTGTGTGAGAATGAGGCTGAAATCTACATTTTTGACCTCGTTAACAGAAGTTGATCAATTCAGTTTTTTAACTGACCCCATAGGTTTTAAAATATAGCCCTATACCAAATGGTGGAGATGTCTTTTCATTGTTAAAGTACTGAAATTCATAAAAATAGCAAAAAAACGGGGAAAAAAATCAAATAAAAATGCTAATTTATGAAGAAATACACAACAAAAACAAGTTTTATTAGGCATTGGGCCCACTTTAATTGTGGTAATCAAATCAAATTAGCTTTATGTTGCTAGGTTTCACCATAAAACCGTCGTTTTCAAACCATTCCTACACATTTGTTAGACTTGTTTTGTGGCAATAAATAACACAGTTCTGTTCATTGAAGCCTCTGACAGTGTGATATGTCAAAAGAAATATGCTTACCTTTTCAAAATGTCCTCAAACAGTCCACATGTCTGGCAGTTAAAGGGATATATCCAAATATATGTGTTTAAAGTACATTTACTGTACTTGAGTGTACTACCCCACTACATTTAATTAGTTACTATGCAGATGATTTAACCCTATATATCATAATACGTTAAATGTAAATCAATGAGATCTGACATGTTACTGTATAGATAATAATATAATAGTACGATAATGTAATGTTTTAAAATAGAAGTTAATAAAAGTTACAATGCTTGATACTTGAGGTAATGTGAACCATAAACTTAATTTATTGATTTAATCTGACAGATTTATTGTTTATTAATTGTTTTTATGTCAGAAAACAGTGAAAAGTGTCCTATAAGAAATACTGAGATCAATATGTTTATGTATATAAATAACTTGGTTTTATTTAGTTTTATTCTATTTTATTTATCCTTTTATGTTATTCTATGAATTTAAATGAATAAAGTTATTTGATTGTTTGTGAATTAAATAATAATTAACACAATCACTGAGACTTCTGAGCCAAAGTAAAGTAGTTAGAGTATCAATTAAAACTTAATTATGGTTTTATATTGAAATAATTCATGAATAATAAACTCTGTGTCTGTCTCTCTCTCTCTGTCTGTCTGTCTCTCTCAGGTTAAAGACTGTCTGTTTGCTGAGTCACTCATTCACTTGCAGACTGTCCTGGTTCTCACTGACTGTCTGTCTCACTGACTGCGAGCCTCCATCGATCCTGTCAGCCTCCCCGTCCACCGCTGCACTATGGTACAGTGAACACACACACACACACACACACACACACACACACACACACACACTGCGTTTACTTTCATTAACAGTTGATAAAACCTCAGAAACATGACGTCTAAATTCACTACAAGAGTCTAATAAATAAAAACAGATGTTTTGTTTTAACTCTAATGTTCTGCTGGAGAGCCTGAGGCTTCTTTAACACCCTAAAAACATATTTAATATTGTTTTATCACCTTTATTTTTCATGACTTCACCACATTTTACAACATAAACATGATTCTGAGCTGTTTCAGAAGTCTGCTGCAGATAAATAAAGACACATTAGTTGCATTAATAATATGCATTGTGTTCTTTATTTTTGGTGGTATTTCCATGATAATAATGGTAATAATGTTGATTTTGAGGGTTAAAAAGCTAAAAAGTTTTAATGTGGAGATTTGTCATACTACTCCTACATTCCAGCAGGGGGCAGCGATAACTCTCCTCCTTCCTCTGGGTGAGTTTTTAATAAGAAAAAGAGGAACTTAAAAGCAAAGTCTGGTGATATTATTATATTATATCTCAATTATCATCAAATCTCATGAAGACAGAAGTCAGGGAACAAAAGTCTGTGCCCAGTAAACACCACAGGTTATAAGACTGTAATCTGATACTCAGCATGTACACTGATAGTTATACGGTTAATCCCCCTGAGCAGAGGTGGCTGTATATCTACCGTATACCTGCATATACGCACCTGCACCTCCACAAGTAGAATAAACAGTCTGATTCAGTTGTTTTTGGAGAATAAAACACAGGAATAATATGAGGTTTCAGCTGAGTAATCGGTGCTTTGAAGGCCCCCCCCCGCTGATCCTCCGCCGTGAACACTCGAGTACATGTAAAGAGCACGCTGTGTCTCCGCCCTGCAGAGTGTATGATGTCCGAGAGCAGCTGCTATGGCCTGCAGCAGCGGTCAGAGCAATGCCGAAACTCTGGAGGGCTTCCATGAGGTGAACTTGGCCTCGCCCACCACACCTGACCTTCAGGTAGGTCCAGCGTTAACCTTTGACCTCAGCGCATGCAGCAGGATGTTTACAGACTTTATTGGAGGAGATATTAGTGTGTTATCCAGCTTTATTTGTGTTTAAAGGGACAGTTCACCCCCTTACCTGTAGTGCCTTTTATCCAGATCCCTCCTGGGCTGAGCTGTAACATTAGCTAGCTCCCCTAGCGCCGCTGAGATAGCGAACGTTCCTCTCTCCAGGAGTTCCTGTTTTTTACGGGTTCCCTGTGTGTCGCCTCGCAGAATCAAGCGGAGCAGCGCCCCCCAGCCCGTCACAGCACCCCGCCCACCTCCCTGTACCGCACCCACTCTCTGGGAGGGCCCCCTCCTGGCCTGCGGGCCGATCAGCTCCCCACGCAGCCGGTTTACTCCACGCCACGCCACAGTCACAATGGGAGGTAAAGGACCTGCTGGGGCTGCATCCAACCCGCAGTGACAGATATTCATTGATTAAGTGATTAATCAGAAATTAATTGGCAGCTATTTTTGATAAGCGACTTGTCTTTTTGGTGTTTTTCTAGCAGAAATCTTTCGGGTTTACTTCTTTTCTCTGATTTACATGATTGTTAATTAAATATATTTGAGACATTAGATGTCCCAATCATCAGATTAATCAGCAGTCAGTAATTAACCGCAGCCCTGGTGGCAGAATAGACCAGCAGCCAGACTCCATCCATAACCCGACCCCCTCCTCTTGCTGTTTCCATGGTTACGCCGCACAGCGTGCCGGGCCAGGAGGCGGAGTCGGCCGAGGGCAACTTCCTGTCCGGAGAGGACGGGGAGGAGTGCGGCGCTCTGAGCGACGGCCTGTCGAGGCTGCGCAGCCCGTCGGTGATGGAGGTCCGAGAGAAAGGATACGAGAGGCTGAAGGAGGAGCTGGCCAAGGCCCAGAGGGTAGGACACACACACACACACACACACACACACACACACACACACACACACACACTCACTACATCTCTCCACAGCGCTCATTATTCAGACAGACATCCTGTAACATTTTATATTTTATTTAAAAAGCATTTTTTTGTTGTTTATTTGTTATTATTTGTTAATGAAATGAACATATTTCACTAATTTTTTTATTTCTTCATCTCCTTGTTGTTGCCATTGCTATGATTTTACCTTTGTTCATTTGGCGGTTGTTTTTCTGTTGTGTTGTTTTCTTTTTTTGTTTGTGTGTGTCTGTGTGTCTGTGTCTGTGTGTGTGTGGGGGGGGAAGGACCTGCTGTTGAAGGATGAGGAGTGTGAGAGGTTGTCTAAAGTCAGAGACCAGCTCGGCCAGGAGCTGGAGGAGCTCACCGCCAGTCTCTTCCAGGTCGGTCCACCTCGCCTTCCCCGTGTGTCCCGTCTCCTCTGCTTCCTGCTTCCTGTTTCCCTTCCTCCTCCTGCGGCAGCGGACAGACAGAACCCGGACAGACAAACTTGAAAACGATCTAAACGGGATTTGTTGCTCTCTATTCTGAAACAGGAGGTGTGACCTCTCCAGAAAAGTTCTGGGAAGCTGTGTTTGAGTAGATTTCTAAACATTTCATGTCCAGTAACGTCCACGTAAATACTTAGAGGTTCTCGTTCTTTATCCTCCTTCAAAAAAAAGAAACTAGTGCGGATGTTTTTGTGATTTTGTAGCATCAGACTTTCATACTTCACACAGCTCCCTCTGGAGAATCTACAGCTGCATTGATTAGTTGATTAATGTGGTATTTTCTGACTGATTTCTGGCGTTATAGGGAGCAGTAAGTTGAAGTAATTAGCAGATTAATCAGGGTTGCCTGGAGAAGCTGGACACTTTGAGACTAGTTTAAAGGCCAAATATCCTGGAAACAATCCATGTTGTCCTGGAAATGTTCTGCGTAAACTTAGCTGCGTATTTTGTTTGAAACTTTGAATAATTAAGTTTTAGTCGTAGTAAAGTTCCCTTTTTAGATCTGTTCTGTTGAGCGATGAAGTCTACAAACGTTATTCTGCTGTCACAACACGACTAAATGTTCTTTCAGCTGGACTTTAAAAGCGGCAAAAAGCATTTTAATTTAAAGAAACTCAACAGCTGCATTTGGATTCGCTCAGATTCGTCGACAACCTTCGGGGACACGGTCTTTGACGGGAACGCCAGACCTTTTGTCAAATCTGCTCGACGTTCCCGAGTTCAGGAAGGAGACTGAATCTGTCCGGCTGGCCTTCACAACATGTTCCTTTTCCTTCTTCACGTTCCTCCTCCTCCTTCTCGTCTCACTCTTTTTCCTCGTAAAAAGGTGCTGGGACTCTTATCTGTGTGTGTGTGAGTGTGTGTGTGTGTGTGTGTGTGGTGTGTGTGTGTGTGTGTGTGTGTGTGTGTGGTGTGTGTGTGTGTGTGTGTGTGTGTGTGTGTGTGTGTGTGTGTGTGTGTGTGTGTGTGTGTGTGTGTGTGTGTTTTCTGTAGCCCGTGTTGATGTGTGTGCAGCATTAAGTAGCCAGACAGTCGCACTGTTTACTTTATGTTACTATTCTGTTTGTTTTAGAGCACATTGAGCTTGTGTAGATGCTGCTTCACTATCACAATGAAAACTAAAGCCCAGCAAAACTATCAAATTGTGTGTGTGTGTGTGTGTGTGTGTGTGTGTGTCCAGGAGGCCCACAAAATGGTCAGAGAAGCCAACGTCAAACAGGCGAATGCCGAAAAGCAACTGAAAGAAGCCCTGGGCAAGGTGACGACACTGAACTCTCACACACTGCACATGTCTCTGTCAGGTCTGAGCTCTCGGCTGAAAGACTCTACAGAACCTGCCTGAGAATTATCACATTTTTAAGTTTTCTTCAGTATCAAAGTATTTCCGTGATAGTCGTCTGTACATCAGTGGTTACACTGCAAACAGGAGCTGCTAACAGCTAATTCGGCTTCCTTTTAATGGAGCTCATTTAATAAAATGCTGTAATATTGTCTGTCAGATTGGTTCAAATATCGCTATATGTTGGTGTTAGCATGGTTCCACCTTCCTGACCTATTCCGTCTCCTCCTCCTCTTCAGATTGACGTTCTCCAGGCGGAGGTCCAGGCCCTGAAGACACTAGTGCTCTCCTCACCCACCTCCCCGCTGGGCGAACTCCCCCCTGCAGGAGGCGTGAAGACTCCCTTCAGGAAGGGCCACAGCAGGAACAAGAGCACCTCGTCCGCCATCCTGGGGTCGCAGCCCGACCCGTCGGCCACGCAGCCAATCGTACGGGAGTGCAGAGAGGTATATCTACTAATACTGGTTATATTCTGTGTGTGTGTGTGTGTGTGTGTGTGTGTGTGTGTCTCTAATGTTTGAGCGCTAACCGCCGCTGTCGGACACGTAGGTGGACAGTCAGCTGTTCGGTGAGTTCAAGGCGTGGAAGGAGGAGCCGACGCTGGACCGGGGCTGCTGCTTCCTGGAGAGAGTTTACCGCGAGGACATCTACCCGTGCCTCACCTTCAACAAGAGCGAGGTACAGAGAGTTAACGCTCTGACACAGTGTTTGGTTGCCTGTGGACGCAACATAAATGGAATATATCCATACGTACCTGTTTTCTTTATCAAACAGGAAAATACAACCGTTCACCTTCTGAACTCTAGAGGAAGAGTAGCTCATTGCCTCGTTAACTCATTCAAGCTTTTACCTTTAATTTAACCTTTCATTTAGCAAATGTAGCTAATTCTGAGCTATACTAAGTAAAGTAAGTGAATTTTCTCTGTGTGAGTATTCCTCTGGTGCTGCTCAGCAGGGAAACACAGTCCAGAGACACACAGAGGGAATTTTGTACTAAAAGGATTTGATGTGATTGTCTAACTCCGACTGTTGGAGCCTCATTAACTGCAGATAAACTTTAAAACAGAAGAAGAACTGTGGATTGTTTTCATGCATCACTTCCACTGAACACACATTAGGAAGGGATCTTATGTTCGGTGTAAACAGGAGGAATGATTACAGCAAGCAAAACCTGCTCCACTCTACCTGAAGTGACCCTCCTCTGTCATTGAACGTCCTTCATTGTCCCTCTCGTCCCTCAGCTGGGTTCGGCCATCTTGGAAGCCGTGGAGCAGAACACGCTCAGCGTGGAGCCGGTCGGTTTCCAGCCGCTGCCCGTGGTCAAAGCCTCGGCGGTGGAGTGCGGAGGACCAAAGTGAGACCACGCACACACTCGTACACTCTTTCTCTCCTCATCAAGCTTTCACTCTTTCATCATCATCTCTCTCCATCTTCCCTCAATCTTCCTCCTCTAGTGGGCGAAGGGCTGAGCTCGTCACGTAAGTCTGACTCTGTCTCTCTCTCTCTCTCTCTCGCTCTCTCCCATCAGCATTTTCTTAATCTCTCCTCAGTTGCTCCTCGACCCCGCCTGACTCCCCCAAACTCCCCCGCTGACTCACATGATCCTTCCGTCAGTCCTTCCTGTCCAGGTTTATCAAAGCGATCCTGATGAGACGAATCTTGATAAATGTTTAACAGTCATCCCTCTCTCCTTCCTTCCTTCACTCCTTCCTTGCTTCCTCAATTCTTAGAATAAGTCCTTTTTATAGTTAGTTTTATTATTTATTTTTTGTACAAACATGTTGAAACCGAACAAAAGCCCATAAATATCTGTCTCTGTCTGTCTGTCTGTCTGTCTGTCTGTCTCTCCGATAGAAAATGTGCCCTGAGCGGTCAGACCAAAACCTGTAAGCACAGAATCAAGTTTGGAGATTCGTCCAACTATTACTACGTGTCTCCCTACTGTAGATATAGAGTGAGTATACACACACACACACACACACACATGCACACAGTGAACATTATTTTACTTTTACAGTCTAACATCTAATCTATCTTTTCCTGTGACGTCAAACCTGCAAGGAATTTGTAAAACTGTCTGAAACTAATAAAAAGCTTCAATATGTGACATTTTAGTGACTTTCACAGCGTTTTTGTGCCACATTTGAATTAGAATCACATGATATTTGTCTTAAATTGTCATTTTTATTGAAGATTAAAGTTGTAATCCTTCAGATTTGGCACATGTGGTTAAATCCAGACACTCTTTGGAGCTGCTACTTTGTCAGAAATGCAACAGAAGAGCAGCTGTTTCTGTTTACAATGCAGCCAAACAAAATCAGTCCAAAATAATACGCACGACAATCTCGAAAACATCTTGGTTGCTTGTACAGACAGTCACTGTCAGTATGTAAAGGTTATAAGTGTCTGTCATTATGTTACCAGCTCACAGTGAATGAAGAAGTTGAACTCTAGTAGGAGCCGTGGAGCAGCCATTAAACATTATCTGACTGCTTATACGCGGCTACAGAGCAATAGTCAAACATAAAGAGGATCAAAAATCTGTTTTGATTATAACTTTGTGAATGTAAACAGTTGCTGGTAGCTGTAATTATTCTTCCTGTTTATACTGGAAATGGAAATTTTGTAATACAATCTTCTCTTTGTGTTGTTTTCTGTAGAGCTGCTGCAGCTCAGCAAGGAAACTAAAACACATAGAAGCTCAGTTTGTGGAAGCAGAGATCTTAAATTAAACAAAACAATCAGGATTAGAGTTTATTTTCCTGAAACACAAACTTCTACTTGTACATCACATCCAGGAGATCAGTGTAATGTGTGTTCAACGCCTGCAGGTGTCAGTCTGGAGCTCAAACGGTCCACTGGTTTTTCAGTGTTTCAGTATTTGTTCGTCTCTCGTCTTCTTCTCAGATCACAGCAGTGTGTAATTTCTTCACCTACATTCGCTACATCCACCAAGGGCTGGTCAAACAGCAGGATGGTGAGAGACACACACACACACACACACGCACACACGCACACACACACACACTCTTTGATCCCTTGTTTCTTATTAACAATGAACCAGATGAAAGAGTTGAGGAGTGTTCCTCGAAGCAGAAAAGCCCGACTAGATGACATTTAGAAAGGAGACCGCCATCGATCAATGCTCTTATTGTTTGATCTAAAGTCACTGTAGCATCATTAGCTCAGCGTCAGCTAGCAGCAACGTCACAATGGCCTCCCCCTGTGTGTCTCCAGCGGAGCAGATATTCTGGGAGGTGATGCAGCTCCGCAGAGAGATGTCCTTCGCTAAGCTCGGCTACTACAAAGACCAACTGTGACTGACGGACAGCCCCCCGCCCTCCAATCACAGCAGACTCTGAACCCTGAAGCTCCGCCCTCCTCCTCCTCCTCCTCCCCCCCTGGTTCTGGTTTCCCTCCTCTCATCCGGTCCTCCCTGCCCTCCCCTCTTTGTGTGAGTGTGTTTTTGTGTGTAAGAGAGAATAACTGGTTGTTTTCAACCATCACAGAAGACTGTGACGTCAGTGGTCTGTTGTCGTTACTGATCCGGGGATTTGTTGGGTTTCTGTTGAGATTTCCTTTTATTTAACTAACACTCCGATATATGAAGATAACGGGCATGAAAACAGACGTTAGACATTTAAATATGTTGGCATTTAAACCCATCTGAGGAGCTTTGACCTTTGCTTTGAGTACGGCCTCAATCACACTTTCTCCGGACAGATTGGAGGATTAGAGCCACAGCGAGGAAACCGTCGGAGATTTACACAATATAGGTGAAATACAGTGGTAGTGTTATTAGAATAAAGTCATAAAACAAGGACAAGATAACAATATAAAGTTAAAAATTTGATGTCATATTTCAAGAATGTTAAATTTTTTCTTGTAAAACTCAAATTATTGACTTTATTTAACGTTTCACAACATTCAGATCTTTTAGAATATTTCTGTTCTGTGAATCTCAGATATTTCTTCCTGTGGCCCTTTTTACTCAAGAAACCCTTTTTACAATGCAGCTGATATTCTTCAGTAAACAGTATATTACAGTATTCTGTGCAGTCAAATCTTAAAGAAATGAGACCCAAACAATCGATTATTGTTTACAAAATAAAACCGCGTTTGAACGTATATTTAATTTCACTCTATGTTGCATTCTAGGACATTTTAGGGAAGTGCAGTTGCAAAGATAATCAGAAGAGTACAAACTTTAGAGTTAAATTACTGAGGAGCACAGTGAACCTTTTACCCCCCCCAACCCTGTAGTACTTCCTGAATGGGGCTTTAAAATGTCTTTTCAACATAAACACATGTATTTATAGTTTTTTTGAGCGTTTCTGATGGTGTTTTTTTTGTTGTTGGAGTTTGTTTCAGACGTCGATAAAGCTTCAGGAGAGTCGGGGGTTAAAGGAAAAAACAAACTGTTTAAAACACTACGTGATGTTCTGGCGTCTTTACATACTTTATACAAACATTTGGGGGAATTTTTCCTTTAACGGCTCCTGGAGTTTTCAGTCTGCTGTATTTAATCAATCAGGAATGTGTAGATAATAAGCTGTGTGTGTGTGTGTGTGGATGTTGAGTGTGTTTGTATGCCTGGTGTTGTGTAAACTTTATATATATATATATATATATATGTTAATTTAAACCCGACTCCTTTGCATCTCTCTCTCTCCCCCATTCAAAGTCAATGTCACTCTCCCGGTTTGGTTTAGTGCCTTTTCTCTCAGACACTCTGAAATAAAAACAGTAATACCTCTGGAAAAGCCGCCGCTCTCCGTGGAGTCTGTTCACACGCTGTAACCACGCCGGGGTCAAAGGTTGAGTGCACCACAGGTCAGTACGCAGGGGGAAGGGCGTCGGTTTGGTTTGGTAAAGACAAAATAAAGATAAAGATGCACTGAGATATAGAAATATAGAGCTAGATGGAGAGATAACGAGAGATACAGGGTTCGTGCAAAGTCTTCAACGTTTGGAAAATGCTTCATTTGGATCGTTAGGTTTCAGGAATATTTTTGAATTCGATTAAAGTCCCTGAAAAGAGTTCGATTTTCCATCATAATCTGGTGTTTCATGGACACAATCACTCATATAAAGCGAAAAACACAACAATGCCTATATAAAGGTGATTAAACACTAATAAAAACACATCTATAAACATTAAATTCCATTTCTGTCAATAAATCTTCCTCAATGTTACACACTGGACCTTTTTAAATAGTGGCAATCGAAGCATATGATCAAAATTAATACTAACATCTGGTAAAATAAACTGCACTATAAAACTAAACTATATTTATTTTGTAGTTGTGTTTATAGTAACAATTTAGATGTGATGAAAAAAGGCTTCGAGAGTCTGAAAAGTTCCTTCAAAGTGCTTTAATTTTACTCTTACAAAGCTGTACGAACCCTGCAGATACAGAGATTTAGAGATTTAGAAACAAAGAGATAAGAGTGATACAAGTGGTTAAAAACTCCTTTAATCTTCCTCTGACTGACTCACACAGTTTGACAGACAAAACACATCTTTAAAAGTAGGACCAGTTTAAAGGCAGTTTTTAAACACGATTGACTGTGAATGTAAATCTGTACCATGAAGAGGAGAAAACCTCGAAGCAGGCTCATCAGAAGCATGAGATTGTATAAATTAGGGTGAAATCTGCCCTCGATGCATAAAAACAACATTTATATTGAACTTTTCTAGTCTACCGAGCTCTCGACACGCTTTTACAACAGGCTGCATTCACACACATTCACACGCTGATGGTGCTCATCTGGAGCACTGTGGACGTCACGTTCAACAAACGAGTTCAAAAATACAGAACAAAATCACTTCACTTTTAATAACACTTTTTTCCCACGTCCGTGTAGCTGTAAGGGTTCGTGTGAATCAAATCTGCCCGAAACTGCTGCAGCCGTTTTAGAAAATTAGTGTCTTTTCGTGTTCGCTTTGCATGTTTTAAGTTGCTTTTATCATCTACGTCGGTGAATTCAGGATTTATTTCCACCAAACCAGAGTTGCTGATTGTTGGAAACACTAACAGAGACAGTTTTAATGAGTTGTATTCTGTTTCTGTCCACTTTGAATGAAGTTACGATGATATGTAAAGTATGCAAGTAAAATGACCGTTTTTGTCTATGGAGTCTGGTGGAGAGTGATAATGAAGTTTCTGGTTAAACAAAAGGTTGACCTCTGCCGGGATCGTTTCCTTAATGCTGTCGGCGGTAAAAACAAACACAGTTACAAGACGTACTTTACACAGATATTTGACCATCTAACTCTATGAATTAAAGGTTGATTTAGACCAAAGCAGCTTTGGTTTTAAAGGGAGTTTTACAATAACCTGTAAGGTAAAATTACTGGTTTTGTCAGGGTAGTCCGGTTGGCTGTGGCACCTTTTTGTTCTGGTCTGAGATGTGGCAGTGAATTTCGTATATATAATTATTATATAATTTTTATAATTTTGCTCAATATCAGTCGATTACTACTTACTAATCCCTCAAACCATTGCGTTATTAACTATCTGATCTATCAGGGCAGTGACTTCCAGTCAGTGATCGGTGTTGAGGTATGAAAACACTGCTAAAGGTTTTCATTAGTCAGTATTTATTTTCCTCTTCCAAAGAGTTTTTATCACGATCAGAGGCTCTCAAAGCGATAATGCAGGCAGCGTTTTTATCCAATATTCAGACCAACAGAGACTCAAATGTCTCATAAATCCGTCTCAGATCAGATTCTTTAGCGCTCAGTGTTTATCCATCGTCTGTCTATCGCGGCCACATCCCCCACGCCAGCCCGGGCAGGACGAGCGCCACGAGCACGGACGAGAACAGGTTGACCGCATTGTTGTCTAAGATCGGTTTCCCGGAGATCCGTTGGGTGGTGGCGGACTCGTAACACACGACCTTCCCGATGCTCGAGTCAAAGCCTGCGGACAGAGGGGAAGGAAGAGGTCACTTTATTTATTAGAACACAAGAGTTAACCTTTAGAAAGAGTCTGAGTTAAGGATGGATCGATTATCTGATCCGATATTTAACATTCTTCCCGTTACCGTATTGTTTTATTATCCGATTGCTGATAGAATAAAGAGAGTCCTTACGGCAGTGGTCCAGGTTTAATTGCATTCATTCGCTGTAGTGGAGTAAAAGTATAAAGTAGCATAAAATGGAAATAGTTGAGTAAAGTACAGACAAGAACTCTGGCTATCCTAAATTTAGACTAATAATAATTACTAACTACTTACTGATAATCTGTGTCTTTATCGGTCGATCTGTAGTCTGAGGAAAAGTTACTTTGAGTAAATCTTTGTTTTACTTGACGAGTTCTTGCTCGTAGTTTCATCAAAATATAACGAACTCTCATATCTGACACCTTCACAATTCTTCTAAATGCTTCTTTAAACCTAAATTATACATCAATATAAAATGTTCATTGACTGCATCGTAGCTCCGCCCTTTAATTAACAAAGCTTGTTCAGGTAAATCAGCAGCTGGATTATTATTTAATAATCTCCTGCACATAATTTAGTAAAGTTTTGTTCTTAAAGATATTTTGATGTTTATTCGTATTATTTTAAATGTAAACAGACTCAGCAGAGAGTTGTATGAATGTCACACAGAGGAAATCGTTTACAGAAAGTTAATCAGAAGCTGTTCTGAAAATTAATTCATCTTTTAACTCGTTTTAAAGCAAAAGTTCTTCCATAGAAATCTCTGATTGTTAGTAAACAGAGTTTTTTTGTATTTCAGACAAAACGTGAAATTTTGATGGATAAAATAAAGTGAAATTTTGATGGATATTTTTCATCTTGTGCCACTTTATGGAGCAAAAACAAATAACCAGCAGCTTCATAAACGAGCTGCACGGTTCGGTTAATCCGTTCCTACCTGAGTACTGCATGTGAGCTCCCAGGAACGAGTCCAGCATGGATCCCAGCAGCCCCGCCATGCCGCCGTACACCACGATGGGCCACTGCGGGTCCGCCATGTGCAGGTCGCTGACGGTCAGGAGCTGCGTCACAAAGTAAGCGGCGCCCACCATGAGCCCGCCGAGGAAGCTGGCGACCAATCCGACGGTAGTGACTCCTCCGTTTGTTCCTGGAGGGAGAACGAGGAGAAGATTGAACCTTCGTCAGCACCACTGAACATACAGATTTTATTTCAAGTATTATTAATATAGCTGTTTTTACTGATTCCTCACATCTGTTCTCTTAATAATAAACATTTTAATTGAATTGTGTCATTTATATCAGACTCTGGTTCAATCTCTAATTCTTACAACTATTTTTTTGTTTTATAATCGATAAAAAAAATTTTTTAAGAACATAAATGTCCAAACTGTTCAGCGTCTTCGATGTGAATATTTTCTGGTTTCTTTTGTCCTTTTATGACAGTAAACTGAAGATCTTTGGGTTGTGGACAGAATCAGACGTTTTTCACCATTTACTGATATTTTAAGGATTAAAGAATTAAAGTTAATTGAGAAAACAACTGACAGATAATGAAATGAGTCCCATAATGCTCTAGAAGTGTGATGCTGAATCATTGGGACACTCTTTTAAATACTAAATGAAATAATAAGTTGATTAATTCACTAGAATATGGAGAGAAAATTAAACATTCACTGGTTCCAGATTCCCAAATGTGAGCTGTTTACAGGTTTTCTGTTTTCTGTCACTTTAAATGGAATATTTTGGACTAACTGTGGGTCAGAACAACATTCTGGTGAACTGTTTTACTCGACAGTCAACATTAAAATCGAGCAGCAGAATCAGAGATATCGTTCTTTTATTCCCCACATTCTTCTTCCTTCACAACCTGGCGCCTACAGTACCCACAATGCAACTCAACCACGCAGCTACCAGCCAACAGACCTCAGTCAAAGTACTTTCCTTCCTCTCTCCTTTGTAGTTCCTTTGAGCCTTACGTCACCAAACTCACTTCTTTATTTCTAGCTGTGAAGACGAGCGACGTCTCACATTTACCCTCCAAACAGCGATTTTATTCTCACTGACATACAATTATTTTATGAATTATACACAAAAAAAAATCTACTATTTTCTACTTTCTCACACATTTATCATAATACACAACAAACACTGCTTCTCTACAGTCAGTCCGCTGCTCAAATCCCATCTTGTGTTCGTCCCAGCTGTCGCCGCCTTCCCTACCTCATCAGTTACATCAGCACCAGTTCCACATTTACAGAAGACCTAAATAAAAACATTCATGTCCCCGCTGCCTCCTGATCGTTCCCTGACTAATCTGAATGAAGAATGAAGTACAGAGAAAGTGGCAGAACGGATTAAAGAGCGAGGGAGATGATCTCTCGCCTCGGACCTCGACCATCCGGGTCTAGAGCTCGAGGACGGAGGAGTATAGTCCTCACCTGCTGGGACTTCCTTCCAGGTGGTGATGAGTCTGGGCTGCGATTGGCTGAGGACGGGGCCCACCTCCGATGCCCAGGTGTCCCCGGTGCTGCAGGCGAGCGCGCCCAGAAGAGAAAGGCACATCCAGGAGGCGGAGTACTGTTTACTGAAGTCAATGGGCATCTCGCCCGGACCCACCTGAAACACAACCGGCTGTTTATGATCCTTGAACACACCTTTTATTGATCGTCTCCAATGAATGTGTTTACCTCTATCATGTACAGCAGAGCCAGCTCTGTGGGAACTCCTCCATTACAGAAGACCTGAACCCAGTTCCTCTGCCCCCCTGACACAAACACAAACAATACGATTAATAAGATTTCAATTTGAGATTAAATAAAAAAAATTAAAAAATCTTTGCGTCTCTCACCTTCTTTGTACTCGGCGTCTATTTTCCTTTTCTTGGCTCCCCCCCAGCGCGTCAGTTTGGAGGAGGTGATGAAGAAGGCGAGCAGGGAGGAGAAGAAGCTGTAGTTGGCCATCGTCAACACGAATCCCACCAGGAGAGCTGAGAGAACATATTTCCCATCAGAGAAAGACATTACAGGGACACTGCGGAGGATCTCCGGGGCCTCGGATGGATTTCTTGCTTCTTGAAAAGGCGTAGCTAACTTCCTTCACCGCATCTTTTTAACATCTGCCAACCACCATGGCATCCTTCAACATTTTAATTACTCAAACCAGTAACGACTTTCTCGTATTAAAACCCCCACACAGCCATGTGATAGCAGCTACTCCTCTTTTTGAAAGGCTTAGCTGTTGCCGGATGTCAAATCGATTCTTTTCGGCCGCACAAAAGATTTATTCTGTCCTCGTCGGCTTCTCTCAGAGGGGGAACTGTCCCCGAAAAAGGGAACAAGAAAAGGGTTGTCGCCTTTCCAATGTGATCAAAGGATTCGATAGTGAGAAATACTGTTAAGATTTCTCTTCTGATAAAGATCTTTAGGGATAAACTGCGACTTGATGAGGTTTAACTGCAAAATTAAACACAAAAAGCTTCACAGACTGAGCTGAAGGGGAAAACCATGTGAGGTCTGCAGCCGCTCGAGCTGCCCAAACTGAAGCAATCACCTCTTACCGCTCTATTAATGAGGAGCTACCGGTCTAACGCTTGCAGCCGCTGGATAGCACAACACGATAACGTCTGAAAACACATCTTTTTCTTCCTTTTCTACCATAAGTCTGCTATAAGTGACATAAAAACCCAAGAAAGCCACAGAAAGAGCGACTAGGACGACGATGCATCCATACAGTCCTTGTGTACTCGTAACTGTAATCAATAAACTACTCCGATACCACTTTATGGCAGCGTTACGTTACAATTTTAGAACTACAGTGGTGTTAAGTACTTCCAAATGTCAGAAAACTCTTGGGAAGACTGAAATGTGTTGTGTAACAAGACGTGTCGAGACTTAACATGAGCCAATGAAGCGTTTCCTATTATATGATTGATTATAAAGTCCAAGAGAGTTTCAGAGTCTTCTCAGAATCCTGGAAAGATTCAAGGACCCCCTATGTGTCTTTATTGAGGATAAATGATGATTTCACTGTCGGTTGGAAAAAGGGATTCGTTTAAGAAGAGAGACACGTGATCGTGGCTTCTTTATGCAACTCAATCCAGTTGAATACACATCTTTATCCTCTTATCTCAATCCGCTGCTTGATTTTAAAAGGTCAGGAAATCCCTTTTTCTTTACAGAATCTGTTTGCGGGACAGAGTTTCACATTTCTGTGTGTGTGCCTTAACAAGATACTGACAGAAACAGGGGCTTTAAAATGTTAATATCTAACTTTTAGTGATGTGTGAAGTGAGAAGATGTTTCCTGTCAGGCAGCACTCACCTGCTGATAGATCACGTTCAGTTTCTGCCAATAGATCCTCCTAAATGTTACACACTGGAGCTTTTTTTTTAATCAGAACTGCATATCCTCAGCTCCTATAACTGCTTTTAATATGAATACTGAGCATATTAGGCACAAAAATGTCTTTTTTATCTCTTCTCTGTGAACCGAAACAGTAAAGTTTTGGGTCAGAAAACCAGAAAATGAGCTAAAAGCTGCAGAATCGATGCATATATCTCTGCAACTCCTTCCTCTTTACAGTCACTCAATCTGAAAGCTTTTCATCGGTGCAGCTTTAAAGACTCGTGGACACACACTGACCTCCGAGGGCTCCCGAGCGGGCCAGACTGCGTCTCTTCAGCGCTCTGAGCGTCAGCATGAGGGGAACCAGGATGGAGAACAACCACCGCCACGGCGACACAGGCTGCAGCGTCCCTGTGAACACACACGCATACACACACTGAAGAGGTTTTCAGCTTAAAAAGGAAACATATTCCACATTCGTGTTCTGATTTATTGAGGTCACGGTCAGACAGTAAACACAGGCGACCGGTTACACAGAGCGTGGTGTTAAACGACGTATGACCACATATTAATGCAGCTTCAACCATACAAAATGAGGATGTTTGCTCAGCTTTTATTCATTTTGTGCTCACGAGTGTGAAGACTGAAGGATGTGAGCAGTATTCAGAGAAGAGCACATGATTTTGGTTGGACTTTTTAAAGACATTTTTCAGATGAAATCATAAAGAGTAACTTCAGTTTTAAGCCTGGACCTTGTTTCCCCTGTGTTTCTTATTTTCTAATGTCCGCACATTAGAAAAATAAAGGTCGAGGTTATAAAAATACAAAAAGTTACCCCTTTTAAAACCTCTAGCGTTAACGCTGACGTTGGAATAGGTTCTCCAGCTCACCGTAGTAGGTGCTGATGGTGAGAGAGGTGACCCAGAAGAAGAGGGACAGTGCCAGAGTGGCACACAGCACGATCATATCAGTCATCATCTTGATGTACTCCTTCATCAGCACGTCGTTATCAGAGTTCATGCTGACGGATGGAGCGAGCTGCGGGACAGGAGACGGGGTTAAATGTTACACTCATTTCCCTTAAACCTCTCGACAACATAAATACAACATTATCCCGCTTGTTCTGTTTCCAATCAACCGTCTGATCAGCTGCTCCAACATCTTTAGTACAAACAGAATCTCCACGGGCTTCAACAAGGTAAACTTAAGACTTATTAAGACTTATTTCACGTCCATACAGGCAAAAAACAGTTTATTTTATTAGTTCTGTGTCAGATTGGTTGTGTTGTTACAGGAAGATCAATACAAATGCAACTTTAACTTCAGTCAGGAATCATATTTAAGACATTTGAAGTTTTATTTTAAAGCCTAAAATTCAGATTATACACCCTGTATCATCCTTCTGCAGCTCAACAGTGTGTGTGTGTGTGTGTGTGTGTGGGGGAAGCACAAAGAAGTAACTGTACATTGAATAGACTGCAAACATCCATTGGATCTGGTTAACTCTGCACAGAACTGTCTTCAAAGGAACTTTTGAATGTATTTTTTTTTTTTTTTTTAACAGTTATGAGCAAGAACACCCAGATTATCTGCTCATATGTGCACATTAATATTAATGTAAGACTCAGTGAAGCCTTTAACCTGTAATGCTGCACAGCTGATATAATAACTACATAATAAAAAAGGTCCTGCACATATTTAATGTAAACTGGTAGCTAGAAAATGTGCAAATATCTCCCGTTTAACTATATTTATCACAGTCGAGCCCCTGCCTTTACTTACAGCTGCTTTATGTACGTGAACTCACCACTTTCCTCCGCAGTCATCTTGACTTTCAGCTGCAGCTAACGTTAATCTACATCCGCTTAAAACGTCCAGTTTATAGACGGCGCCGCTCCTCAGACGTCGCCAAAAAGGCCGCAAACTGTTTCTTCTTTAGTTAAAGTCGGCCACTAACGCGGGTGAATGTGGGCAAGGGGCTCGCTGACGAACGGGAATCAGTGCTGTGAGCCGGAAGGTACGGCGGAACGACTCGTTTAGTGAACGGACCGACTTCCGCAAACAAACCGTTGCCAGCTCTTAAAGAGACAGTCACCGGATGTGTCAGTAACATGTTGTCCTATTTATTACATCATTAAAACACTTAATGCTATAAAACTAATAATATATAAATACTATAATAAATACAACAATCATTTACATTATAAATATAAATATCACTGCTACATTAAATATAATATATATGACATATATCGTTATATTCTTAATTTATTCTATTTGTTTGTCCTGAGTTAATAGATTTCTACTCACATACCTGGACACATTTAATTTAACTGCTAATGTCATTTATCCACTGTATAATAACACAGTGCCGTATACAGTCCTATATATTGATCTATATTTATCCTCTATACAGTTCTCTACATTTACTTTATTTTTTTAACTTGAATTTTATTTTACTTTCTATATTTAACTTAGAAATTATTGTTTAGTAAGTGTTTGTAAGCTGCTGGAAATTCAATTTCCTTAAGGGGAGTCATCCCAAAGTGATCAATAAAGTGAAGTCTAAGTCTAAACCCCACCCCCTAATGTTATTATTCCTAATAAGCAGAGAGCAGGTCCGTGTATTTACTCCATTAACATTAATATGTCTCATTTTAAGGACAAACCAGACTGGCTGTAGATAGCAGAGTTTGTGCGCACTGTGGTTTCTCCTTTGATTTTGGAGTTTCAATACGCAACTCCACCGCTAGACGCCACAAAATCCGACACAACGGCCCTTTAACTTGTAATTTTAGCCTTTTAGGTATTACAGACACAACAAGGTTACCTTATCCTTATCTTACCTGACTCTGTCCAAAGTTAACATCAGCTCTCTAAAGCTTCTCCGGTTCTTCAACCTTATTCCTCTTAAACGTACAGCTACTTATATATTATTTAAATAGGTAATCATGTATGTACTACAAATACACCACACACGTTACATTACAGGCCGTCCTTCCCTCTGAGGAGTCTGGGAAACATACACCGTGAGCTCATACCTGTACTTCTGCTGGTCGTCACGTAGTTTCAAAGCGGTGCAAAAGATGCTGCCTGCAATCACGTGGGGGAAACCTCTTGGTTCCCTGAACGCAGCGCGAGCAGAAGAGCACAAAGAAGAGCTCTGTGTGGGTCAAACGGTCCACAAAAGCTCTGTTCAGTGTCAGAAATCTACTGCGTGTAGTTTTACTTTTTATAGTGACAGTAAAGAGAGACTGTGGGTATGTTTTTATACATTTTAGTGTAGTATATGAGATACAATATAATAAAATACAGCAGAAATAGAACAAATTACAAAATACTGTTAAAAAAAACTGTTTTATGCATTATAATAGCAATTTATAAAGCATAAATTATACCCACAGGGTGCTTTTATTTTGTAGGGGGTGTGGAAGGAAAGAGGAAATATGCCAATTTATTGATCCGTTACACTTGCTAAACTAATTCTCTTTTATTATGCAACATACTGAGGATACAGATGAGGTTATTATTATTATTCTAATGCCATGAGACTTCATACAGAGAGTCGTGGTCCCCGGGGGATGATTCCTGGTCACTTTGGTGATGTCCTGACTTTTCCTTTAGATCCTCCTCAATGCTACACACCGGACCTTTAAGCCCAACTCTGATTATATAAGTGATTTATATGGTAAAAAAGAACTAATTTAATTTAATTGAATTGGTAAAAACAAGATTTTCTCGCTTAAAATGTATTTTACTTATTCATTTTGTTTCTTTAATGACATTTTCTCACCTGGCAATAATATTTAACATCATATCAGACTTTGTAACTGTCTTATTTTCTAGCAGGTGTTTACCAACTGAACTATTATTATTATATATGTAATTTATATGGTAAAAAAAAAACAGAAATTGAATTTATTTTGATTGAAAAATAAGATTTTGTTGCCTAAAATTATAAATTTTGTTTCTTTAATGACATTTTCTCACCTGGCAATAATATTCAACATCATATCAGACTTTGTAACTGTCTTATTTCCCAGCAGGTGTTTACCAATTGTACATAAAGACAATTTCATGACTTAAAATGAGGCTTTAAAATATAAAATATAAACATTCTAACATTTTCTCAGTTCTCACATCACATTTACAACAACTTGCTCAAGGGTCAACATCCAAAAACCGGCAGCGATCATAACCAGCTGATCGATAAACAATCGCTAAAATGACTTGAATCCATGAACACACACACACACACACACACACACAGAGGGGGGGAGAGAGATGATGTCACCTACCGAGCAGGGAGGAGTGGAGGAGGAGAGAGTAAATGTGAGTTGTGCTCATTTTGATGCAGTGGTCACTTTTTAAGGAGAGCAGAGATCCACCCCTAGAAAGAGAGAGAGAGAGAGAGAGAGAGAGAGTTTGATTTAATGCTTATGTCAAAGACTCATGGGAAATGTAGTTGTCCAATGCGACCTAAACAACCAAATCTCAGTCGTTTTGTGGGTATTTAATCATGTGATATTTTAATTGTTATGTAATGTTGTGCCTCCTGTTTTAAGGGGGAAATAAAGTGCAGGTCAAACATTAGCTCCAAACACTGTTCCAGTATTAAAACACATTCAATGTTTCAAAAGCAGTTTAATGTTAATAAAGTTTATTATTATTATTATTAGTAGTAGTAGTAGTAATTATTCCATCACTCTTTGTAATAATTTATAACTTTTTATAACTAATTATTACTATAAAGTACTCTTATTATAGGTCTTACTTATGTACAAAGCTATATATACATTTTTATTCTATATATATATATATATTGTGTAAGATTAGTATTATTTCTACTCTTTAACATTGTGTGAGCACCTTGATCCACTGTAACGAATTATATGAGATGCCATTTAAGTCGATAATAAACATATAAATTGTTCATAAATAAATAAATATATCTGGCAGCTGTTTACGTTCTCTCGTAGAGAACTGGACCAGTATGAGTTTGTCTTTGACATCCTCATGAGTGGATGTTTTCTTGGAAATTAAATAATAATTTCAGTCACAGAGATCCAAAAACACTTAAATTAACATATTCTGTTAAAACTGTGGCTTCAGTTTTTGTGGTTATGCATGACCAGCTCGCCTAAGTGTTTTATTTTGGAGGATACAGAGAGCTGCTTGTAGTGGCTTTCTAGGTTACAGAAGAATATGTCAAGTAATTAACTATCTGCAGTTAAACTACTACATGTATATTTATTTATCCATTTACTTTTGGTTTAAATGGCATCCCATACATTGAATCTAGTCAATTGTGATATTTTATATAGCCAGATTTTGTTAATGATTATTTAAGATGATAACTAGTTAAATTCTAATTGCAGTGAGCTTACGTGAGCGTCATTAGCTGCTATAATCAGACGTCCTTTGGGCCGACATTTCCCTCAAATTAAGTGCATAAAAAGTTAATCTTCAGTTAAATTAGAGTTGTTGTTGAAGTTAGCAACAGTTAGCTGTGGCCCTACTAGTGATTACAGTGAAGATAAACAGCTGCTCTTTTGGTTCATTCAGTCATTACACACATCGTTTGTTAACGGACGATAAAATCAGCAGCATAAATGTGGATAATGAGAGTAAAAACCAAAAGTATAACTGCAGATAGCTAATTACTTATTCTGAACAAATCCTTTTCCAGCACATTTTTGGTAATAAAAGCTGCGGATTTGGGCAAATTAACTACATTACATTGGCCAAATGTAACAAATAACAGTTAAAATTAAGAAGAATCTGTTTTATTTTGCAGAAAAATTCAGATTTTAGAAAGTTAAAGTGTTAATTACAGTTATAATTAACATCAATGTGCACAGCAACAAGACATCTGATGCACCTGAGTAGCACAACGTGGATTATTTCCAGGATATTTGGTCATTTTAATTCATTTCTAGGTGTTTACATGACTGGAAAAGCAGTCCTTAAATTTCCAGGTTTTCCAGGATGTGTTTTCTGTTGAAGAGCTCACATGTGAAACCACAGGACGCTGACTTTGAGGACCAATCAGCAAACCTATATAGGATCCAAAAAGCAGCAACAGCTCTCTATATGCTCCAGAATCATCGTAATTAATGCATAACCACAAAAACTGAAGACGCAGCTTTAACACAAACACAAACTCTCTTCATGTTTATGGATCTCTGTGATGAATAACGATGACTGATTTAATTTCCTACAAAATGTGGCTTATAGACTGGTGATTGCAGCTTTCTCAGAAAAAAAAAAAAAACATGTTCAGAAGCTGCTTTAGTTGACACGTTGAACTTTAATCCATCAGAAACCTTCATTTTTCAAAGAGGCCTGGGCTTTTTGTAGTCAGTAAATAGGTAAATAAATACATAAATAACCAGATTTATTGATATTTTTAATGAGGAACAGACTGGGAATGAATGTAAAACAAGATTCCTGAACAAAACACAGTGTTGCTTCAAAATATATGAATTAATAATGAGGATAATGAACGTCTATACGACATTTTATTTGCCATACGTCAGCTATTTGTTGAGATATTTGAGTCTAGAACTGCTGTACATGAACTCATCATTGCGTTGGCAGTGGCTGATTAGTTTTTCTCCACACTAACTAATTCTTGCAGGGTCAAAGCAACAATTACGCTGTTAATAATTATACTCAGTAATCATCATGTGGCAGTATACATTCCCCACCAGCACAGATTACTCTGTAGACGACTATTATCTAAAACTCCACAGACGCCCCACTGAAGCAGATATAGCCTCACGGTCTGGGTTCAAACCTCAGCAGACGAACCACAGATAGTCCAGGAGCACGTACACACGTCCAGTTTCACCAATAATCACCGATAAAGTTGTGTGTTTGTAGCGTAATCAATGAGCTCTAACGAATGAATCTTAGCTCTGACACTTTATTTTTCACCTGGACTTTAATAGTTTCGGAGAGTTAATTAAACATTGGTTATCGTGACATGAAATGTCCGTAATTTTCCATATTTTAAAGTAATCCTGGATAATGTAACTAACTGTAATCTGGATTTATTATAGTATTTGTATGTAATCTGATTACATGTGATAAGTTAACTACTCAACCCTACACTTACATTTTCAAATAATACATTTATACAATAATAATATATCTTTAATTCTGTCTGGCTCCAGCGCAAACACTAAAAAAAAAAACCCGGATTTATTTTGGTCCTCTTGGCTCTCCGTAGTGTTTACATTCTATAAATCCAATATGGCGTCGTCCGGTTAAGCAGTTAGCCGACTCCAGGCACTTTTTAAAAAAATAATGTGGTTTTAAGTGCACATTAAAGTTACTTACCGGCGTCCTAACGGAGATACAGGTTCGTAGACAACGTGAAGCTGTTTTAAAGTCAGTAAACGTTGTGTTTTTGTTTAAATAATGACCGTTTCTTACCGGGACGTCGCCGTGCTAACGCGGTTAGCTCGCCGCTAGCTCGGGAGGCTCCGTGAGAACCATGACCGAGGCGGAGGAGCTGCGGCCCGTCCCCCGGGAGAGAGCCATCCTGGAGAGCTTCTTCACGCAGCTCGGCATGTTCTCCTTCGACCGGGCCAAAGACTACGTGGAGAAAGAGAAGGACAACAGCAAGAGCGCCGGCGCCATCTGGGCCGCGCTGCTGGCCGCTCTGGCTCATCTGTCCGCCGCAGAGAAAGCTTATCACCACCTCACCTTCCTCGGACAGAAGATGGGTAATAACTCAATATTATTATATTATAACTATATATTATATATTATATTATATTATAATTATAATGTAATAATATAATATTATTATATTATAACTATATATTATATATTACATTATAATTATAATAAATAATAATATTAAAAAATATTATTATATTATAACTATATATTATATATTATATTATAATTATAATTATAATGTAATAATATAATATTATTATATTATAACTATATATTATATTATTGTATTATAATTATAATATATTATTATATTATAACTATATATTATATATTATATTATAATTATAATATAATAATATAATATAATTATTATATTATAACTATATATAAAAATATATATTATATTATATTATATTATAATTATAATGTAATAATATAATATTATTATATTATAACTATATATTATATATTATATTATAATTAAAATATAATGAACTCAATATTATTATATTATAACTATATATTATATTATTATATAATATATTATACACTATATATAATGTATTCAATATAATTATATTATAACTATATATTATATTATTATATTATAATTATAATATAATAATATAATGTATTATATATTATATTATAATATATATAATGTATTCAATATAATTATATTATAACTATATATTATATATTATATAAATATAATAACTTATATAATGTATTCAATATAATTATATTATAACTATATATTATATTATTATATTAATAATATATAATACACTATATTATAATGTATTCAATATAATATATAATACATTATATATTATATTATAATAATATATAATGTATTATATATTATATATAATGTATTCAATATAATGTACAATGTATTATATTAAATATAATATATAATGTATTAAATATAATATAATTATATATATAATGTATTAAATATAATATATAACGTATTAAATATAATATATAATGTATTAAATATAATATATAATGTGAAATATATAATGTATTAAATATAATATATAGTATAAAATATATAATGTATTAAATATAATATATATTGTATAATGTATTAAATATAATATATAATGTATTAAATATAATATATAATTTATAATGTAAAATGTATTAACTATAATATATTATATATAATGTATAATGTGTTAAATATAATATATAATGTATTAAATATAATATATAATGTATAATATATATAATGTGTTATATGTAATATATAATGTATAATGTGTTAAATATATTATATATAATGTATTATATGTAATATATAATGTATAATGTAAAATGTATTAAAAATAATATATTATATATAATGTATTAAATATATTATATATAATGTGTTAAATATAATATTAAATATATTATATATTATATATAATGTTAAATATAACAAATATAATGTGTTAAATCTAATATATGATGTGTTAAATATAACAAATACAATGTATTGAATATATTAAATATATAATGTATTAAATATTATAAATATAATATATAATTTGTTAATTTTTTATATATATATACACACATATATATATATATACACACACACATATAATATATATTAAATATATTAAATGTAATATATATAAATTATATTAAATATAATATTAAATATAATACATTTTAAATTAAAGTATTTATCACACTTTTATTAATTACTGTATATATGTATATATATATGAATGTCTTATTTTTTTAATATATATTTTTATATACTGTAATATAATGTACAATGTAGGGATGCAAGATATGTTGATAAATATTTTTTTCAACCGATAAGATAACAGATCATTTAGCATTTTTTAAATTAAAAAATAAGTTAACTTGTTTCTAATAGGGCTGCACAATATGGCAAAAACATCAAGAATCACATCACATCACATCAAAGTTATCGCAATGTGATGTTTGTGAAGGATCTATAAAGTGTGAATGGCTTCATTAATGTTTCACCAATGCTTGTTTAAAACGTTTTTGTAATATTTAAATCAATTTATATCATTTATTTCTCTTTTTGCCCAAAAACCAAACAATGTAGGCTACTTTCAAGAGCTTAAAATGTGTCTGAAAAATGTGCAAATAATAGTTTAACCCCGGGATTATTATCTTATTCTTGTGACCATGACCATGTGAGATATTAGGGCACACAGACAGCTACACATCTCCAACACCAGATGGCGCTGTAGCTAAAAAAAAAAAAGGAGTCAACCATTTTCATCTCATGGTGACACTCAGTCAGTCATTTCTTTCTCCCTTCCCTCCCTCTCTGCAGGCGGTCAGTCCTTCTTCAGCCGTAAAGACTCCATCCGAACCATCTACACCTCGCTGTTCAACGAGCTCAGGAAGGTGGTGACGATGGGGCGCCACAGCCAGCCGGGCTCCGCCTCCTACCTGGAGGACCTGCTGTCGCACCTGTCGGAGCAGCTCTGCCACTTCACGCAGGCCCGCATGGAGATGGCCGACCTGTACGAGAAGATGCACTCGCTGGGCAGCCAGAAGAGCATCAACTCGGAGGAGCTGGTCACCACGCTGGAGGCGGTCCTGCACAAATACAGCACCAAGTGTGTACATTGGTCTTATTTTACCTCATTTTAAGTGACAGAATCGAGTATTTTGTAATTCTAGTGCAGAAACCTGCTTCGTTCTTTCTTATTTTAAGCTACAGACACTTATTTATGGCCATTTTTAATAAAAAGCATCCTACCTGCAATGGCAGTTTTGAGAAAATTAGGGTTTTAGGACTGAATCATATAATAAAACATCATAAAAGAAGCCATTTTTCCTCCTAATGATACTTTTTGTGGTACTTTTACTTATGCAGGACTTTGATAATGAAGGATCTCTGAGTGGTGTTACTACTTATACTCACATGAAGGCTCTGAACACCACTGAACCCCGGTTTGCAAACAGACAATGGCATTGTTCAGCTAAAGAATAGGAAATAAGTAAAGTTAGAGATGACATATTTGGGTTGGAGGAAGAAAACTTTCTGCTTAATCGGGCAAACGCAGGATCCGACTGTGTTCCCCCAGAGACGTGTCAGCAAAAAAAATGTGTCCTGCGACTGCAGCGGGAACACAAACTACACGCTTGAGATGTTGACTGAGCTGCAGCGGGCCGCAGCAGGACACCACCACACATCACTGATCTGACCGTGCACTGAAGGGTGAAGGTGATCGGCAGACCTGGGGAAATGTACGGACCCCGAATCCAGAGGGTTTTTAGGCTGAGCTCAGATCCAGACTAGAGAGACAAAGAGACTTTCAGGTCACTACAAATTAGGTCAGCTCCCGTCTCTTTGCTTTTGTTTGCTCGTGTTCCTGTTTAACTGCCAGCCTCCTCTTCCTCGCTCCTTCAGGTTCCACCACCCCATCCTGGGCCGCGTGGAGGAGGGCTTCCAGACGGAGGTGGACGTGGTGACCCAGTTACTGCGCTGCCAGGCGCAGGTATCCGAGTGGAGCTTCCTGCCGGCTCTGCTCAGCCTGCACGGCGCCAACTCCAAGCTCACCGCCTGGGGTCAGCTGTTCCAGCGGCAGAAAGAGACCCGCAAGCATCTGTTCGGAGGTCAGTCCCAGAAGGCCGTGCAGCCTCCGCACCTGTACGTGTGGCTGCAGCGCTTCCAGGCGGTGCTCCTCGCCAAGTTCAGCTTCTACTTCCACGAAGCGCTGAGCCGGCAGACGCCGCCGGCCGACATGAGAGCCCTCACCGCCCGCACGGCGCCGGACTACCACGGCAAGATCTGCTCCTTCATTCGCAAACACGACGCCAGCAACGTGTCTCTGGTGTTCGACAACCGCGGCTCAGAAAGCTTCCAGGGCCACGGCTACCACCACCCGCACTCGTACCGGGAAGCACCGAAGGGCGTGGAGCAGTTCCCCGCCGTGGTGTCCCTGCCGTCGGGAGAGCGGCCGCTCACGCACTGGCCAAACGTCATCATGATGATGGGAGACCGCGCCGCCGAGCTCAACACTCTGGACAAGGTGGTGCACTTCTACGACGACAAGGTCCAGAGCACGTACTACCTGACGCGGCCCGAGCCGCACTTCACGCTGGTGGTGATCTTCGATGGCAGGAAGTCGGAGAAGGATCTGCACATCGCCGCCTTCCTGCAGGAGATCTCGGGCTCGCTGCGAAACTCGAAACCCTTCAGCACCCTGAAGCCGGGGTCAAAGGGCTGAGCTACACGCTAACAGGCAATGATGGAACTGATTGGTTTCCTGTGGTCCAACCTGAAGTCCTTTTAATGTTGCTTTGACTTCAGACAAAACTATAAAAAAGTTCCAGACCAAAGAAACGACCACCAACTCAACCACGCTGTGAATTTGTTTTAGGCTACGACGGGACGACAAGAATCACGCTGCTAGCGCTTAAAAAAAACGTTTTGTTTATTTAAAATGTATTAAGCGTTTTAATTATTTTGCATCAATTACTGTTTTAACATGTTTCCTTTTTACTTTTAAAAGCTCATATTTACTGTGCTTGATACAATTTAAATAAAGCCTTTGAGATGATCCTGCTTCCTGAGTTCATTCATTAGTTTTTTGGGCTGATATTAGCTGATTATTGATTTATTTAGACGCCAATAAGTAATATAATACTGCGTTTTTCCACCACAGCTAGCTGACAAGTTTATTTTATGTTGGTCACAATTAATAAAAACCATGTTGACTGGTATATGTTTTTAAAAATGGTCAATATATATCAATAATCAAATCTGTTGGACTTTGCTGCTTTTTCTCCGTTTTAATGGATTTAAACTGAATATTTTCCAATAAAAAATAGTATTAAGTATTATTAAGACCAGAAGGTTGACACATTTGCCTCCAGGAATGATGGATGTTAAAATTTTATTAGATTAATAATTAGAATAATTATCAGTTGCAGCCCTAAATGTCATGATGTGTTCAGGGTCCCGGAGATTGGGCCGTCTTTTAGAGCTGGAAAAACATACTTTGTTTTATCAAATTGGGACCAAACTTGTTTTATGATCATTTCTGATAAACATGATTATTTTCCAATCAAGTACATGTTTAGCCAATCAATACATCTATGATATTCCTTAATTAATCAGCGATCATTTCCGTTTAGCCAAAAATATAAACACTTTATACCTTTTTATTCAATTCCTTCTTCACTACAGGCGGAGGATTACAACCTTTTTCACAGCAGCCCTTTTGGAAAGTCGGTCAACTTCCTCCTTTCCTACTACGACTAATAAATGGAAATGTAATGGCAGGAAACCGCACTCAGTTGCTTTCATCAGAGAGTTCAAACTGCATATTTATTCAATTTGACACTAAAACAAACAGTTGAAATAGCGCCTGTACGATATTTTTCTTTTATTATGTTTTTGTTCTTCTTTTCTGTATCTTTATATCTTTTCTGTGTTCCTTTTACTACAGTGTTTTATACATTTAACTGTTTTTATTATGAGAAATAAAAACATTAAATAACATTCTAGCTGATGTTAGCAAAACGCTAGCTTAATTTACTAGTAGTCGAGGAACAGCTAACATTAGCTCATTTAAGATGTGACTATGTCACTTTAATCTGTTAATTATCAAAAAATTGGTTGTTTTTTTTCATCATACTGTAAAGCTTCCAATAAAAGCAGGGTCCCTAATAGATGCAGGTCTCTTTTAAAAGCCTGGTGTGGCTACATGTTTTAACAAATGAACACAGGTCTCCAATAGAGGCCTGGTCTGGATTTTATAGAAATTATCTCGATGTATAAAACCTCTTAAAACCCACCAGGGTCGCCTGATTGAGAGAGGTTTACCTCATTTCAATCTCCTACACAAATATAAATGTTTAAACTTTTGTCAATATGAACATAATGAACATCATTAGATCAGTTATAGATTCTCCACAATTCATTCATTCACTATATTTTACGAAAACTATCAACACCAAAGTTTAACGTTAATTCATTCTGACTTACCGGTAAACAAGAGAGACAGAAAAAAACCTCTGAAGCATCATAATCATCATGTTAGTTGTCAAATTTGCAGAACAAACCTCGAGAGAAGCTGCAGTTAGAGTTTAGTTTAGTTTTGTGCTAAAGGAATTAAAGGCCTGTCCCAAATAGAGGCCTGTCCCCAATAAAGGCCTGTCCCCAATAAAGGCAGGGGGAGTTCGGTGACTTAAGCAAATAAACGCCCGGGCTATTATTAGAAGTTTTACAGTAGATGAGTCTAGCAGATTTGCGGCCAACAGATTTTCGGTTTTAAATGAGAAAACCAGAATCGGGACAACAAGTTGTCTCCTGACCGTTTATAAATCAGGTTTTTTTTTAATTTTTTGTTCCTGTTTAGAAATGGTTGTCGGTAAATGGCTTGCTCGTTCAATCGATCAATCGTTTGCTAGTTTAATCTGATAGCTATCTTAGAAAAATTCTAGCAAACTACGGATGTAGATTAGTTAGCCAATGTTTTGTTACTTTTATCCATTAACCTTCTTAAAAAATGTGTTGTTTTTTCAACATACATGAAGAAGCTAAGAAGATAAATATAATAATAAAAACTTGCAGGTTAATTGAATTTATTGATGAATCAACATTTAAAATCAAATAAAAACTTAAAGAAACAATTTACAGAACACACTTGGAGGTTTTTATTGAGTGTTCAAACAAAACATTTAGCGACATTTCATGTAAAGAAAGGGTTTCAGTCAGTTAACGACTTGAATGCTAATTTATTTTCCGATTTTTATTTATAATATAAATACAACACATTGATACAGTCCATTTGGCTATATGAGCTCATCTTTTTAGGAAGCTCGGTTTTTCAAATACAGCAACACTAACAGACAAAAAACCATTTTCCTTTATTATGAAACACATTCAAAGAAACCTTCCCTTTTTGAGTTAAAATGCACCAACATGTTATGATGCTACATGCCAAGTACACGATCCTATACATCAAAGTGCAATGTCACAATGGGTTAATGCTAAGAATTTATAATTCAGTTAATCTACTAAAACACTTTTTATGATTATTTCATTCAGAGTGCTGCTGCTCTTCGTTCAGGACATGCGTGAGTGGATTCACAACTTCCCCCCAAAAAAAGACAAGGGTTTAAAAAAAAGGCACTTTCACATACACACACACACACACACACACACACACACACACACACACACACACACAAACAACACAGATGTGCACCCATCTCTCAGCAACACACACACACACACACACACACACACACACACACACACACTCACTCACTCATCAGTTACCAGCCCTGGTTGGAGGCCACATTCAGTGTGCTGTTCAAGTGTTTGTTTTTTTAATGGTTTTTTTGGGCGTTTTACACACAGAGCCCCACCCTGTTAGCTTATTGTGAATTTAAGGTTAACTAGTGACTTCAGTGACTTCACAAGCAGGTAAACCATCATCCTGACACACACACACACACACACACACACACACACACACACACAACACAGAAAGTGGCATGCTTTTTTTTTTGCACTCGTTTTTCCCCAACTTGCACTTGGCGTGTTCTGGCACTCAAGGCAGGCATGAATTATCTATCATCTATCACTATTCTAGTGCTTCTGCACTTTACAAGGGAGCAGAACAAGGGCAGGCAAGCAGGACACACACACACACACACACACACACACACTTGTCTCGCACACACACACACACACACACACACAAACAAGAACAAAATCATACACCCCCCCAGCAACCAACCTCCCTCCCCGATCTCCCCGTCCCAGAAAAAGTTCTGTCCAAGCTCCCTCCTCCACTCAACCAAACACAAGGAAAGGCTGTTTTTAAAGAGTTTAGCGAGTCGCCGCAGCAGCTCACTGAACATTCAATAGATGGCTGAACAGTCGTCTTCTTTAAATGTTTATTATTATTTTTTTTTTCTTTTAAATACTGGAAACATTCATTAAATAGCTCGGACGTTAAGGTTAAATAATGCGGTGTCACCCGACGACCTCAGGAGGCGTTTCGTGGTTTGAGGTGTTAAGTGAGCTTTAGCAGCTGAACCCTGGAGTGGAAAAATAAAAAAATAAAGTCACACAGGACGTTGTCGAAAACCATCCGTTTCACTCTTCCTCTTCCTCGTTAAACGCAGTCTCAAGATACAGCAGCCGATCGGGGATAAAGTCTTTTTAAGGAAAACAGCAGCCTTTTTTTTTGGTGATAGGCTCCTCAGCTAGCTAGCACGGGGCCCATCGTCATGACAGTACAGCCAACATTCACGTCACTTAAAAACTACATTTTACCGGAGCCCCCGAAACTACACTCTCCCCCCTCCCCCACCCCCACCCCCCCCGCCTCGTCTTCCTCTCGCTCTCTAGCTCTTCCTCTCTGGCTATGATCTCATATACAGGATTGCTCTGCCTCTATACGCTGTGTCTCTTTTATCAGCAGTTCTTTTTAGCTAACCTTTGATAAATGCTTCAATACATGGAGAAAGTAAACTCCTACACACCAAGAAGAGTACACACCAACCTGACAACACATAAATATCATGGCATATCATATCATAGGTCATGTCATATATTATAGTTTATTACTACATTTAAACCTTTGTTCTCTTTCCTACCGTTTCTACCCTCATATGTTGATTATAAACATTAAGCAGTACCCTGATCTCCTCTTCTGGCCCATTTTTGGCCCGGGTCGGCCTGATTTGGCCTTTTAAAATCGGCCTGGTTTGGCTCACATGGTGCAGGATTTGTCCAGCGGTGGGGGCAGAGGCGGGGTGCTGCTCTTGGGTGGGACCATAGGTTTTGGTCTAAGGGCCGGGGGCCGCAGCGGAGCCCCGATGCGGGCGGCTGCCACGGGTTTGAAGGAGCCCAGGGTGTCGGGGGAAGGGTTGGCCGGTCTTGGAGGTCCGGGCGGAGGTCCGGGGAGCGGGCTTAGGGGGCTCAGAGGGCTTAGGGGGCTCGGGGTGCCGGGTGTCCCGGGAGTCCCGGGGGTGCCGGGGGTTCCCGGTGTGCTGGGGGTGCTGTGGGGGCTGGGAGACTCGGAGGAGCAGGCGGTCATGGGCCCGTTCTTCACCTGCTCCAGAGTGTCCAGCACCACGTCGGGAGCCGGCCGGCAGCCCTGCCGCTCCAGCTGCCGCAACTCCCCCAGAGCCACAGTCACCGTCTCCTCGATGTCCTGCAGGAGGACGACAGAGGAGGCCATGAAGACTTTTTTGGCCACTTGGGGGCAGCAGAAACAAGTTGTGAACACTGACATAAAATCTCCTTTTAATGTTGAAATGACAAACTAAACAATAATTTGGCGTCGTGTAAGTCCAATATTCGCTCTCTTTTAGCTCTGTTTTGGTCTCTTTAGCTGCTAAATGCTCCACTATATTCACCAGCTCGTCTCTAACTGTCTGCGGTCTGCAGGCGGTGTACTGTGAGTACTTACAGCTTTTTCTCTGAGAGCGAACCAGGACAGTAAAGTTGCGGTCAGACAAACTAAAACTCACTATAAAGCTCCGTAAAGCCGAGAGGAGCTGCATGTTCATCACTGCGAGAGCTGATTATACACACTGTTCCTTTAATCCAGTAATTATTGATTAATGCAGCTTTAATCAATGCCGTCTATGTAAGCTGGTGTGTGTGTACCTGTGCCAGTGTGTCGGGGTCCAGCGCTCTGGAGCGATGGGAGTCACTGAAGCCGTGTTGCCCGCTGCTCGAGCGCCGGATGGGCGTGTCCTCCGGCCTCCGCAGCGAATCATGCCGGCTCACCGTCATGGTCACGGCGGCGGCAGAACGGCGGCGCCTCTCCGGACTATCCAGGGGCGGGGTCAAACCCTGACCTCGTCCCAGCAGCAGCTCTCGAGGGCTGAAGTGACCCGTCACCGGTGGAGAGCTTCGCTCCATCACCCCTCCGTTACCGTGGCAGTGGCTGTCGTTAGAGCGGCCGAGGGGGCGACGGAATAAACCGTCGGTCCGCTTCCTCCTGTGACTGCAAACAGGAAGTAGAAACGTTATTAGTTCAGTAACAGGAACTCACTAATGAATGAGGGATGATGATAAAGTAGAGGATGATTTAGAAGATATTCTGTATAATAATACTGTACTACTACTGCAGGACCTTTACTTGTAATGTGTGTTATATTAGTACTGAAGTAAAGGCTCTGAATACTTCTTCCACCATTGTTGGACACACGTATCTCTCCATCAGCTCTCTGGAAGGTTAATGTAAGGGATACTATGAATCCAACAAAGCTCTAACAAAAACACACAAGGCTGCACAGGATGAAGTTACCTGCACAGAAGTTAAGTAATGTACAGCGTGTTATATTTAGAATATTTATACCGCTTCACCCTGACGTCAGACGGCCCTCTCCAACAGGAAACTGAAGCCTTGTATTGCTCTCTTCAACACCACCAGACTCTCTTGACAAAAACAGTCGTTTTAACCTCACAGAACACGGAGGTTGCTGCTCTGCCGCTGTCTCTACCTGAAGCAACTATTACTAGATTAGATCCAAACTAACGTGTTAAAACACCAAAACTGCACAGTAACACAAACTAACCAACCGATCGAGGCAGTGGTAGAGCAGCATTCACCCGTGTTCTGCGAGGTTAAACGACTGTTTTTGTCAAAGGAGTCTGGTGGCTTTGAGGAGAGCATAGATGGATATAAACGCCTCAGTTTCCTGTCAGAAAGGGCTTCATTTATCCTTTATTTACAGAGGAAACACACAAACAACTGTAATCTGTTTACTAGCTGCCTCATAAGAGTTTTAGCTTCTGTATCCTGACAACCCTGAGCACACTACACTTGGATTTCCACCTCAGATATTTGGTGGGACGTGTAATTGTTAGGAATGACTGTGAATGAAAGCGAGAAGTATCTGCAGACAGACAGGAGGGTGGAGGGAGAGCGAGTCACATGAGAAACAGCTGCGATGACAGCATGATGAGATTCACAGGTATTTTTAGAGGCGAGAGAACAAGCTGAATAAAAAGATCCTTTCCCCTCTCGTGATAATGGAAGGTGTCTTACATGACAGACCTGTTATAGGTCTCTGGTGGTCTGATGTCAGTGGGGGAGCTCAGTTCGCTCCTGGACCTCTTGTCGTCGGTGCTGCTGCTCCCGCCGTCGCTGTCCGCCTTCTGACTGAGCGTGTCGGACATGGCGTCGGCCCTACACGCGCCGACAGACACCAACAGACCCTCGATCAGGACAAATCACTCTACAGACGGGGGGAGAGCTGAGCCATCGCAACACACCAATTGTCAATTAGCCGATCAATAGCATGTGGTTAGTGACTCCCTCAGTCCAATAAGTCAGTTAATCAACAAGGTGTGCGATCCAGTGAGCGACAAATCCCCCAGAATCCATCACTCGCAGCTCATCAGTGAATAAAACAGACCACCAACAAGAACTTTAGTGTGCGGCTGAGTAGTTTTTAATGGTTATATCATTAAAAAAAGGTCCTTTTAAAAGCTTTAAATCTGTTCAGAATTTACAATTATTAGTTTTTAATGACCAGAAACCAATTAACTACACTTTATATACATATTAAATGAGTCTTTACATTGTACTCACACACTGTGCACCCAAAGAAGAATGGATTAATTCATATTATTTCATTATTCTAGATTTAAGAACTACAGATTGTACAGAAAACTGACCTCTGAAACTTATCTTTTTCCAACCATTAAACTGCCCCACCATGGCTCATCAGGTGAAAACTAATATAAACACCTACATGGTATTTTAACGTAATAATAATTCAATTTAATTTAATACCTACAGTAAATTTACAGTAAATTAAAGACAATTTATGGCCTAAATTTCATTGACTTTATTTTGAAGGAGCCACAGGAACCTTGACATTTACACAGTGTGTGTGTGTACAATGTAAATATTGATTAAATATAATTGTTGGTAATAATGGAGCTCTGTGGCACAGAGGAATGAGATATATCTATACTGAGTTAATAGGATACGTTCATTGTTGGTTTTTGGACTTAAAAGTAGTAAAAGGTAGAATATCCTAAAACTTTAATCTCAACGGACATTAAAGGGACACAATCGATTAAAGGCGACCATCCGGAGCCGTGCACTCGCCTGTCTTTCACCACGATGTACTGGTGAGGCACCAGGCCGTGGTTGCCGTTGTGCCGCCCCTCCCACCAGTCATGCGACGCGCGCTGGAAGAGCTGCAGGGACGCTCCCTTCTTGAAGGAGAGCTCGCGGCCCGACCGGCCCACGTAGTCGAACCTCGCCACCGCCTCCACAGCCTCACCCTCTGCCAGAGAGAGAGAGGGGGAGAGAGGAGGGAGGGGGAGATGATAGATAAGAGCGAGACGTGGAAATAGAGGTGAAACTGAACTTGTCAATCAGCTGTCTCTGCGGCTTTGTTCCTCCCACAGCTCGACCAATCAGACAGGAGCATTTAAAAAAAACAAAACAGAAACATTAAGGGCTTAAGTCTTTTCTGTTCATTCAGATAGAGAGAGAGGATGGAGGAGGGAGGAGGGAGGGGGGCGGGTGGGGTGTGGAGAAGGGAGGGAGGGACAGTGGAGGGTGAGATGTCTCCATGGCTGCGGTTGCCGTAGCAACCCCTCTCCAGCAGGACACGGAGAGAGAGAGAGAGAGAGAGAGAGAGAGAGAGGATGCGATGAGTGTGGGCGATTGTGTGAAGGTCAGGGGTCACGCGTACCCTCGTCGCTGGTCTGGGTTTCGGTGCCGCCGTCGGGCTCGGCCTCCTCCAGCGCTCCCGGCTCGCTGAACGGGCTCTCGCTGCAGGAGGGGGGAGAAGGAGACAGAGGGGGGGAGAGAGAGAGAGAGAGAGAGAGAGGTGTCAGAGAGACGAGCTGTCCGTTCAGACTCGGGAACAAAAGGGAAGAAGGACGCGTTGCACAGATGGAGGAAAGGCTGCTAATCAGAGTCTGGGGATGTTTATGCAACAGTGCAGCTACAGCAGAATGTCAAGAGTTTGGTTTGTGAGAGGAAGACTGAAGGGAGGGAGGGAGGGAGGGAGGGTTGGTTTTAATACCAAAAAAACCCCACCCTACAATTCCCATAATGCTTTGGGGGGGATGTGAACAGGAAGTGTGATATTGCCACAGATCGTGTCTCCTCACTCCTCTTAGCTCCTCCTGAGTTATCCTTTATATTCTACACACTATACTTATATTCTATTCTATTATGTGCAGGTTTATATACACAACACTACAAAGTAAGGGTGAATAAGTCAGAATAAACATAATAAAATAGCGTTCTACAGTATTTTTACACCACGCCACTTTATAAAAGTCTTCCACGTAGGATACGCCGGTGTTTCCTCGCTATAAGTTCCCTCAGAAGCCTCCTCTCTCCTCGTTTCCTCGTTTCCTCAAGGTGCATTTAAGGAATTCAGTCCTCCGTGATGGCAAATTAAAAGTAAGCCGAATTAGCTGTTAGCTGCTCCTGTTTGCAGTGTATCCACAGACGTACAGACAACTATCACCGGATTACTTTAATACTGACCAAAACCTAAAAATGTGATTATTCTAAGGCAAGTTCTGTAGTGTCTTTTTTCCTATGATTTCTAAGTGGATTTATGGACTTTTATTTTGGTGTAAATCACATTTAATGATTGAATAATTAGTGATTAATGATGATGAATATGAATGAGAGGTTTTACATGCTGATCTCACCAGTACTGGTCTCCAGTCATACACTTCTCATAAACCGGCCCGGGCAGCTCCTTCGTGTCTGGGAAGATGTTGTCGTGGTTCAGGATGACCGTTTTGACGACCTCATTCACGTGCGCCTGACAGGCGACCTGGTCCAGGGTGTCCGGTGTGGGCAGGAGGGTGGGGCCGAATACAATGGCCAGGTTCCCAGCATCCATCATGTTCTCATCGCTGTACTGGGAAAGGCTGCGGGGAAAAGGGGGAACAGTGAGAGAGTGCTGAAACATTTGGCAGGATTACTTGTTTTTCTTGCTTTTATTTTGAAAAGCACATCCTTATATCGTTATCCTTACTTTGGATGAACATTTTGGTCTACATCGGCTCTCTTCGCACCAAAATATCCAATAATAATCTATTTATTCTGTAATTTCCTCTCTATTTAGTAGCTTTCATGCACAAGGGATTCACAGGAAACGATGCACGCTCATTGATATCAGCCTCACTGTTTACTGTTTATGTTCCTAGAGATTAAGCTACTGCTAACGCTAACATTCATTACTGCTTCACATTAAAAGCATCCAACTCACAAAACATATTTTAGTTTCTTTGGCTAACTGCGATCATTCATCACAAAAAGTGTGTCTACAAACCGAGACACGGTCAGGGAATCACTGGCAGATTAATCGAGATAAAAATAATTGTCGTATCTGTGCTAAAAGGATGAGGTGCTATAATTTTACTGTTAAGTACAGAAGCAGATATTTATCTCAGAATATTGGCAGAAATCTGAGGAACCCTTTTTAAGGATGTCTGGAAAGACTGACTGACTTTTTTCTTATTATAAATCAAGTAAAATAAAGTTTATTTATACATTTAAAACAACCAAGTGCTGTACAAATTAGTCAAGAATGTTTTTTTAATGTACAAAATGTTCAATTAAGTTAGTTTAAGAGTTAGTTTGGCACTGTAAGATTTTAATATCTTACACTGTTAAACTAACTCTTAATCTGAGTCAAATTTGGACTAATAAAAAGATTAAAATGTATAAATAGACCAGATAAAAACAGATAAACAATAATAAAATACAAACATATAGACAAATTAATGAATAAATCTATTAAAAGCCAGACCATCAGGTCCTCAGGAAGGCTGTTTAAGAGACGTGAGCTTCCATATTTGGACCTGGAAGTGAAAAATTGATGGAAACAAAATATTTTCACTCTCATTGACAGCTGAAGCTCCTGGTTCAATAAAGCCGAACACACTTCATAGGTCCTGCTAACAAAACGCTGGTGGATCGCACTCACTTCCCCTCCTCTCTCCATCCCCTCGCCGTGCTCTCTCATGCTATATTTATTTGAGAGGCTGCAGAGATGAAATGAGCTCTGTTTTATCATCTCCACACGCTTTTAAGTGTGCACTTCACTACGAGAGAGGTTTATCCTCAGCGTTTGGACCCACGTGGGATGAAAAGCGGGGGGGTGAGCAACTCTGGGTAAACTGGAAAGAAATGGTCGATTATCATTAACCGTTAAGGGATGAGTGGATACTCACTGGTTGAGGAAGGCGAACAGGTAGCGCATCACCACCAGCGTCGCCCTCGGGACGCCCAGCAGGATCTTACGGATGCACTGCGCTCTCTCGTACATGTTCTCGATTCCTGTGGCGAGAAAAAAAACACATCGTCAGGCCGGGGAAAGAGAAGCAGACGGCTTAAGTGTCTTCGATGTGTTTCAGAAAGACACAGAGACACTAAAGAGGAACAAAGACAACGTAACGGAGAGGGGGAAATGAGTGTGTGGGCTGAAGGTAGACACAGATTAAGTCTTTATTTCCACATTAGAGAAAGAGAAACGTTTGTGAGTGCTACGGTAAGTGATAAGGTGATTTTTTTTTTTCCAATTATTCCCCTTCACCACCTCCTCCTTCGAGGGCCAGTTTGTAACCGGTGTCTAATCTCGAACCAGTTCTTCCACAACCAAAGAACACTTCACTCTCTCTCTGTAACACTAGTAATTAACTGTGTAGCTGGACTAGTCAGACGTGGGCTTTATTGCACCTGTAATGTTGCCAAGTAATACTTGACGTACTCCAAACTGCCCGATACATAGTTGGAGTTTCGCCCACATTCATCCAACCAGAGTACAAGCACCTTGTTGCACATCAGCAGTAAACAGACAGCGGTACTCACGGACGCAGGAGATGAGGTCATTAAACCTTTCCTTTGGAAACAGCGGGTTCTCCAAACCCCTGAAGTAGAGCTTCAACACTCCGGCCACGGAGTTGATGTCGTGGTTGCTCTCCTCGTCAATCAGTGGGTCGTTACCTGGAAGACAGACGCAACGGGTTCAACCACATCCTTACCCGCATGAATCTGTGAGAAATGTGACCTTCTCACCTCTTTCGAAGGAGTTCTTGATGTCGTTGACCTCCACCTGTGACCCTGACACCCGGAATATGCCTTGATGCTGAAGACCTGTTAAAGACAGAAGGGTGTTATCAACTGTAGTGTTGTGTTAGCATGGAGCTACGACTGTATCAGTAAGTCATTGTAACCTCTTTCTGGGCTGATTCCAGTCAGATTTCAGGATGCACTGCAGTACAGCTCACCTGGTCACAAGATATCTCGTGTTCCAGATAAATAGTTCACTAAATCTGTTTGTGAACAGATTTGAGGAGAGAAATAATCAACGTAGTAACAGAATCTGGATCCATATCTGATCAGCACTGCCTAGTTTGACAGTTTGATCTGAGTTTGGTGCGTTGAGCTGGGTGGACTCACTGAGAATGAGCTGTCAATCACAAGGTAGCCCCGCCCCTAAAGCATACCCTTCTTTATGGTCTGTTTTACTCTAAATGGGACCATCAGTTACTAAATGAACATCATGCTGTATGGAAGAAGACTGAAACTAGAGACTGAAACCATAAACTCATCAGGAAACTGTTTACTGAGCTCATAAATCAACTGAGAAGTCAACTCATTTCTCCATAAGACTGAATGGTAATGGAGCTGCCCCTTGCTGGCCATTAGAAAGAATGCAGGTTTAAGACACTTCACAGATCCGGAAGCTCTGTCCACTAATTATATACTGCCAATGTGTTGAAACTCACCATGTAGGTTGATGTAGCGGATGCAGCTCTCCACAAGCAAGGGTATGGCTTTGGTTGAATCCTATAAACACAGTCATCGAGTACACGATCAGGGTCGGTCACATAATCGACTCCTGGTTCTGATTCTTGTCACATTATTTGAGTCACACTGTCACAGATAATCATTTGTCATAAATAACAAGGGATTTTGTGATCCTTTTTGGTAATAAAGGTTAAATAAAGACAGATAAACTCTATCTCGGCCTGCACAAAGTGAATCTATTCTATAGTTCTATATTTTTATTAACGTTATTAATAAATCCACAAAAAGACAAAAATCATCAACGTCTTAATCCGTCTCTCAATATTTTTTGGACTTCCCAAGCACTGCTGAACATGTAAATCTTATAAAACAGCTCACAAATATATAGTTTAATTCTCAAAAACTGCTTTTTAATCTCCTAAAATACTGTAGTTGCAAATATTACTCAAGCAGGAGGAAATGGAGCATTTGTTGGGGACTATTTTCAGTGGCGGATTAATCCACATTTGGTGCTCTTTGGTGAGTATTTGGGGCAGCAGTGTTTCAAGAATTACAACTGAGTATCAGAGCATCACGCATATGTAGCCTGACAGGCGAAACCCAGGGCTAATTAAGTCTGTAAATCACTCACTGTTGCTTGTTAAGCTTATTGCTGAGGGTTGATGGGAGGTGTGAGGGGGGTATAATAGGATTTTAGGACCCCCCCCCCCTGTATCCCCAGTGGGGTTTTTTTAACGTCCCTTTACCGTCAGATATTACCACAAACACACAGAGGAACAACCTGAAGCCTCATAGAAGTGAAACTCTACCTGATGCTTGCTATGGGAGTTCTTCCGCCCACGACTGTAATGAGCAGAAAAGAGAGAAAGAGAGTAAGAGAAAAAACCCGAAGTGGTGGGATGGGAAATAACACTCATTATTAAACGTGAAGAGAAAATATGCACTGTGACAGGAAATAATACCTGGTAGTCAGTAGTTCAGATTTATACCCTGTAAGAGTAAAAAAACAGACGAGAAATTATGATTACCGAGTGCGTTATGACATATAAAAGACAGAAAGACAAAGTGAGAGAGAGTTTGTGGAGGTCTTACCCTCTGCTAAGGCTTTCTTCAATATGTCGTGTTTGGCCTGCAGTTTGGAAATTAGATTACTTCCCTCCAGATACTCGCGGAATTTCTGCGGATTAAAAAACACAAAATATAAGTTCCATCCAGAATAGATTTTACTTTTTTAAAGCATTTTAGTGACTTAAGAAAATATTTACAGCATGAAATTAACTGTAAACATGAGTCAAAGCCGTAAAATACACATTAATTCAACACTAGCTTCCAAAAGAACCAATAAAACAGTGAAATTAGCCACTCTTGTGAAGAAATAAAGTATTAAATTAGGTCTAATATTTGTGGTCGAGAGTGGCGCTACGATGGCAGGTGGCGAGTGGTCAACTGTAAGATGTTCATGGCAGGATAACCTGCTCTTTAAACATTTAATATGCAACATTTCTGATTTAAAATGTAAAAAAACGACGAATAAAACGTTAATATTACCGCGTCCGAGTCACATCAGATAGATTTTTATAGCAAATTGTTTAACAGTGAAAACGATGACTCCCATGAGCCCACGCTACTTCTGTTCATTCCGAATTTACATGTTTAAATTGATAGTTTCTGTCAAAGTCTGAGGTTTCTCTCACATTGAAGTAGAAGAGCTCCGTCTCCTGCTGGTTGGCCCGTCTCTTGGCCAGACTCGGCTTGTTCAAGTAGCCGTCCGACACGCTGGACTTGACCGACTCGGAGGACGGGCTGTGGGTGAAGCTCTGGGAGACGTCGTAGTCGTCCAGCACCGTCATGTCCTGCAGGGTGTTCAGAGTCGCACCCCAGGTCTTCTTCACCTGGAGGAGGAGGGGGACGGAAAATAAGACATAAGCTGGCATCACAAAGCTGAAATATAGTGAATATGGGAGTTTAGGATGTTTCTACAGTAGCCCAGAAGGGACAAGCCGCATTTGAATCCATTTTTCTCACCTTAAAACATGAACTCAGGATTTGTGCTGCACACTATGTGGAAGCATGACTTTGTACGAGCACCTGACTGATTACAAGGCTTCACGGATCACGAGTCATGAATTACGATCTTATAATTGTCTTACGGTGTGGAGTCGTGTGTGTGTGCTTTATGTGTACGACGTATGCAAAGTGTGTTTGTATTTACAGCAAAGGATAATGGGCGTAAACGTGTTTTTTATTTGTACATGATAATCAGGGTGTGTGTGTGTGTGTGTGTTATTCAGAAGCTGCTGAGACGTGCAGATGCAGCTCATTAATCCCGACTCCTTCAGCATTTTTATGCCCTTCAGGGTGAGTTAACAGCTGCCCTCTGTGCTCACGACGCTCTCAGTCTGCTCCACAACAACAGCGGGGACGCCGCAGACTGCGGCACCGAGTCACTTTCAGATGGCACAAGTTTATTTTTAGGAAGGGGGCTACATCTGCTACATTATCACCCCATTAGAGCAGTATAAATTACCATAACTTTGTGTTGGGATTGTAACTGTCAGAAAAAAAACCAAAACATTTTAATTTGTAATCTTTTTTTTTTTTTTGGTCACTTCCAGGAACTGTCCCCCGATTGTGCCACAAAAATGGCGACCAGAGTGGATGACATTGACAGAGGTGTGCAGATGTTACAACAGCTCGACTGGAAACCACTGAGGGAGGGAATATGTCCCTTGTTTCTGATTGGTTAGGGCAGAGGTTAGGCCTTCTTGATTTTAGGGGCTGTAGGGAAACTACAGGCCTATATCGCAGCATTTTCTTTATTTCTGTGAAGAAATCTCAATGAAATTAGTTTAAAATTGAGATTATTATCTAAAGATCTGAACTTGAACAAGCGCTGTATCCACAGAGCTTTCACTCACTGATAAAAAGCGTTAGAAAAGTTAAAAAAAAGAACCAAAGAGTTCATGGAAAAATGAGGAGAAAACGCTGAATTTGTCCACAAAAGAAGCCTAATAATTGCGTAAACAACATAATGCAGACCGAGGAAAGGGAAAACTCATCTTTGGTGCAATATTAACAGGAAATAATCTGCACAAAATTCCTCCAAATCGCTGCTTTTACATAAACTCACTCAGTCAGTTAACACAATAGTAGGAAACACAAGCAACTACAGCAGCTGGGAAGGCCATTCTTTGTGCTCTTTTTATATTTTCTCTTTTCGGAGCCTGATGGAATCAGTTTAAATACATGGTTAATACTATAAAATACACGTAAGGAGCCTCGAGTGAATAATGTCAGCCGGAAGCTCCTTTTTCTTTATACAGGTGCCATGTTGTGGTTTCAGAAGTCTGGTTTAGAGGCAGGCATTTTAGATTTTGTGGATTTCATGTTGTTTTTAGTTGTTTTCTTATGTTAAATGTCTTGTTGTTTCTTCGCTGTGCAGTGGAACGGTCAGAGATAATGAATATTATGTTGTTTGAGAGTCGAACTTTTTGAATCTCATGTCAAATTTTAGAGCTATTTTTTGCCATTTCCAGTCCTTCTAGTTCAACAAATTCCTCCTAGGAGGTGGATCAGAACCACTTTAAATTTGGTGAGTGCACTTTAAAGACCTACACGATTAAAAGCGATCAAAATCTAAACATTTCATCAAAGGGCGTGTCCGTGGCGTGGCGTGGCATCAAAAATCAAGTTTTAAGAAGCCCCGGCAGTACATTCAATGTAGGGTCACAAAAATCAGGGGGCACGTGTATCACGTCAGGACGTACAATGTTCAGTCACAATAATATCAACCTCTATCAACATCTAATTTATGTGCAACATGTGGTGTATCGATAGCGAATTACGTGCCCGCTGCAGACCCAGAGTGCTCGGGCTCGTTAACCGCCGCTTTCAGCTTTAATCACTGCAGCAGATTTTAATATTGTTTTGGTTTGTGTCGTGTATTTGTGTTTGTGTCTGACCTCTTCGTTCTCTATCTTCAGGGACGCCAGGCGGGTCTGGAGCTGCGTGAGGCGGAGGTTGAGCTCAGCTTGGACCTGTGGCTGGGAGGCAATCTGGGTCACCTGACAGGAAGTGTGGAACAAGAAGAAGTCACACCATCACCAAAACCCGAGCTGTAAAACATCTCTCTAATTTAAAACCTGACCTCCCAGATGTGTTTGCAAACACATCTGTTTGGTGCGATGTACTGACTGCGTCGCCCATGTGGGCCTGGAAGCCGAAGCGCTGCGGGGGGCAGAAGGCAGTGGGGTAGAGGCCCAGCAGACGCTGCCTGTCGCGGGCGGGGTCCAGGCCCTCCACGGCGCCCTCCAGCACCTCCAGACCCGCCCTCCTGGAGGCTTCAAGGCTCAGTTCGGCTGATAGGTAGGTCCTCAGAGCCCGGCTCAGACTGGAGTGGTACCCTAGGTCACAGCACTGAGACAAAGAGGGGGAGGATGTAACAATCATATAGGTTTATATTATGGCCACCAACCATGATTTGTCTGTCGGTTTGGTGGCAAAATACTACATTTCCCATGAGGCTCTCCTGCTGTTGCTAAAGAAAAGAGTGTTAGTGAACATAAAATGCTTCCTCGTCGAATTTCTGATCAAACATGGCGCCGCAGTCGCTGATTTGATCCGACGCTGTAATCTTTAAGATCAAAGAGAGGACGTTTCCTGCCGAAATGCACCCTGGGAGTTGTAGTTAACTTCTTCCTCCATGTTTTTATGCACCAGAAGCTTTTCTAACTCAGTTGTTAATCTTTTGCACTGATGATTTAATGAGGAAAGTTGCATTATTTTGGAAAAATTAAACTGGGACTACAGGAAAGAGACCCTGGCTATCATTGTTGAACTCAAATACAAAACCACAACTTCCTCCAGACACTCTTTATACAAACGTATACTCACGTCTATGATGTCGGGCAGGTCGTGGATGTAGTATTTAAACACGGAGGCGTTTGTGGCCTCCAGAGTCAACAGATACTCGTTCCTGGCTTTAAGAGTCTTCAGTTTGTTCTCTGAGTACTTTGCCTTCCTCTAATGGAGAAAGAAACAGACGTGAAAAGATGAAAATATCCATATAAACGCTGTGTTTACAGTGTCAATAAAAGAAAATTAGATGTTTAACCTGTATCATGAATAATATTATAAAAGCTAGAGTCGTCTTTGAGCAATTAACACATTTTAATTATCCATCCGTGGTGTTATTTCCCTGTGCGTCAGGTAGAAACTGTTTTTATGAGATATATTTCCACCTTTTTTAAATAATGTAGCTAAAATTAATCTAATAAACTCAAGTTCTGACCTTAAAACTGCCATAAATCAAATGGTAATTGTAGAAAATTATACAAATATGACTAAAAAGTAATAAATAAGTTTAAAAAAAGCTTTTGGGTAAATAACCCAACAGTAATATGAAAAAGAAGATTAAAGCTCCATTCGGACAGAAGTTAAAGGAGCAAGACCTCATAAAAGCTCCTCAAATGGGCTGTTGTAATGTCAGCTATACAAGTGGGGACTGGCATTCTCTAGTTTTAAGCCATATTCTTACTTTTTGGGCAAATTGTCGGCATTAAAAGTAAGCCGAATTAGCTGTTAGCAGCTCCTGTTTGCAGTGTATCCAGGGATGTACAAACAACTATCACCGGATTACTTTGATATTGAAGAAAACGTTAAAATGTGATTTTTCTAAGGCAAGTTCTGAAACGTCTTTTTTCAATGATTTCTAAGTGGATTCATGGACTTTTATTTTGGTGGGAATCACAGATGATGATATCCTCTGGAACTGTAAGTCACTATGAATGATATCAATACATGTGTGTTAAGATTTGACTGAGTTATGGTGCCGAGAAGGAGTTCGATTTCTGCCTCAAATTCACCTCATACAGTCTCTTTGTTAATTTTTACAGATTTTTAGTGTGTGACAGGTGACGCCTGAGAATAAAGGACATTACACTTCTCTAAAACATGTTTTCCTCAAGTTAAAAAATAATTGGGATGCACCCCGTACCTTCTCCCTCATCTTCTCCATCTTGCGGGCGGCGTTGCGCCTCTGGTGGCGCTCTTCTATCCGCAGGCCGAACACGGGCTCCACCCCTCCGCCCGTCCCCGAGACGCCCTTCACGCGTCCCTCCTGGCGCTCCGCCTCCCGCAGCTTCGTCTCCGCGCTGATCGTCTCCACGTGGTACATGTGATACGTCTTCATCACCTAGGTAACGCCGTAAAGAGCACCACACTCAAGGTTATCAAGGCACGCTCTAATCTGATTTCCAGTGTTTCTTTTAAGGCAGACATCAAATAAACCTTCACAGACAAATATCGGCTAATTTACAGAAAATAATGTCGGACAATAAACGACGTACGGCAGCGAGGACTTTTTAAAATATAACTTTTACTTTGATCCTGAGTTTGTTTGTTGATGCTTTAATGACATTTTAGCCTTTGAGTTGATGCTTTTACAGATATCAGAGTATTTTAAAGGTTTTAAGACCTTTTAAAGAGCAAATATAAGGAAGGTTTTTGTTGATTTCTCTCTGCAGGTCCGTATTTATGTGCATTAAGGTATAAAGAGAGTGTGATTTATCTAAAAGTTTCATATATATATAGTCACATCTTAAGTTAGTGTATGGAATAAAGGACCAAAGTGGGCTTTTTCAACATAACTATACACATATATAGTAGATACTTCGTTTTCAGACACACAGACGAGTATATTTAAGTACAGGAAAGGAGAAAGTTGACCGAGGCTTGCTCAACTGTTATTGGACGACTGCGTTGATAACAGCGCATTATGCTGCCCGTTGGGACGATACTGTAATTCTTGGATTCTCTAGTTCAGGGGGACGTTCCAGAGTAAATTTCCAACTGGGAACTCTGATATTCTGACTTCCCAGTTTCCCAAATGGACCCTCTACCTTTCAAATTCGGCTACACAAAGAGCACCAACAAACAATCGTCTCCACTAACGAACGCAGTTGGTTCAACTTACGGTGTAAAGCTCATTCAGGAGCTTCATGAGGTCTTCCTGAAGCTGAAAGATTATCTCCTTGCTCTAAAAGAAAAGAGAGAAGAGGAGAAATAATCATCAGAAAGCATTCAGAAAGTGCTGGAAATGGACATTTAATGGCACATTTACTCAAAACAAAGTACTTAAAGCTCAGTTTTTGGTCTCTCCGTCTGTCCATCAGATAAATAAAAGACCACAAACAAATGAATTCATAAAATAAAACCCGCTCTCAAACTGAGTTTCTGTCTCATGCATTAAACAGCGCCTCCATTTTCTTATTTTTTTCATTTTTTAAGTTATGTGGCAGCGCGGCGCCGCATTAATATTACATTACGCTAAATGACTGTGAAATCCCAGGATGGATGAATCCCGTTCCCATAGCGCCCCTGCTGAGAAAAGATCAGCTGAGAGCCTGTCGCCATGGCCACGGGGGCTGTCAGCGTTGTCATGGCCACCGAGCCTCTCTCTCTTCCTTCCTTCTTCTTCCCGGTGTCCCTCCTCAGATCGAGGGGGAGGCGGGGGGGAGAGGGGGAGAGAGAGGACGGCGTGATGGGATGTGATGGAGGTCTCACCGTTTATAGCTGCTGGCAGCCGCTGCACTTTAGTTAGCATGAATAAAAGACGAGCCGGAAAAGATTAATAATGGAGACGGCGAGCTAAAGTTGGAGGCGGTGAGGACGTGTGTGTGTGTGTGTGTGTGTGTGTGTGTGTGTGTGTGTGTGTGTGTGTGTGAGTGTGTGTGTGTGTGTGTGTGTGTGTGTGTGTGTGTGTGTGTGTTTAATTTTGCTAAACTCTGAGGAAGCCTAACAGACCTCCGGGGAATACTGACTTTACTTTTCATTAGAATCAACTCTTAAAGAAGCAGTTATAACGAGGTCTGTATTATGTATAATGTAGTATGACGACATTAAAGCATATATTAATACATTAATTATAACGATCAGACTACTTTTGATGGTACTTTTTTCTAATAATACTTCCATATGTTTACTTAAAGCAGACGTTTCCCTTTTTCTGTTATTGACTAAAGCAGCCAAAGCTTCAAGTAAGGGCGATATCTCAGCATTACATCCATTTACTGTGAATAAAACTCAATTAAATTGTTATTTTTTTTACACTTTTTACACAATTTTGAAGACCTGATCACAAGCTTGTTGTTATTATTTTATTTTGTGATTTGAAAATCAGGAAATACATGATAGAGACACGAATGTATTAAAAAAGTTCCTATAAAATATTAGGAAAAATGTCAAAATTCACCTTGTTTTACACAGATTGTGTCACTGAGTCAGGGGTTGTCGATAGAAAAGGTCGGGAATTGCTGGATTAAACAGCCAACTCCTCACTAAATTACATATCTTATGGATATATTTCATTATATTTAATGTGGAACAATAACTACAGATATGTAAGTCAGGAAGTTTGTGTAAAACGAGCAATTTAGATGATTTTAAAGCAGATTAAATCCTGTGAATATTGATCAGAGATGAGTTTAATGATGTTTTTGGGAACTTTTTATACAATTGTCTGTCTGTGTTATGTTTTTTTTATTTTTTTAATAATCAAACAGACTTAATAAGCTTCTTTTTTTGACAAATTCAGTGTTTTCTTTCTCTCTTATAGTTGTTCTTTCGCTTTTAGACTTTTTTTAGTACAAGTCAAGACGGTTTTGTTGAGTTTTATTTTGTTACTGTTGAGTTTGAATGAAGTCACGATGACATACGAGATAAAATTAGCATTTTTGTCTATGGGGCAAGTGAAAGGTTTATCTCTACAGGGTTCCTTTTTATAAGTTAGAATAACAATCTGAGCCTGTAAATGGGGAAAAACTAGCACATTATTGGACAATATTCGTCCTTTTTGTGAATATTTCCTCATCTAACTCGGATAATTAAGGATTTATTTCACCCAAACCAGTGTTGGAAAGACAGTTTTGGTGAGTTTCATCTGATCCCTGCAGCATGCTTATGTCCCAACGCTTTGCAATTACATTATTAATGATTTAAGACTTTTTTTAATTACACAATTTCTCCCGTGTGTGCAGCCAGTGTCCATGCTTCACTTCACCATCTATTACTGGTGACTGCGACAGATTTACAGCCAGACACGTGGGGCTTTAACTGGAACGTGTATAGATTTACAGTAAAAACTTTGGTTTTATAGGCAATAAAACGTAACAGAGGTCCCGCGATGTGCCGCGTCAGAGGCTTTTTACATGCTGAAGGTAAGTGCTAGGAGAGGGTGTCAAAAAGAGCCTAAAAACCTGCCCAATCATCATAAAAGTGGGTTTATTTTTGACGTCACCCATCGGTTTCACGTCGTTAAGCTTTAATATAATTTAAAACAGGTGAGTACAGTCGTCATGAACGGAGAAATTAGCTTTAAAGAGGCTTTAAACATGTTTATTTCTGCTGTAAAGTTAAGCTTTTTAATATGAGGCCTTATGGAGATTGACTCACTGCTGGAGCCAGCCTCTAGTGGACGTTTGAGGAACTGCAGGAACTTTAGCCACTTGAGTTATGTAAGAAAAATAAATAATAATAATTCTGTTTCATCAGCATAATTAAAAGGAAAACTGAAAACTACAGAGAATCTACACAAGAAATGATCAACTAAATTCAAAGTATTTTAGATAATGTTACATTAAATGTTGTTGTAGTCCATCTCTTAATACCGTCTGACTTCCTGTCTGTGGCTCCGAAGCCCATCAGTTCCTACTGAACATGTTAATCTTTACAAAACACCTCAAAAATACAATTAAATATAATTTTTGCATTTGTTTTGGGGACTATTTTCAGCGGCGCATGAATCCATATTTGGTGCTCCGGTGAGTATTTGGGTCAGGAGGACGGTGAATGCGACAGTAACAGTGTGGCTTATTGATGTGTTTGTGGAGAACAATGGAGCGGCACAGAGGAAGAAGATAAATGTGCTCACCCTCTTCAGCAGGCGGGCAGAGTCCTCGCTGATGTGCGTGAGGCGGCTGATGACGTTGTTCAGGTAGAGGTCGCTGATGGTGGCGTGATCCTTACTCTCCCTCCTCACCTGGAAGAGAGAGAGAGAGAGAGAGAGAGAGAGAGAGAGAGAGAGAGAGAGAGAGAGAGAGAGAGAGAGAGAGAGGATGTAGGAATATCTCTGATGTTTTTCACATTTCTTCTTATATAAAAAGGGTCTCGAGCAAACGTGGCAACCGACCTGGTTTAACAGCAGGTACCAGCAGTTCACCGGAGAGAGCAGGTTCTGATCCTTTCTGGAGGAGACAGAGAGGAGATTCTTTAAATTAAGAGAGAAAACATCCAGCCAGAGTTTGGTTTGTCCGTTCTGGGCTACTGTAGAAACACGGTGGACTCGCTCTGTAGATAAAAACGTCTCATTCTAAAGTAACAAAAGATTCTTATTTCCAGGTGATTAGACACTAACGGATGTGTAAATGGGCAACTAGAGCTTCAACGATTAGTCACTTAATTAATCGTGATTATTTTCTGGTTTCTTTGGTCCTTTGTGACAGCAAACTGAATATCTTTCTGTTGTTGGGAAACAGCGATCAACATTTTTCACCATTTTCTGACATTTTATGGAACAAACGACTTAATCATTTTAATTAAGTCGTTTGTTAACACATTCACAATATAAACTGTTATTGTTTCCTTAAGCAGGCAAAAAAATATCAATAATGCTGCTTTAAAGGACCAGTGTGTAGGATTTAGTGGCATCTAGTGGTGAAGTTGTAGACTGCAACTAACTGAACACTGCTCGCGTCCTTCTGTAAAAACAGCTCATTTTAAGGTACCGAAAACACTCTGATTCTTATTTTCAGGTGATTATACACTAATGAAAACATACCTATGAACATTATATTACAGTTCTGCCAATAGATCCTCCTGAATGTTTCACACTGGAGCTTTAAGTTTGTATTTGACTCGGGGAGTTGACGCTAGTAAGCTTTGTTTATAAAGGTTAAATGCTCAATCAAAATCTTCCGCTTTTGACCCAACAGAGGACGAATAGAAGCGGATAAATGGCGACTCGTAGGCGTACTTGTATTGCTGATGGTCTTTCGTGCTGCGCGTTTTGGCCATGAACCTCTCGGCGAGCTTCTCCAGGTTTCGGGAATATTCCGTTTCGATCTCGGCCTTCTTCCTGAAGAAGTCCTGCAGGTCCTGAAGCAGCTGCACTCGCATCTCGGTCTGCTGCTCCAGACATCGCTGCTGCTCCACCAACTGGGCCCGCACATCTACACACACACACACACACACACACACACACAGAAACAAACACACACAGATGGATGTCATTGGAAATTAGACATTTAGGCAATTTGTTTATCCGTGGCAGCAAAGTAACTGGAATATATTCGGAGGCAGTGTTCTGACTCCCATTAATCTTTCATTTTACCTCCACAAAAGATGGCAGATCATATATTATTGCTTTTGTAGGAGTTCATTCGTCTTGCTGTTGAAGAACACTACGGGGCATATTGTCAACGCCGGCACTCCAACGGGTTTTTGTATTTTCCCTGATAAGTTTTTAAAGACCAGAGCGTACCAAGCACAGGTTGCATGGTATGAAAAGTCATGAATATTTGGTTGTTTACAGTATTAGTAGTAAATTAGTTCAGTTTTACATCAGGTATGTCAGGATGTAAGAATTTGTGGAATTATATTTTAGAATTGTGTTTTAATACCTTTAAAGATGATTGTGACTGATAATAATAATTGTGTAATATTGTGAAACTGTTGCAGCCCTTAAAACCAAGTTCTTGGTATTTTGGTGGAATTTGGGTCTTAAGTTTGAGAATACACATCTTCTATCATCTATTGTGATTATTTTTTCAGAGATATGATTCACGATTAGTGTGTGAATGATTGTTTTTGCATCACTATTTTTCATTTTCACTAAAAATACTGGACATTTGTTGGATTCTGTACCAGACCAACATGTTTTCTTACACCTGGAGAACTAAGATTTATAGAGCAAGGCACCTCTGCAGCACTACAGTACCTCATTATAACGCTGTTCTCTCACACATTTTACCTTCATCAACAGAAATTACAGCGTCTGTGATTGGGAAGTTCACATATTGCGATACGATACTGGGGTTACGATTCAGTATACTACGATATATAGCAATACTGTGAGCAACACGACATAAATTGTGATTTTTAATCATCATTCAAGTCATCGCACCACAATATGGATAAAATGTGAGTAAAACAAAGCCTACAGTCTCTGTAATATTCAACATTATAGCCTCCAGTTCACATATTCACAATGTCTATATTCTTTAACACCGTTAATTGTCAACCAATCAATATGTCGACTAATTGTGCAGCCTTGTGTCTATGAACCACACTGCCGCCACTTTAGTGATTTTATAGACAAGAACAAACTAAATATTTGGAGAAAAATGGCAGCAATAATAGAATAATGCTTCAAATCTAAATCATTTTAATGAATCACTCTCTAGCATTTGCATCTGGAGCGTCGTGGTAGTACAGCGGCAACCTTTCCTGCGGGCCTCTTCACCGTCCCTGTAGTTTTATATGGTAAAAAAAACTACCAATAAAAATATATTAGTTTTTTTTGTTGTTTTTATTATCGGCCTTTCCTCAACTGCTTTTTTATTTTATAAAAAAAAAAAAATTCCCTTTTCAGTTCATTAAATTCCTGCAGACATCTGAAGGCAGCGGGACACACACACGATGATAAATCTGCAGCCTCTAGTCATTAGGAGAAGTCTGCGTCAGAGCCACCACACACACACACACACACACACACACAAAACTTACATTACACAACATTAACACAAAACTGCTACACAAAACACAAAAACTTCATTTGAATCTTCAACATCTTTTTCCTTTTATCTAAGAAAAAAGAAGTTACTTAGACATATATCCTGGAACCACACCCATATTTATTTTATTACAACAATACTAATAAAATTTTTTAAAATCCTACAGTATAATCAACCAAATTTTCACACACCTTTAACACCAAATCACACACTGTGAATGTCCCAGAATAAATGATATTTAATCAAAAGTAACATCCCTATGAACATTAAAATCTGTCCTGTCTTTTACCATTTTTTCTAGATGCATTTAAAAACAGCTTATTTACCTGCTTAAAGGCATAAAAAGAAAAAATTAAAAAAAAAATAAGAAAAAAAATATAAGACTAAACATGAATGTACCTGTTGATTAGTGTCTCATGGACTCAAAGTTTCAGTCATCTGTTTTTTAAAAAAAAAATTTGGGGGGATTTTCCACAGAAAGAAAACCTTAACTTCCTTTATGGTTCTTTTCAAAACATTTCAAAAAAAAAAAAACAAGTTTAAGTCCGATGTTATCACTGCATAATATTTAGTTACACTAATGCATGTTCTTAATGACAAATTTCTAAAGTTAAATTCAAGCCAACAGGCACGAAACTTCAACGACAAAATCATCAAATTCAATATTCCTCCTCTCATCAACCCTGCCTGTTTCACACATATTGAATAAACAAGCTTAGTGGGGACTTCACACACCATGTCGTGGTACCTTATGGGGACCAATGCTAGACCAAGTCCTAGGTTGTCAGATACTTAACACACAGTTTCTATTCATACACTGATGAGATGTGCTATGGGGACGTGTGAATGTCCCAGAATAGAGTGATATTTAATCAAAAGTAACATCCCTATGAACATTAAAATCTGTCCTGAATATCCTATTACCATATGTTTCTAGATCATTTAAAAAACAGCTTATTTACCTCTTAAAGGGCATAAAAGCAAACGGTGAGTTAGAAATATTCTAGGAGTAAAGTTTAAGTGCTAAACATGAATGTACCTGTGATTAGTGTCTCATGACTCAAAGTTTCAGTCATCTGCGTCTCTAACAAGACAGCATGCTGGGAGCTTTCACAGGAATGACAGCATCAGCTCATTCATGGTCATCTGCAAACATTTCAAAATATGAAAACAAGTTTAAGTCGATGTTATCACTGCATAATATTTAGTTACACTAATGCATGTTCTTAATGACAAATTTCTAAAGTTAAATTCAAGCCAACAGGCACGAAACTTCAACGACAAAATCATCAATTAATATTCCCTCCTCCTCCATCAACCTCTGCCTGTTTTCACACTATTGAATAAACAAGCTTAGTGGGGACATATCACACACATGTCGTGGTTCCTTATGGGGACCAATGCTAGACCAAGTCTCTAGGTTGTCAGATACTTAACACACAGTTTCTATTCATACACTGATGTGATGTGCTATGGGGACGTCGTGAATGTCCCAGAATAGAGTGATATTTTAATCAAAAGTAACATCCCTATGAACATTAAAATCTGTCCTGAATATCCTATTACCATTATGTTTCTAGATGCATTTAAAAAAACAGCTTATTTACCTGCTTAAAGGGCATAAAAAGCAACAAACGGTGAGTTAGAAATATTCTAGGAGTAAAGTTTAAGTGCAAACATGAATGTACCTGTTGATTAGTGTCTCATGGACTCAAAGTTTCAGTCATCTGCGTCTCTAACAAGACAGCATGCTGGGAGCTTTCCACAGGAATGACAGCATCAGCTGCATTCATGGTCATCTGCAAACATTTCAAAATATGAAAAACAAGTTTAAGTCCGATGTTATCACTCATAATATTTAATTACACTAATGCATGTTCTTAATGACAAATTTCTAAAGTTAAATTCAAGCCAACAGGCACGAACAAATCATCAATTCAATATTCCCTCCTCTCTAACCTTGCCTGTTTTACACAAGTAGTTTTATATGGTTAAAGCATGACCACCGATAAATCAGTCCGCATTGATCTGGTGGCTCTTACAGCGTCCGTCTGTCCACAGCTGCTTTATACTGTATGGAGAAAAAAAGTCTCCTCTTCAGTTCATTAAATCCCTGCAGACATCTGAAGGCAGCGGGACACACACACGATGATAAATCTGCAGCCTCTCATTGGAGAAGTGCTGCGTCAGAGACCACACACACACACACACACACACACACACACACACACACACACACACACACACACACACACACACACACACACACACACACACACACACACACACACACACACACACACACACACACACACACTGTGTTTACCTTCATTAAATCACATGCAAATGACTCCAGACCGCTACAGAATAACCGCACGCACCTCTACACACATCAGACTGATGGGATGTAACTCGGTAACTCGGCTGTTCATGAGGGAGACGTCGGATTACAGCGGCGTCGTACAGTTCAAGGAGGCGCCATGTTTGTATTTTCAGATCCATAAACATTGTACAACCTTTGGATCTTTGCTGGACGCAGGTATGTTTAAGAGCTCATAAACGCAGGTTAACTTGGCAAACACTCACAATCGCATTATTTAGGACCAACTAGACCTCAACCCAGATCATAGAGGTGATTATTTACAGACTCTTAGCCGAATGGATGAGCAATAACTGGCCACTGTGTTGGGTTCATTGATCCATTTGGACGGAGGGGAAGACCAGCTAATCGATCAGCCTTATTCATGAAGGTATCACAAACCTTCAGGTACAGGCAAGGTCACAAAATAATAGTCTATAAAACAAATAAAATGAATGTATACGATCTAAAAACCCATCAAATTGCATTTACATTGATTGTCTCAGGACGTTTATGGTGTTCATCATCTTAGCATTTGATACCTAGCACAGAAATACACCAAATTAGCTGAAACTGATGGTTTCATGGGTCAGAAACTGAAGACATTTTTGCTTAATGATGGCAGAAATCAAACTTAATTGTGAGGTAAATTTCCTGGCAATCCATTTAACACTTGTTGAGATATTTCTGTCTGAACCAGGGGTCAGCAACCTATTTATTACAATGCTTATGTCGTCCACGAAATATTATATTCTCTATTTTCCTCTGAGACTTTTCTTTTATTGGATTTGAAAGCTGCAAAACATAAAGAAGAAAAAGCACCAGGTAACATATGATGCACATTTTAGTTGACAAAAATCTGTGTAATGGCTACTTAAGAATCGCTTCAGGCCTCAAACAATATAATTGTTTGTCAGAGCCACAGGGAGCCTTTGGAAAGGTGCTAAAGAGACACATCTGGGAGCCGCAGGTTGTATTAGTTAGTAATTAATTTTAAAAATGGTGATAAATTGCTTGTTTTGTCTTACTAAACCTAAAGAAACCCAGTTCAGAGCCTAATAAATGACTATAAACTGAT